GAGTCTCTGTACTAGTACGACAACAATCCCTCTATTCCGAGTCAGATCAAGGTGTACTATATCACGACAAGCTTCTATTGTCCTTCATGTGTAATCGCCTTACACGCATTGATACAAAAACTACCCTTACCCCCTGTGCAATACGGTTCCTGAGATACGGTGAACGTTTGAACGCGGTGACTGTGCACTGTGACTTCGGACTTCCCATCCGGAGCGAGCGCTCAGCGCTCAGCGCTCAAGCGCCGGTCGTCCGCCACGCACAGGACCGTGAGCAAGCAGGACACCAGGCAATGATGCTTTCCTGGAGCGAGATGCGAATGGCCCTACACCCTCCTGAGACCTATCAGGTCGTGTTATCTGACCTAGCACAGCGTCCGTTCCCATCCTCCGTGCCACCATGAGCTCGGATCCACAGCGCCCACCGAACGCCGGGCCCAAGACGTCCCAGCAGTTTCTGCCTCCACCGGCGCACCCGTCGCTGCGGAATGCGCATTCCCCTCCTGCGGCGTATGCCACGAGGAGGGTGCCCCCTCTCAGCCCAAGGCCCACACCACCACCCCGCCGCCGAGGGCAATATCGCCTCACCCAGAACCATCTACTTCGGCGAGCGCATCGGCGCTGGATGTACGGACGCTCCAGCTTGAGCCTACTACACCTGGCACGCTCGAACATGAGCCATCCGAGGTCGTAGCAGACATGGAGGCTGACGTGGAGGAGCACGTCGAGGCGGAGGAGGAACTCTCGGAGGGCCAGTTGAGAGAGCTGTATGACGATGAGGAGATCGAGAGGTTCTTACGTCTGTTCTCTGCTGTGAGCAGTACCACGTATGCTTCGCTTCCAGTTGAGACATGCTGACTGAGTGCAATCTGGATAGTATGTGCGTGAGGCTAGAGTCGCGCATCCGTCGGGAACTGCGCCGCAGAGATCTGGCGACAAGCAGACTTCAGAGCCGAGCGAACGTTCGCAAGAAGTCGGTGACGAAGACGTCGAGCTGGACATATCGGTCGAGACTGATGAGGCGACAGAGGAGGCGGAGCCACCGCCATTGCCTCCTCGTCCGGACGTAGACCGCTCCCTGTCCGAGCGAATCGTCATGGTGAGCCAGTCCGATGCACCCCTAACACCAGTCATTTACACGAAGCGCAGGATTATCTGCTACCTCTACTACCTCTTGAACCGAAGCCGCCTACCTTTACGGTGCGGCGGCTCTACTTGACAGCTGAACGACTGTACCTAGCCTTCGTACCTGCTTATGAACATCTGGCCCAACGCCTCATACGCCTTGCTGTCTGGGAGGACTGGAACACGAGCTTCTTCTACTGCGCTGTTAGTCGCCTCCGTATTGGCCCGCTGTCGCCGTCCCGTGTCGGGTGAGTCAAGAAGCTAATGCATGTCATTCATAGGCGTACTGGTTCTTATGGTACCATAACTTCCTGCTCCCTGCCCTTGTCCTGCGGATTCTATATTCCCTCGTCCGCCGCAAGCTTCTACCCTACCCAAACCTTCAGGAACTCCGCGAGCACCGACTCTACGTAGAACGCGCGAAAGAGTTTAGTGCCACTGTCACCGCTCGCCTCGTTGCAGCCCCGACGTACGACGTGCAAGACGTCTGGCGACTTGTGCACGACTTCCATCGGTCAAGGAAGCTCAAAAAGGCCGCTAGGAACAATGCAAAGGCCGAAACCCCTCTGAGTGACGATGTGGGTGACGAGCCTGAAGCGAAGCCAGAGGAGCCTCCGCTCCCGGAAGAGGTTGTAGAGACTGAGGAGACTGACATCAAGCGGGAGCTCCTGGCGGCACTCAGCTACATTGCCGACCTGCACGAGAGAGTCAAGAAGTACGTCCGCCGTGATATTCACAATGTTGAATCTTCGAGAGAGCTCACTGTCGATTATCAAGTATTTTCCTGTGGCGTAGACCGACATCGTCACTTATCTACGCAGTGGTAGGTTCATCGCACACGGTGTCCATGCTGTTGCTGACTCACTACAGGCTTTGTGCTTCACCTTCCTGGTGACACTGCTTCCTGCGAAGTATCTGTCGAAATCCGTCGGCCTTGCGCTAGGTATCGTCTTCTGGCACGTAGTGCCTATCCTCTTAGCAATCCCACCGTCAAGGCGCACCAAGTGAGTAAACTTACGTGCTTCCTTCAGCGTAATTCGCGCTCACCATTATGATAGGTATCCGCCCCTCTTCCAAGATGTCCCCACTGATGCGGAGTATGCGATGGAACTTATCTCCCAGCGCGTCGCGCGTGGTCTGGACGTCAAGCCAAAAACGCGCAGGCCGAAGCCGGGGTCTCCTTCGCAAGAAACAGACAGGATGTCCATGAGGACGGTCGACGGCGACAGATCAATTCAGTCGTTCGAGTCCTCGGAGTCTTCTAGCTCCATCAAATGGCAGAAATGGGCAGGTCGCGTCGACACCAGTAAGACGGTCGCCAAAGATGCTAAGAAGCTGTTCAAGGATGGACGGGTATGTGTCTTCGTTCATCGACTTTTCTGATAGGCTTATAGAATCGCCTCCAGTGGAAAAGCCCAGGAAACTGGACAGCGTTGAACCCATTGGCTGCCAAGGTTGCCATGCCCGATGGTGCATTGGAATCTCGGATACAGACGTACAGTGAGTTCTTCCCGTAAAGGCGTAGTAATGACATTGCTATAACGGGACATGGCAGCCTTCCCGGCGCAATATGCGATGGCATCCGGTCTAATAACCCTGACACCGGATGCGCTTTTCTTTACGTCCTTGCTCTCAACAACTGCGAAGGTAGCTATCCCGTCGGATGCGATAGGCGGCATCAAACGGACCAGTCCCATGAGGGGACTGAACGTCCGCTGGGTCCGCCACCACGATGACGGCCAGGACGAGGAGCGCGAAGAGAAGTTCCTTTGGGTGGGCGATCGTGACGAGCTGTTCGCCCGACTGGTCGCGTGGGGTGGACACCGATGGATGAATGTCTGATGCATTGATGGAGGAGCGGTAACTTATGTGTACGTCTGCCTTACCTCTGTTGTTGTAATGTGGCTTTGCGCTTCGCGGACACTCGCAATGTGGACCTTTCTGTATTAGGCAAGTCTTCTAGAAAGGTGTCAATGGCTTGCTCAAGCCATCCTCTGTCATCCCGCTGCCCAGCGTGACGATCGCGAGCGAAGGGGCTCGCCATCTTTCCTCTGACCTCCCCTCTCCTTTGCCCAGCGTATAGAAGCACCTCCAAACTGACTACCTTCGCCGCCATTGCTCGACGACGACGAAGTCTTACTCTGAGGTGGTCCCCATACACCCTTGCTCGTGTCTTAAACATAATTCGTTGGCTGCTGCTTTTTATATTGGCTTGCTGCGATGTTCTTTACACCTGAGTTGCTTGAAAGACGAGAGAGCGGGTTCGGCTTGTTGTGGTACGTGCGTTTCGTCGTTGTACGTGGCTTAGAGTCGCTTAAATGTATCGACAGGCTAGCCGCTACCCTTGGAGCCAAATCGTCCTTTAAGAAATTACCCAAACGCTCCGTTCTGACGGCCGATATCTCTCAACTATGTGGGCTTATTGCTGAGCCTCCCGAACCATTAGCCTTGAGGTTGTCGAGCAATCTGATGATTGGCGTAGCTCGGCAAGTAGCTGGCATCCGTCTTCCTGCATATGTGCACTGACTTACTTCCGTAGAGTCTACAAAGGTACCGCATACAGTCACCTACCATTATGGCATCTTCTTTGACCTGCGCGTAACTGCATACAGTCAAGCAAGAGATATTCTACTCCGATGTCACCACCTGCTACAACACACTCAAGAAGGCCGTGGCCGAGCTCCACACAGCATCTCTTGGAGCTGCGGAGCTGCAAGCTGGTCAAGCTAGTCTACGGTGCGAGCCTCTCCTTCATTATCGGTTATAGCGTCGTAAGCTAATGCCTTGCCAGTCCGGACGTCCTGACTCTCGCCATGGACCCAGGTGCCGCGTTCGCCATCGACTTTGGCAACATATTCGGAGTAAGGATCACGGTTTTCCACGCATTCACTGGGACTCACTGTACTTCAGGACTGGGAAGACAGCAGATTGAGTAGGTTGCTGTTTGACATCCAACTCGTCCCAAGTTTACACAAGTGTGTAGTCACAGCAGGCAGAGCTGGGTCTGACGAGGAAGAGTCCGACGACGAATTCGACCCTAAGGCTAAGAAGGCGAAAGGCAAACAGAAGGCGAGAGAGAAGCCGCCATCCCTTATCTCTGAGAATATTCGAGCGAACCTACATACACTCGACGAGTACCACGAGCACTTGCTCTCCCAGTCCTTCGACGCCTCCTTCAGCGGGACTGGCGTCGGGGCGCCCATGTCCGCTTCGCAGATGGAGGCCGGCTTCGCGTTCAGCGACGACGTCTTTGGCTTGCAGGACGGCATGGATCTCGGCGGAGACATCGGGGACGAGTTGGCGAGGGAGCTCGGTGAAGGCTGGGGAGCCCCTGCAGATCGAGGAGGGGACGACCTGTGGGCTCTTGGCCAGCACGGCGATGCATTAGGGTTGGACTTCCAGTTTGAGGCTGGGCAGGCGTTCGGAGCGGGACCTGCTACCGACAGCACACCTAGTGTGCGAGTGAGTGCCGTCCGTATGAGCGTACGTGTCGTATACTGACGCATTCTCGTATTCACAAGCCACGAGTCCGAGAGAACGAGGGTAGGAGATGCTACCTGAACGCTGTGACCAGGCTGACACTCTACACAGAGGCTTTCCAACCGGATGGCTCGGTGATAGTACCGTTGATGCCGTTCAGTCCCGTCCAACCCGTCGAAGGTGAAGACGTGGAGATGCGGCCCAATCCAGACGACCCCCTGCAGGCTGGAGCTGAAGTTCCAGAAAAGCCGCAGAGGAAGCCGAAACGCGTCAGGCTCCTGCTCGACGCGCGAACGGAGCTTACGGATGAAGAACTGAAGGTGAGTGTTCGCGGTGCATATTTGAATCGGATGATCGTGCTGAGTGAATGCATGTAATATAGGCAGCTCGAGCGAACTACATGGAGGGACAGGAGACCATCAGGCAAGAGCTTATTCACAAGAAGTTCGAGAAGGACAGTGGCAAGATCATCGAAGAGTTGATCTGGGGCGTCCCGTCTGGCCGTAAGTTGACGATATCGAGCATGTCGCTCGCCTTGCGCTGAGCGAAGACACAGTGCAAGCTCCTGCTCTGGTCGATTTCTGGACGGAGAACTTTAAGCTGCAGGTGGAAGCCCGTTCGGGGTCGGCGCAAGACGGTAAGTACACGATCTGACCAACGTGGACGACGGCTGACTCCAATATTATGACTAGCTCAACCGCCGCACAAGCGCAGAAGAATCGCGCATGAAGAGTTCCAGGAGGGGAACGCAATTGATGAAGGATTCAGAGCGCCTCCAGACACAGGGCTGGGCATGGACGTGGACATGGGCTTCACGATAGGCAACAATGAACCGGTTGGCTTTGGTCGGTATCCGCAACATGGTGACATTCCACGACGATGCGCTGACATGATGTACACATTTCAGGTGGTGACTATGATTCAAGGATGCGCTCTTCGGAGGTCAGTTTTGAGTTTTCGTGCTAGTACCAGTCCGTATAACACCTTCATAGGAACCCGGGGTCGCGCGAAGAGTCTCACGAGCACCGTCGCTCATTGGAAGCCAGTTCGAGATGCCTGGGGCCGGTCAGGACTTTGTGTCCGGTTCACAACGGAGCGCTCTCTTCCCGTGGGACAACGCAGGCGCGAGCTCTTCTGTCGCTGGGGGCCCTCTGGATTTCGGGAAGGAGGGCAGCGCCAGGCCCAGCTTCGGTCGCGCGGACACCAAGTTGAGAGGCAGTTCGTTGAACAGCAGACACGGCAGCCCACTGCCTGGTGGGCGTGTCCCGGAGTCCCCAGCTGACTTCGGGGCGAAGAGCTCGTACAGTGGAGAAGGTTTTGAATTTGACGGTGAGCGGTTCGCCAGGGAAATAAGGTGGTCGGCTAACGTCTTCTGGCATAGTTCCTGGGGAGGTGTCAATGGCGAACGAGTCCCAGCTGTCCGACATGAACCTCCTGACGCTTGAGCGGAACTCGCACAACTTCCTTGAGTAAGTGGCGTGGGTCGGGCGGGATGAAGGTGGCTTACCGTCGCATGATGTAGGTATGCCAAGATGCAATTGCAGACGTTCTCCTCGGCGACCTCTACCCTCACCTTTGACGACGTTGTGCCGAAGCAGACCAGTACACCGCATGTAGCGGCTGCGGCCTTCTACCATTGCCTCGGTACGTCGGTCCGGGGTCGTTTACAGACAATTCGCTTATAGTTGTGGTAGTGCTCGCAACTAAGGATCTCGTTCAAGTCGCTCAAGAAATTCCATACGGGACGCTGAGGATCACAGTGAAGTGATTGCACGTCCGTGTAGCTGAAATTACATGCTAGGCAATTGCGATACGAACGTCCGTATGCTCCAGCTGATGTGTTGCAGTGTATCGTTTGCTCTCCGTTCATTCTGATGCTTTGTTGCCCCGGTCCATGTACATGCTCTTGGCATCGGCCGCTGTGCGTGTGAATAAGGTGTTTACGACCAGATGCTTGTCCCTTCACTACGAGTTGTAGCTCCTGTTAATACCATCGCTTCGTGAGACCACAAATGGTGCAGAGCAGAGATTGAGAAGGGACCCAGTCAGGGGGAAGCGCTGTGAAGCTCGCGCTGTTGAGGTCGCAACGGGAAGGTGGTATCATGGATCCGGAGTGTCTTGACCCTATCCTCCATCCGCCTCAAATCCGCCCATGGCATCAACGGTGGATGATCAGCGCTCTATAGACGCGTCGCGCCATGTTGGATTTTGGCCAGGTCAGGGACGTATATGATGAGGCGACATATCGGCTTTCTTCTGTCCCGCACCATCCGGGTCTCAGTCTATCGTCCAGCCTCCACCATGGCCTCTCGCGCCGTCGAAGCATCCCGCGCCGTGCTCTCCTCTGTCGATCTTTCGAACTATGACCCGGAGCAGTCGAGGTTGATGGACGAGCGATGCATCCTGGTCGATGAGCAGGATCGCGCTCTTGGGGCAGCGGACAAGAAGACCTGTGCGTGTTGTTGCTACTGCTGAGGTCGCGTATGCTGAGCACAGGGCGTATGGTACTTCAGGTCATTTGATGGAAAACATCAACAAGGGCCTCTTGCACCGCGCCTTCTCCGCGTTTGTCTTCAGACCTGAGGATGGCAAGCTTCTGCTGCAGCAGCGGGCGACCGAGAAGATCACCTTCCCGGATATGTGGACCAATACGTGCTGCTCGCATCCTCTCGACGACTTCGACGAGGAGAAGGTGGAGAAAGACCAGCTCGGCGTGAGGGTCGCAGCTTCGCGCAAGCTTGAGCACGAGCTGGGCATCCCCCGGGCGCAGACCCCCGTCGACCAGTTCCAATACCTCACCCGGATACACTATTTGGCGCCGTCGAGTGGTATTTGGGGAGAGCATGAGGGTGAGTAGTCCGCTCAACAAATTCGGTGGTTAGCTCGGGTGCTGAGCATAGACCAGTCGATTACATTCTCTTCATCACTGCCAACGTTACCGTCGAGCCGAATCTCAATGAGATTCGCGACCACAAGTATGTAGACAAGGCGGAGCTGCAGGCGATGTTTGAGGACCCAGGTGCGCGCTACCACATACGTCTCTGATTTCATCACTGACGTCCCACCAGCGAATTCGTTCACGCCGTGGTTCAAGCTCATTGCCCGCGATTTCCTCTTCGGCTGGTGGGACGAGCTGCTCGCACGCCGGGAGAGCAACGGCGTTCTCAATGCGAAGAGCTTGAACGGCATTGTGGACGGTAGCAAGGTTGTGAGCATGGTCTGATTAAATCTAATGACTGTATCGTGTATCTATATAGATCTATTTGAGATGGGCGACCCGAGGCACGGCAGATGTACCGGTTGCTCACATTCCTATGAATGCCCTGACGGAGCTTTGTTTATTCGCCAGTCTATATGGTACAGCATACCAGGTGAGCGGTGCTTCATAGTACGCAGTGACTCCGATTTCTGAAAGTCACTCGCCAACGAAACTCGTTGATATTTGGAGTGGCCGATAGCGAAAAGACACTGCCTGCCATTGTGCTGAGGCACCGCCCGGAATGCAGTTCCGTGTGTGTAGACTCCATCACTAACGAGATGCTCTTTCGAAGGAATGTAAGACTTTCTCTCTTGTCGTCACCGCATTCTACACTGGTTCAGATATCTCGTACTGGTGGCTGTCTTTGGTTCAGGTGCTGAAGGCTTTGCGTTCCTGGCGCCACTAGCAAGACCGGTCTGGAACAAGTGTTGGACCTGGAGCTTCGTCTATTCGTGCGTCCTTTGTCTTCAATCCAAGTCCGAGTCTGGCCACCTTGTTATGTGCTCAGGACGCCGTGGCCTTAATGACACCGTTTCGTTGGAGGGCAGCGAACTTGCACGCCCCGAGTATGACCAGTGAACTCTGCAGCCAAGTTGGATGCGTACAGCCTTCGCGGGCAGACGGGTCTTGGTAAACCTAGGAGTAACGTACGAGGCAGTATGCCGTCGCAGCCACTCATCACGGGCCCGTCCCTACTACAACGCGAACGACACGGTATACAAGGCTTGCATCGGAGCGTCGGCCGCGTTGCAGTTCAGGATATAGACAGGTACAGGTTCAACGCCTCAAGGCCTCATGGCCCGCGCGTGCTTACCACTTCATACTTGGGATGTTCCCAGCAAAGCCAAAACAGCCGCCCATAACGCGTTCGCGGCATTTGATGCTGGCCTTATGCCGGCTCTTGGAGTCAGAATACTTGGGTCTTCGATCGACGACTTGCTGTGTTATTTTGGTTGGGGATAGTTGGTGCCTCATCACCGTCAGGACGCCGGGAATGAAAGCGCGATTTTCAATGGATAGGCTCTCTGAATGTAACCAAACGCTAGCTTTCGCCACTCATGTCAATGGTTGACCATGCGATACAGCAAATACGTCGGGTCCAAGACATGACACAGATCGGCGAGAAGAGGGGCATGAGAATCGAGTTGGAACTGAGGGTAAGTTGCCTACAGCGCCTTCTCGGAAGGTTCCCTTTGCTGATGTGTGTCCTACGCCTCGTGTCGCATGTCGCAAGTCCACAGCATCGCACCACATTGGGTTCGTTCAGGCCTCATCCGTTGGTTCGCAAACCGGACAGCATCGCATCCACTCGTTCGCGTGTGCCACAAACTGAGTTGCTGCGGGCCCAGTGTCCTACCTTCTTGTACACTCTGCAAAACATATCGGGTGCTTGCGAGACAAACAGGTCTCTGAGTTCTCCGCATAGGATTGAGGGAGAGGCACCGAGAGCTGTGTAGGTGCGGCTTATCGGTGATCGGGTACTGCTGTCGAACTCCTGGACATATTCTTAAAGGTCGGATTCATCAAAACGACGGTAAGCCATCGGCATTGCCCTGTCACGGAAAGCATAGCCAGCTCATGGTCCGTTCAGCATTCCGCGGAATACCGAAGTTGGGCCGCGTGTTCTACAGCAAGCCTGTCTGCGCTTGCGTACGCACTGAGGCTTGGCACCCACCTCGACTCGGACCACTCATCTCTCAGCGCGCAAGCGATCTGTGCAGGTCGGATGTATCATCTCTTTTCTCGCTCCGTACAACCCGCCAAACCCTTGAGGAGACGACCAACCCCTAAATGTCTGCCAGCGCTGCCTAGGCTGGTGTCTTACTTGGGATGTCAACGTCGCGGTACGATCCAGTCGTACCCATGACCCGCGGCACACAGTCCATGCTGCAGCTCGAGCAGTGCTTACCCCACGACTTCCCCCTCCCTGAGACGATACGGTCACTGATTATCTTCTAGTACTGCGGGGCGGTCCCGAGTTACCCAAGGTGTCCGCCGGATGTCGCCAATATTGGTGTAGCGAGAACTTGGAGACCCCGCCGCTGATGTTGAGTATTAGTCCAGCCACGCCTCCGTGACCTAGCACCGCATATATGCGTCTATCAAGTATAATGCTGTACTTGCTCCGGGTGAGGAAGTGGCTTGCTATCAGTGAGTGTATATAAAGGTATCGACGTGCCCTCCAGCCTTTGCTCATTCATCCACCATCCTCCAGCGACCGGTCCGCCGGCTGTCTGACACCTATGTCCTATCAACCTGTCTACTTGGACATGTAAGTCGTCACATATAATTCTTCTCATCTTGAAAGTCGTATTCACGGATGTTGACACAAGCTTCGTGGGTGGCGACCAATCTGGGGAGACAGATGAGGTTCATATGCCATTGTCGCCCTTGGATCGCGCTGCGTGCGTACTAAGGTCTATCTTGCGTGGACATGTCCATACCATTTTTGATGCGCCTCCAGTACGCTGTCCCACCCTCCGCCGATCTACGTGACGCCGTGAGTTGTGCGGCCATCCCTTGCGATGTAACGTACTGAACATCTTGTTGATAGGGCCCCATCATCTCAGGATGGATATGTTCCTGCCATGTACGCTCTTTGGAACATCTCTAGAGCCCATGGTGCTCACTAACAGGCCATGGCTCGCCAGGAACGACTCCTCTTATCCGAGTCCCCCGTAAGTCCATTCACATCCTCCGCGTCTCGCGGCACTGAACAGGTTCCTTAGTTCCCAATCTCAGGCTATCTCGGCCTACGTCTGGACCCCCTCTCCCAGGCGCGTCATAGTCTGTCCATCTCACTGAATTTGACACCTGGCTTACATCGTCATAGCCCATCCCCGTTGTCGTCGGAGTCGCCTTATTACCAGTAGGTCGAGTAGCCAAACTCTATAGACTGTTACTCAAGGCACACCTTAGGTCTCACGGGTCGCCGTCGAGCGATACATCTGTACCTCTGCCGCCGGAGTGGGTTCACACTATTGTGTCAAGTCACGATGGCGGCCGATACAGGGATACGTCTTTCCTAGAGATGGCTGAGGGGTGAGTCGTCGCCGTGTTTCAGCCGCACCTGCCACACTGCCTGACGCGCAGAACAGCCTGGTACGAGATGTAGGCTTACCAATGCTCGATGATGCACACGATGGCAGAGCCCTGGATCGCCCAACGGTGGCATTGTCAACGCGGCCCAGCGACATCCCCCAGGGCCGCTGCTGCTGCGTCATAGCTTGATGTCTACACTGTCTACACGTCCTGGCCACTGTGTCCGACCTACGCTCTATACCCCGCTTATATTCTCCTACTAAGTGATTATGGACTTCCTTCGGACAGACATGACTCTTCTCAGTGTCGTTCGTTGTTCAGAGACAGTGACCTACTGTATTTTCGATGTGGCCAACGTCGATTAGTGTCTGTGTATACCCACTTCCAGTGAACGTATGCTACCTCTGCATGTGGGCCGGTCAGGCCGAGATTTTCAAGTCTCGCAGTCAAAGCTACGATGTGACAGCAACGGCCGCCACCAGGTTGCGATGCTCGTGCCGCTTCCATGTAGGCCTGATGGTCTCGAAGCTTCTCCAGGATAACGTATACTTCCCTCTCCGGCTGCCCAAGCGCATGGCATGAGCCCTATGAACACAAAGGTACCGTAGCTTTGGGTATTCCTCAGGCCTAATGTCTCGAGCGACCTCGAAATCGTCGGCCCAATGCAACAACCTGGCAGGGCCGTGCCGCCTACTAGTATCACCACAAAGCTATGTACATAGTACGCTGTGGTTTTTTTGCGTCGACTTGTATGTCCGGGGAGGATACTTGGACATCATCGCTGTTGGCTCCGCCGCATGCTCCCCGTGTGTTATGTCAGGCGGACCAGAGTGTCCCTGTCCCTGGATCGGTAAAAGCACTACTAGACCAGGTTCCGACTCGGAGGTTGAAGTTGGACACTGGCAGGGCCTCCCCGGGCCGCGCACCAGTACCCAAGTTTTGCTTGCGGTGCCCTTAGGAGCATAAACAGTTGGTCAGCGTCGGAATCTCTGGCCCGTGCGTTGCTTGAGACACGGAGTATTTACGCAATATTCAAAGGCACGAGGGTGATCCACACCCGTACGCCACTAGCTGTTCGTACGTATCCTCCCAGCACAGCGTGGTTCGAGCTGCCAGACGATGCCTTTTTTGGGAGATCAGCCATCAGCCGCACCACCATTGCTCGGGCCTTCGCCGTCAGACCTATTGTCTAAGCTTACGGGATGTGCTTCCAGTATCGATATCCCGACGCTCAGGCTGTGCTGCGACCAAGCCCGTGTGTCACCGCGGGCGATTCCCACCCGCTGCATCTACCGTCCGCAGCCCCTGCCGGTGGACGAGTCAAGCCTTTCTTAATAAGCCGTCGAGATCGCAGCACATATATAGGCCAGAAGGACGCGGACTCAACCTCGCGGACCGTACTTCTAAAGCCCACACCGTCGGTCACCTTCGCGGAGACCCGATCATTATTGTCTGATCGACCATAATGTCTACTCCGACCGTCGAACCCAAGTCCATCATCGACCCCGCGGTCGACTCTGCGGATGTCGTCGCTGATCGGCAGCCAGAGCTCGCGGAGCCAGAAGCCGCGAAGCTCGACCTCGCTAGGTGCGTAGTCAATTCCTACTCACTCGACGACCTTCCGTGAATTGACTGTCGCTTGTGCTGGTCGTAGTGAACCGGAGCCAATCGCGCAGCCTCCGAAGTAAGTCTTTGATGAGCTCGATGTTACCGTACAGTCACTGACGGCTATGCAGTGGCTGGGGTGGCCGCGGGCAGCTAAACAAGCCTACTGTGGTGAAGCCGGTCAAGATCACGAAGCCTACGAAGCCTAGTACGAAGTAAATCACACACGGTAACGCACGCACCTCATTTCGACGCCAAGAGCTCTGCACAAACCAGTCATTCTTGCAGCGTTCGCTTGTACCTTGTACCATCATCACCGTCTCGTCTCATCACCATACGATATGAATTCGTATGTATGTGAAGGAAGGGCCACCGGAAACCCTTGTACACAATATACGCTCGTGGCAAACCGTAATGGACACGCCCGTCATTGCTTCTGCCGGCTCTCCGGTCTGCGCATCGGCATACTGCGGAATATCCACGCCTCCTTGCGCGAGCCCCAGAACATGGGGTCTTTCCTGCCCAGGGGGATGCTCCCGTCGAGCTTGAAGCCCGCGCTGTTGAAGAAGCGCAGCATGCACGCGTAGAACAGGTTCCGCTCCGCTTCGCGCGCTGTCCACAGAAGGCGACGGCACGATCGGACATGAGCATGAGTGGGACGGAGGGGGGAGAGAAGCTCACATCGGAAACCCTCGCGCTTGACTTCGATGACATGCACGCCGTCCTCGTTCGCGCCGTAGGACATCACCTTGCGCGGGAACATGGGCCGCAGGCTGGACGCGAAGTCCTCGACGAGCTCCCGCGGCGCGTCGAGCAGCGTGAGCCGCATCTTGGACGGAGAGAACATTGTCGCGAAGATCCTCACGTCGGGGTCTTGCAGCGTCTCGACGAAGACCAGCTTGCCTGGCCTCCTCTGTGTGGTTCGTTGAGTGAGTGGGCGTGTCAGGCTGACCTGGGACACTTACTGGACTGCCTGTTTGGATGGTCGTCACATGCGAGTAGCCTTGGCGAGCGAGGACGGTGTAGAGATTGCATATGAGTCGTTGGGCCCTACGCAGAGAGAACGTGGTCGTGTCAGACGAGGTGTCGCGGGCGTGCAACTGCTGCCCATCTCACAAAATGGCATCGAGGCCTACACTAGTCCACGGCCCTCTTGCAAACCGTACTCGCCAGTTGTCTCCTCGACTGTCCTCATACTCAACGCCATGGGGCCACATGGGTAGAACAAGTTCCCGCAGGTCGTCCAGGGTAGTCTGATACGCAATGTTGTCTATTCGCAATTCACCGGCAGAATGCAACGACACAAATATGTGGTCTGTACAGGCAGAGGAGAGCTATTACATAAACGCAATTGTACCCGAAGAATTTCTCGTCCGTACCAGGAACAAACGCGGGCACCGAGCCTGTCCTGCTCTTTGGTCTCGTCAAGGAATTGACTCGTTGTCGTGACTCGTTGGTGGACCGCCTGACCAGTGGTACACCACCTGTAGAAGCCGAGCGGTCCAGTTGCTTCTTCATGGCAGACCTCAGAGGAGCGGCGGGGGTGCCGGACCGACTAGGCGAGGTCTGGATAGTCGGCGCGGCGGATGCAGTCCGACCTTGACTGAGCTTCCTCCGCACGGGCGCCGGCGTCGGATACTGGGCAGGCGGCTCATACGGCGTCGCAGGATAGGTTGGGAAGGGTGCCGCTACATTCTGAGGATGATGATAAGACGGGTAGGGCGTGAACTGAGCATAGTAGGCTGCCTGCGGCTGGGTGTAGCCAGTCTGGGGATAGTACTGGGGGTCGCCGTTGTGGTAGGCCTGCATGGCTGGCTGCATGTGAAGGGACCGAGGAGGATTGCCGGGGGATGCGGAGGCAAAATCGCGGCTTGAGTTTGCGATATAGGCTTCAGGGCGGGCGCCTGAGAAGACTTGCAACGTGCCGGGCGCGGGGGTGAACGAGGCAGGTCATGGGCAGCTCCTGGGTACAGCGAGGCCGGAGAACTTGGCAGCGGCTCTTATACGTACTCGAAGGGCACGCAGCGATACCCGGGCGGTCTGCGGCACTGGCAGGCGTGCCCACGGCCCAGAGGTGGTACGAGCGGGAGATGGGCGCAGGAGGCCAAGAGGCGAGATCGGCATTGGGGACAACCTGCTCTCGGGGTGTACGGGGTCTCGTTTCAGCCACTCACGCGAAGCCGAGATTATACAAGTAGTCAACGACACCAATCCTATAGATTATGAAGCATTTCTAAAATGCATATTGAGTAGTCTGTGGAGTTTTGAGTGCTTCAGGCTGGAGTCGTCGAAGCATAACGTTGAGTACTAGAAAGCTCAGAAAGTCCGATCCACGGGGACGGGCGTTTCCGAAACGCGCAACGCGCAACGCGAAACGTCACGAAGTGTTACCAACTGTGACCCGTTACGCACCTTTTGTGGCCCGAGTACCAAGAATAGCAAGCTGAGTAAGCCGCTTCATTCCATTCATTCGGCTTATATGCTGCTTCAAAGCCTCAGTAAGTATTTTGGCTTTGCTACTAGCAGTAGTTGAGTCTGTATTAGTGGGTGGTTGATCTCTCACAGTGTTTCCGAGCGCGCGGGCGCCCTGCAACGGTGCAACCCGATTTGGAAAGCTCTTCCAAATCAGGCAATAAGCGCCTCACTTCGCGCGCCCCTCGCTACATCCGAATGAGTTGATACTTAAATCCAAATCTTCCTCAACTACTTGCTTGCTGCTTGGGAAAATCACTGTAATAAAAGATTTAAAAGGGTTACTCACAATATACTTGTATTTTCTAGGAGCAACCCTTGGCTGACCGAGCGACACAAGTGGCCCGATGCCCCTGTAGGTGCTTTGTCAGTTACCGTATTCAGTAAGTAACACTGTGACGGACGTTTCGCAGAGGCGTTTCGCAGGGGCGTTTCGCAAACGCGTTGCGCAACGCCTCTCCCAGTCGATCGGACGTTCTCAGAAAGCTCGAGATGTACGCACGTGCCTCACGCGGTCATGTGAGCTGGGCAGGTTGACTTTCCCGTGAGCGGGCGCTTGCGCTAGGGGCGCGACCTGCGACGCAACTGCGACGCTCTCCAGGTCCTGTTGATTGCGCGTTGCTCCAGTGTCGCAACTGTCCTCAGTCGGTTGCCAGATGGGGGCGTCGTCATCGCCGACTTTTAGATCACGAATATTCCTCATAAAACGCTGGACTGCCATGGTCGCCTTCGCACAAGAGCGACCCGATGTTCGACATCGACGATGTTTGGACGACCACGGATAGCGCGGATTTCGCGTCTTCTTTGGACGAGCTCGATCATGGTGTGTCTCATCTACCTTCTGGTGACTTATAAAATACGGGTCCTTCAGATGACGCACATCACCCCAGCTTTGCACATGCACAGAACCTCCCCCCGATATACTCCTTTTCTACTGCGTCCGGACTCGAATCAATACTGAGTTTTGGTCTCAGAGCTCGCTGCATACGCAACTCCCGTATGCCGTTCAGCCATCATCTCCTCTCTCGGAGGTCGAGGTCAACATTCAGCAAGCCTCGCTTTCGTGGAGACGAGACGCTAAAGAAGTGCTGCATGTCTTGTGTCCCCAGTGCGATGTATGGATCTGCACCAGTTCGAAATCACAGCAGAACCCAGAGCCTCTTGAGTCGCATATGCGGGGCCGTAAGTGCAGACCTTCTGCGGTTCTCGACGCGCGCATTTGGGCGGACGCAAACACCGCCCGCGAAGCAGTTGAAGTTGAGGCCTAGGTGCCGTTTGGAGCTTCAATTGCACACTGGCATAAGGATAGTTTGTAATTCGCGCGTAACTAATGTTACAACATTACAACAGACACAACGATACATGACGAGCGATCCGACAGGCGAAAAAGCATGATACGAGCGACGAGCAATACGAGGGATCAGCGATACCAGCGACGAGCAATACGACGGGCGACGATGAGATGAGTGGGTACAGCGAATACAAAACGCAGTCGTCCACCTTCAACCTTCTTCGACGAGCACGAGGGGTACTCACTTCGTGTCATCTCCGACTTCACGATGATGCTGTGTCACGCTCTCGAAACATCTCCGCCCACATCTCCGCCTTTCGCTTCAAGTTCTGCATGTCATCCTCACTTTTGCTCGCCAGGGGAACTTCCTTGCATATCGCGGCGGCAGGTGGATCAGGGGAGAACTCGCAGAATTGTCTCTTGAATGTGGCGAAACGTTGCAGTGCGGTCGAGACCGCGCCGGCTTCGATGACCTCGATTGGTTCACGCAAGGGGACTTCGTCCAATTCTGTTCCCGGATTCTTGAACGGAGCCGAGGCTAGGAATTTGGACCATGCCTCCCTGACACTGTCTTGCGCATATACATCGACATTGTTCTTGAGCTGAGCCTCGTTGTATGCATGCCAAGCTTCACCTCCCTTCTCCCAGAGGTGAAGCTGGTACATCTGGAACTTGAAGACAGTCTTCCAGAGGCTAGCAAAGTTCTTCAGTGCCTGCTCTTCGGCTCCCTCATACTTCTTTCGCAACTTCTGAAACATTGAACTTATTGTCAGTTCAAGAGCCCAACCACATTTGGATCACTCAACTCACGATCCCGAAGCCACGCTCCAACCATTTTGGTAACTGCCATTGCGCGTCGTACCCCTCCCGCAAGGCAGCTCGGTGCTCGTTGGCACACGAGACCAGTACGAGGTATGCCTCAAGCTCCCTGCAGAATGTGTGCTCGCCAATGGTCACTTTACCAGTTAGCATCTCATTCCGGTCGCTCGGATCGTGCTTGTGCAATGAGTCGGCCTCAATCGGTGACCATTGGTCTTGCAACTCTCTCTTTTGCTGAGTTGTTAGCTTGCTTGAAATCGGAGAGCTGTACTTGGGGTGCTCAACGATCTTGACTGTGAGCATGAATACCGGCAAGTCGCGAGGTTCCTTGTTCAGTGTACTGGGACTGCTGTATTGACCAGTCTACTGAGACTGTTAGTAGTGTTCAAATCGCGACAGCATCACTACGTACGCGAAACAACACATGGTCACATGTCTCGTAGAAACCCTTCTCAATCACGCCGACGACGTGCTCACCGTGCTTGCTCCGCAGAACATTGTCGTCACCACCCATGAGTTTGGGGAAGCCGGGTATGACAGCCCCATCAGGGACCGACAGCGCAGGCCCGATCAGCCTTCGTGCATGAGCAGAAGAGTCGCTGTTCGGTACCGGAAGAGGGCCGACAGATTCCCTCTTCGTCTCAGTCGTAAGCACACCCTTAAAGCTGGGCAGTTTGAGAACGTGGCGCTCGCCGTAGCGCGTAGTGATGAGGGAAGACATGAAGTTGGATACCTTCTCATGAAGATAGGTAGGGGTGGACATAGTAAGGATGCGTTGAGTGGTGTTGTACTGGAAGCTATCAAATTGTCGAATTGAAGAGTGTTAGGCCAAAATACACTAGGCTGTAGAATGCGCACTGAAGACTTACGAGTACGAGAAGCGATAGAGGTCATCCCGGTATAGCACAAATTGAACAAATCGATTCCATTCACTCGGCTCAAGCTGGATAGTCTACCGCGCGATCAGACAGATGTTGCCCACACTAACTTGGTAGCCACTTACCCTCTGAAATCCCTGAACGTTCGGCCAATCCGGATCCTCGAGCAAATCTGAGAAGACCTTTTGAAACAGAGTCTCCGTTTGTTCGTTGTCGGTATCGTACGTGTCGCTAGTGTCGGCGTTGGCGGTGTCGGTGTTTGACGAGCTGGATTGCCCTTTAGAGTCTGGAAACTCTGTGCAAGGGTCAGCAACACAGGCGAACAGGCAACAGGTGGATTGCAATGTCACTCACCGTGCGGATGCCCGTTATCCTCCTCCAGATCGTCGGCAGCTACGACAATACCTTCTAAGCTGCCGTCGGGGCCTAGGGGCCCGGGTCTCAGGTGGCACTCCGAGCCTGAGTCCAAGTCCATTGACTTGACCCCTTCGGAGAGGTCAGAACTGTTGTAGCCTAAAGACGAGAGGTAGGGAGGCGACACCCGACTCGAAGCGGTACGAGGGAGGGAAACCATGGTATGTGCAGGAGTACACTACGAGGCGTGATCTATGTCTGCGCGCCGTGCGCGGTCGATTGACAAACCGTTCTCACGCACCCGAGTCTCCTCGCTCGCCGTCGAGCACCCAGCACACCCATCCTCTCCCCAAACCATGGCCTCCACATTCTTCGGCTGGCTGCGGTCGCCCGCCGCGCGCGAATACTTCTTCAGTGAGCACCACCTTCAGTCGATTATTGCGGCGTTAATGACTCGGCGTGTCATGCAGGTACTCACTTCTGGGGACCGGTGAGCGGGGATAGTCACTGCCGGAGGAGTATATATCACTGAAGTGACGGCTCGGGTCAGGTTGCGAACTGGGGTCTCCCGCTAGCTGCACTCGCCGACTTGAGGAAGGACGAGGAGGTCATTTCGGGGGCAATGACCACCGCGCTGACGTCGTACTCGTGAGTGGACCAGGCTGCTTGTCGCGTCACTTCCGCTAACACCACACAGCTTGGTCTTCATGCGATTTGGTGAGCGTTGCAGGTGGTCCACGGTCGATTCTGCGTACTGATGATGCCATAGCATGGCGAGTCCAACCGAGGAATTACTTGCTCTTCGCATGTCACGCGACAAACGCAACAGCACAGTCCGTGCAGGGCCTGCGTTTCGTAAACTACTGGTACATGGGCGGGAGGGACAAAGCATTGGCAGAAAAGAGTGCCGTTCCGGCTACAAAATAGTGCGTCGTGCGGCGACGATCTCTCGTGCCGGTCCGGTCTGCGTATCCTGTACTGAACCAAATAATGCGACTATACATGGGCCTCATTGCTACTCGAGGTCACCTACAACATTCACCAGAAACCGTCGTCTGCATCCCCACCGCCCTTCTTCTTGCCACCCTTACTCTGAGCGAGTGCTTGTCGCTCATACATCTCAGCGATCTGCACGCACCCGTCAACGCCATTCACGTGGCAGAGCGAAAGTCACTCACCTGCTCAGGACCGGTAGCATCGTCCGCAGACTTGTCATCCCGGACACGAATGAAGCGCGGGAACCGCAACGAGATGCCCCTTTCCTCGACCTGACACGATCCGTCAGAACCCGATCGACGCCTAGCATCTGCGAATGTCACTCACCAAGCCCTGCGCCGCAGTGTACACCGGACTGAGACTCAAGTCGGCCGTGAGGACCTCCCACACGATCTTCGGCTCGAGCCACACGTCGGGTTTCGCACCGCCGGCTTTGATGTCGCCCCGCGGCTTCAACATCTCCAATGGTTTGAGGGCCTCATAGTGCGACTGCAAGGCTTCCTCGCTGAACCCCGTACCGATCTTGCAGATAGTCTGGTATTCCTCGGAGTCGGTGTCATAGCAGGCGAGCAAGAACGCGCCGTAGACATTTGTCCGCTTGCCCTTGCCGTAGTACGCGCCGACGACGACGAGGTCGAGCGAGTCGCCGATGCCCGCTAGGTAATCTTTCTTAAGCTGTGAATTGGAGGTCAATCAGTTGCGTTTGAATCGGCAATGACGGTCTTCACAGACCTTGAGCCAGTTCACACTCCTCCGGCTCGGTTCGTAGAAACTCGCGTCGCCCTCCAGCATCTTGACCATCAGACCCTCGCAGCCATCCTTCACACTCTCCTCCAGGAACGTCTGTATCTCCTCCGTCGTCTCACCGTCGGACGACTTCGCGAAGTCGAACTCCCCGGGGACCTGCTGGAAGTGTTCCTGCAAGAGCTGTCTCCGCTCCACGAGGGGTTTGTGGAGGAGAGGCTGATATGAATCTGGATCAGTGTCGCGCCCTGTACGGCGCAGTGCAGAGTAGACGTACTTCGCCGTTAAGGTAGAGGAGATCGAACGCGAAGAGACAGACCCGGACCTGGATGTCTTCCACCTTGACATCCTTCCGTTTCCGCCTGCTAAGCTCCTGGAAGGGCATCAGCTTCCCGCTGTCCTTGTCGATCGCGACCGCCTCCGCGTCAAACACAAATGTCTTCGTGCTCTCTTTGATACACTGTCATGGAGAACCATCACGTTAGCTAGGGATACCTGAATAAAAGAGACCGAGAGAACGAACGTGTGGTAGCTGCTCAACAAGATCAGGGTACTTCTTGCTCATATCCTCAGAATTCCGACTGAAGACGCCGACGGTGCCATCCTCCAGCCGGTGCACCTACCGCGCCCACAATCAACGCATGTCACCCCACACAGCGAAACACCAGCCCACCTGAGCGCGCTCACCATCATACTTGTACTCGCACGTGAACCGCTTGGCCTCGAACCGGTCGAGGACCTCGCCGATGGCCTTCGTCGGCTTCGCGAGCATGGGCTTGAGCGGCACGCCGGGCGTGAGCTTGCACCGCGCACAGAGGCGGTCGATGCCCGCCTCGAGCAGCGCGGGGACGACGAGGTCGTACGTCGGCAGCTCGCTGTAGACGGACTTGACGACGTTCGCGGCCTCCTCGAGCCGCGCGGCGAGCTTCTCCTTGTTGGGCCGCTTGTTCGCTGCGTGCGCGTGAGTGGCAGTGTGCGGGGAGAGGAGGGGGAGGGGTACCTCGCTCTTGCTCGGCAAGCACGAAGGCATGCGCGAGCGCGACGAGCACGGTGCGCTCTGCGTTGCCTATCCGGAGCTTGCCCTCGAGGCTGCGGACGATGTACTTTGCCTCTTGGTCTTGACACGCGGCGAGGAGCTTCGTGATGATGGAGACTTTCTTGTTTTGCGACTGCGTGGCGTCGCGTGTCAGAGCAATGCTATGCATGGTTCAACGGAAGGCTGACTGAATGGCCGCTGCTCATCGCAATCTCTTTCAGGTTGTTGAACACGAAGGGCACTGTGAGAGGCTTCGGCTTGAAGAGCGTCTTCTGGCTGTTCTTCGAGTTCTACACGGGACTTCGTCAGAAGGACACAGCGTCTCGACTCTCGACTCACCATTGCCACGAGACCCAGATCACCCTCTTTCTTGAGCTCTGACTTGATGACAGAAAGACTCCTGCCCGTCGACTCCCCAATAGCCTTGATGAGTAGGCTCTCACCGATCCCAAGTTCAACGCCGACATAATCCGGGGTCAACTAAGCAAAAGAATCAAGGGATGCTCATCACATCCAGTACCGGATTACTTACACGATTAATGCAGAGATAGACGGCTTGAAGCAGAGACTTGGTGTCCCCTTTCGCGCTTCTCTGGATACGAGCAGAAAAAGGCAGTCAGAAGTGATGTCTTCTCTAACCGCTTGTTGTCGCCTCGATTAGACCGAACACCTTCGCCAGAGCTGCATATGGAACACTGCAATGACATCACGGTTAGCAGGTTGCATACAATAATCGAGCGGACATACGGGTCGCCTGGCTTCCATCCACCTTTGATATCTACGTCCCCGTTCTCGAGAGTACAGACTCAGCGCTGTCAGACAATTCATAAGCGAACCACGGGGTAGCCTGAAGTATTGCGCACTTTTTCGAGGCAGCACCCGCGTCTTCCTCTTCCAGCTCATCTTCGCCCTCATCTTCATCCACAGCCTCCTCCTCTGCTGCAGATGATGCTTCTTGCTCCTCATCATCTGGTTCCTCCTCTGCGGGCTGCACGGGTTTTTCGGAACTGATCCTTTTGGTCGTCGCTCCGCTTTAGCAGGCCTTGATGTATTCGTTTTTTCGCCACAGGCTTTCTGTCAGACGCCGCTTTTGATGATGACGGTTTTTAACATTGACACCCATTTCATCGAGACTGGATCAGGTGTCCTGCGAGTACAGACCGTCAGATTGCTCACTTGAGACATCGCCTTCGTCGTCGGAATCGACTATGCGGCGTTTCTTAACCTGTGGCGCTTGATCCTCCTCTGATCCTTTGGAGTCAAACATTGGCAATGATACATTCCTTGGGAGTCACAACGTACCAACAGCCGTTTCAGGCGAGGGATCCGTCTTCACGGGTGGAGCTGGGCGGGCGTGTCAAGATAGAGTGAGCACTGCGCGGGGACATGCTTACCTGGTTTCTGGCCCCCTTCGTCGAGTGCTAAGGACTCCTCCTTGACTTCCACTGCTGCTGCCTTCCGCTTCTTGCCGCCCCACATCTCCTCGAGCTTAGACTGCTGAGGAGGCCCGGCTTTGGAGCTGGAGGGCATGGCGAAGAATTTGCCTGTGCACGCTCAGTAATCGCGTCGTCAATAATCATGGATAGGACACAGCGTACCGAGGGTCTGTTGTCTGCCCATAGGAGGGTAGGAGAGGGAGGGAGGAGCAAACGCGACAGAGACGCGACGCGACGTAGACGCGTCGTGACCGTGACAAACATGCGCCACGCGTAGTTGCACGCGTCAGTTGTCTGTCGTGTCCCGGCCCGGACCGTCTCAGCCACAAGCGCGCCTCTTGTGGCGTTCGTCACTTGGTTCTAACGCCGCCGCCTCTGCCAACGCAACGCCATGTCCGGCAATCTGCAGTGCTCTATGCTGGTCCTCTCAGGATAGTGCTTCGCTTGGCTCTGCTACTTGGCACAGGGATCTGACCACGCTGCAGTCGATATCTTCTGGACACTTGATGTGGTCTCGATACAGTGTTACTTATGCCTCAGGTGTGGGTACTATCTCAGGCGGGTCACAGCTGTACAGCTTGATCAACAGGGATGTATCGAATCGAAGAATAAACTACGTAACTTGCCGGCCAGTCATTTCATTTCATGCTGCATAACAACCGCTATCCACCCGTCCTCCGACGTCGGACTCGTTCCGGTGGCAACCCACCGAGCGGCACCCGGTGCGTGTCCTGAGGCAGGGCGCTGTCGCGAACGTAAGGTTCTGTCTCTTACGACTTTGCAATGACGAGTACTGAATGGAGGCCCCATTTATGCGATTATAGGGTCCATCTATCATACCCATCCATCTTCACACTGCCATGCATGCGTTCCCACTATGGTGATGCTATCGGCTCTACTTGCGCGACGCCATCTCACATCCTCTGCATACTGCATTTCTAACCCCACTTATAGAAGGCCTCATGCTCTACGCAGCTGAGGCCTTACACAACTGATGACACGGCTCGCCGTGTCCCGATGGCATTTGCACAGCGCAGGAGCGTGTGACAAGGGGTCCACGCCTTGACAAGATCATCATTCACGAACGCTCCTTTCAAAAAGACATCTCACGTTCACCGTCAATCGCGTTTCAGCCCGCGACCGCTACTTGACTGCGCTCTTCTTGTTACCACTGTCTTGTCAATCATTTGGTGAGCTCTTGTGCTCTGAGGTAATATCAGAACGCTTAGGTTCTTTGTATCCCTCGGGGTTCGTTAGGCTTCGATGCACTGCCGCATCGAACTTGAAGCGCATTAACGCCCTCCTTTCTTCTCGCTCGCTCACCACAGGCTAGTCGTGCCCGTCCCTCTGGTCATCGAAGGATTATGGGAAAGCCCCTCACGCACATCGTCGTTGTCCTACAGGTAAGTGGTGATAACCACGCGTAATATGCCTTACTGAATGAACGCACAGTTTTGCGGCCTTGTTCTTCTGACGGCGCTGCTTGCGACGCCGGCCCATCGACACCCAATCGTCAATGGCATAGTCGGCCTATCTATCATACGTTGCATCGTAGGGATTGTACCGGCTACTATTTATCTGAGCAGCCCCAGATACCGAGCATCATTGGACAATTTGCAGCAACATGCAGGATGGGCACGCTTCTGCGTGGCTGATTCTCTCCTGTTTGTGGCATCATTCCGCAATGGCGATTAGCAGCTAAGCCGACTGCGCAGGTTGAATTACATTACAATCGCGAAATCAGCGTTCGCTATCAGTTTCACGCTGGTGAGCATATAAGCTTCGTGTGTAGGGCTACTTCGCTGACTGCTACGAAGCCCTGTGTTACTTGGCCTGGAAATTCACGAGCAATCATCGTGATCGTCTAGAGACACAGAATACACCACAGTTCTTCAAGCGGACAATCATCGTGCTTTGCGTTGGTCCATTTCGTGCGTCTACCGCGGCCTCAGTTCAACAAGGTAGCTCATGCATCTGTTCAGTCTGGGCCCTGCCGGTGATACTTGCGGTAATACCGGAGTTACGACATCCGCTGCAATGAAGCCTGAGTTCATTCGGTCAGTAAGTCCCCGCGAGTCTCATATGTACTCACTCACGGGTCACCATGTAGGATGTATGCGTTGTTAACAATAACGTTGCGCAAATCTTGGCCCTGCTGCTCACTCTCATTCCGCTCACCGTAGCGGTTATCGCATCAATGATGCTCCTCTTCGTCCTCTGGAAATATTACAAGCTGCCTGACCTGCGGCACAGCTTTGAACTGCTTCATCCACTCCGCATCGTCCGCTTTGCTGCTCTCGTATCGACTATAATTGTTCTGCAATTCTGTACGCAATCGTGCTCGCGACATGGGCGCGACACCGGGCAAATGCAGGTGACTTAGAGTGCCAGAATGCCTTCGAGGCATGGCTGAAAACGAGTTTCACTTGGGAATGTGCGTGCTTTGCTGCTCATCCTCGTGAAATTCTGAGTACGAACGGAATGCAGCGGTATCCCCCCTGATATTCTTTCTCATCTTCGCTGCGCAGGAGGAGATCTATTCGGTGTGGTGGCAATGGATCCGACGGTGGCTACCTCACCGGAGCTTCAAGTCCTCTCGTTTCGACGAGACGACCATGTCACCCAGCTCAAAGAAAGATTCCTGCAACCGGCGTCCATTCTACATCTTTGCATGGCTTTCCGGACATCGCAATCACGCCGACCAGGAAGATCCAGACCACTATGACTCTGCCGTCGTGCTGAGTAAAGCACGCGATAACCACAGGGCTGGGAGGAGCCCGCAGGGGTAACCGTCCCCGCGGGCTATCGCGAGGCAAATCATGCACATATCGTACGCTCCCTTCACGCCTAGCCACGACCTCCGAGGACTGCCACCCCCACCGCGCCATCAACGCAGTAGGAGTCAGAGTCCACGCGAGTCGGCCGTGTTCAGGGCTGTACCGTCGCTGTCTGCGTTGGGCCCGAAGCGGAGAGCGACGTCCGAGAGCCGGAAACAGCCTGTGCCGTCACAACTGCTCGACCATAAGCCTGGTGTATGATACACGCTGAGGCGAAGGTCGAGGATAGGCCGGCAAAGGTCTGCGGCTGACGCCCTCGGACGAAGGCCGTTCGAAAGGCGAGGTATCGAGCTGGGCGGAGGAAGTTTGACGCAGATCAGCGCAAGTTCATTGGTGGGATGGAAGAGCACTCGCGACCAGCCAGCGCTGCAGGAGGGGCAGTGGACGCGCTGGATCTACAGGGACGTTTGGTGTGGTGTCTCCTGATTCATAGCACCTATGTCTTGTGTACCAAGTCCTGTCGTGTAGCAAGATCGATCCATGTATATCTAGTGCATCTCAGCCGCAACAAGGTGTTATCCATGTTTATCCAGTTGGCCCCTCGAAAGTGTGAACATGGCAGAGGATCTTCTCTTCGACACGTCTTCCATATTGGGGATGTGAGACTGGGAGTCTACCGGAATGTGCCGTACTGTACAGTTTTACAACACGGTGGCTTGCTCCCAGTCCCCACGTGGCGACCAGACCACTCAGGCGCAAACCTCGGCACGGCGTCCATTCTACCCAAACCTACCGCCCCGCCGTCAAGAACAACGAGCCATGGCCGATATCCAAGTGCGCACCTTTGCTTGTACTCTGATTCTACTCGTCTCATTTCTGTCACCTCTGTAGATCGAGAAGGCGTACCAAAAGCAGTTCCTCTTCCAGAACGCGAAGGCCCGGGGTGTGTATGAACTGGGCTCTGTTTCGGGCGCGAGGTTGACGATGGTATGTAGGCACCAAGAAGGTCTCTACGAGGGAGAAGCGGTGGTACAAGGATGTCGGCTTGGGCTTCAAGACCCCTGCTGACGCGATTAACGGCACATACATCGGTACGTCCAGACCGTTCAGACGTTCGTGCTGGTATTCATACAGCCTTGTGCGCCTCGCCCGTTCAGACAAGAAGTGCCCCTTCACTGGCGATGTCTCTATCCGTGGCCGTATCCTGACCGGCCGTGTCGTTTCGACAAAGATGACCCGCACAATCGTCATCCGACGGGACTACCTTCACTAATCCCGAATACAGTACGTATGCTCGCACCATGCCAACTGACCCGAGCTGATCGGCGGCGTCCAGACCGTTACGAGAAGCGGCACAAGAACTTGGCCGCGCACGTCTCGCCCTGCTTCCGTGTCGAGCTCGGCGATGTTGTCACCGTTGGTATGTAGAGCGCACGCCCGCATTCTTCCAGTAATGATGGCTAATTGTCTCATTTGTGAACAATAGGCCAGTGCCGACCGCTCTCAAAAACCGTCCGGTTCAACGTGCTCCGGGTAGCCAAGAACAAGGCGGCGGCGAAGTCGTTCGGCAAGTTCTAGGCCTGAGGCACAGAGCTTGTCGGTGTATTGGGGGCATACGATATGATATTACTGCTTTCTCGTGTATGGACGCATTGCAATGACCATAGGCCCATGCGAATGACCCAGCTATTCTTCGCTTGTATCGAGATGCGCGTGTCTGAGTCTAGTGCGAGCGCCGAGCCGAGATCGCGAAGTGCGGGGTCTGTACGCGAACGTGTTTAGGGTGGCAAACAGGGGACAAACAAGATACAGGCGTGCCCGCGTCGGGCAGTGTGCAGCCAACCAGGCTTGACTGTGCCATCCCTACAACCGCCCGTTCTTATTCTATCCTTCGTCCTCGTCGTCGCCCGCAACGCAGTCGAGCTTGTTTTGATCCCTTAAATCCAACCCGGCCCCTTTCGCATAGCCCCACCAGTTAGCCCACCCTGGCGCCCACACTCCTGTCTGTGTTCACCTCCAGGCTTGGCCGCTCCAGGTCGCAGTCTCCTCAACCAGGTTCGCCGTCTCTCTCGTCCTCGGCCCTCCCCATGGGCCAGCAGCAGTCGAAGAAGACTCGCAAGCCGGCAAGGAGAGCAGTGCCGACTCCAACACGTCGCCTGATCCCGCCGGCAGCGACGACAACCCTCGCCAGAACGCGCATTCTCGGACAACCGCACCAGACACAGCCAACGGCTCCGCCACTTCCTCACATGCTGAGGGCAATCCGGGCATCACTGTTAGCCATCCTGATGCTGGTGGGGCTTTGCAGAATGGGCACGGTAACGGTTTAGATACCCATCCTTCACCCAACCCAACCTCCCCCCGAAAGACATTCCTTCCACTTCTTCTGGCCCCTCGACGTCCCCATCCACCTCTCCGTCTACGCATTCGAAGCCTCCCCCTCTGGACATCCCAGGACAGACGATTTGACCATGTCGAGCTCACCATACCCACACCAGGCTCGACGAGCAGCTTCGTTATCGACCCCGCCGCCATGTCCAATGGTGCCAAGAATGGCGCAGCACTGAAACAGCTCGACATTGATGACATGATCCAACGGCTGCTCGACGTCGGATACACAGGCAAAGTGAGCAAGTCGTTATGTCTCAAGAACGCGGAGATTACTGCGATATGCCAAGCGGCACGCGAGGTGTTCTTGGGCCAGCCGACGCTCATTGAGCTCTCCCCACCGGTGAAGATCGTAGGAGACGTTCACGGGCAGTATTCGGACCTCATCCGACTGTTCGAAATGTGCGGGTTTCCCCCAGCCGCAAACTATCTCTTCCTGGGCGACTATGTCGACAGAGGAAAGCAAAGCTCGAGACCATCCTACTCCTCCTCTGTTACAAAATCAAGTACCCGAGAACTTCTTCTACTGCGGGGCAACCACGAATGTGCCAACGTCACGCGAGGTCAGTAGCACTTGTCCGTCTCACTCGGTGGCGCTGACGTCGCTTAGTGTACGGCTTCTACGACGAATGCAAACGAAGATGCAACATCAAGACGTGGAAGACGTTCATCGACGTCTTCAACTGCCTGCCCATTGCGGCCATTGTCGCCTCGAAGATCTTCTGCGTGCACGGCGGCCTTTCCCCATCCTTGCACTCCATGGACGACATCAAACGCATACAGCGACCAACGGATGTTCCGGACTATGGCTTATTGAACGACCTGCTGTGGTCGGATCCCTCCGACACAGCAACTGAATGGGAGGACAACGAGCGTGGCGTCAGTTACTGCTTCGGGAAGTCGGTCATCAATGATTTTCTGGTGCGATACGATATGGACCTCATATGCCGTGCGCATATGGTCGTGGAGGATGGATACGAGTTCTGGAATGATCGGACACTGGTGACGGTCTTCAGTGCGCCGAACTACTGTGGCGGTAAGTGACCCCGGTCGTATCAGTGAACAGCATAATGATGCCTCATTCCGGTAGAGTTCGACAATTATGGCGCATGCATGAGGTAAACTGACTCGCTCCATTCACGAAGTACACTCTAATCGGTTTCCCTCAGCGTATCGGAAGAGCTCCTGTGTGCATTCGAGCTTCTCAAGCCTCTGGACGGCCCAGCACTACGGAAGGAGATGACGAAAGCAAAACGGAAGACGTACGTTGCAGTCCGTTCCGAATACCACTTGCTCATCATCGCGCGTACAGTTTGATGGCTACTACCACTTAGCCGGGCCGCTATGCTCATTGGAAGGCAGTGCATATACGATTATAATGCTGGACCGTTGGGCTATGGTTACAGCAAGAAATAGTCAGGTTGATGCGCGGTCACGCCGAGCTGGTGTGTCAAGGCAGAGGCGCATCTGGCGTCTCGTCTGTTCAGACCGCTGTTCTAGTCTTCCGCACCGCAACGCGACTTGCATATCGTCCGCGCGCACCTACTTGCTGTATCCGACTGTGCTAACTTAAACCTATCTCTCCATATCACCCCCGTTCCCTCTCTCCTCTTCGCACCCTGGCTACTGGTGTTCGCACCTCACTAGCATCCTGGACTTTCGTGTGTACGATATTCGCGCATATATCGAGCTGTTTTGGGCTTGGGCGTCCGTTCCCACCGTCATCCCCCGTCGTCTCCTTGCTTGTTCATGTCAACCCTTTCCCGTAGCATTTCCTTTCGATCCCCATCTGTGCTATAGCTACAGTATTCAGACATGCATCGGAGGCATTTTCCTGGCATTGCCGGAGGAATATGGATCGCATATGACCAAGGCTGTATACGAAAGTTGTGACGCATGCATGCGGTTCGGTGCGTCCATCAAGGCGCGCCACCTACATACTAGTACAGTTACCTGCTTGTAACCGGGAGGATGCTTCCGCTTCATCATATCGTAAGCCAGCACACCGAAAGCGACAATGATGGCCCCAGACCCTAGCAGACTCCATGCTGTGACCGTGCCCGCCGCGCCTCCAAAAATGACATCGGACACGAACATCATGACGATGGTCAGGAGACTCCCTACGGACGTCACGATGGGGCCCCAGATGCCGAGGAGAATCTGAAAGATGCGAGGTTAATGAATGTGTGGGCCCCGTGGACGGGCACGAGAGCGTGCCGGAGTGGGAAAGAACTCACCATGAAACCGGCGTTGAACATGACCCCGCTGATGCAGATGCCGACGATGGAGAGGATCTGCGCAGGTGATGTGGGCAGCGCGAAGCGGGTGACGCCGAGAAGCTGTAGGATGGGAATGGGGATCCAGAGCACGAAGAAGGTGCATACCCCGATGGCGGAGGTGAGCATGTTCGGGTACAGCCCGAAGGGAAGGACTGTGCTGGGCGCAGGCTCAGCGGCTACGATGTCTTCCTCCATTTCATTCTCAGACGGGATGCGCGCGTATGCGCCGGCGGGAGGCTCGGTGTCGAGCAGCTCCTCGGGGTCTGACGGAAGCGCAGCGTATAGTTTGTAGAAGACTTGGTACACGCCGTACAGGACAGATGCGAGGAGGGACAACAGATCGCCTGCCAAGGGAGCGTGGTTGTTCGCTCCGGTATGGTGAACTGCTTCAGGTGCGTCTGCGCTACTGCTGCTGCCGCCGTAGACAACTACTGTGGCACCAAGGGTCGCAAGAATAACTGCGGCTAGACGGACAGGCTCCCATTTGAGCTTGAATACGCGGACCGAGAGAAGGTACGCGAAGAATGCGTTCGTGTTCCATAATGCGGTTATATCCGTCACCCTAAAGACGATGAGCAAGTGGCACAGACACCATAAGTCTCACGTACGGTGCTAATGACACAGCGATGAACCAGAGCAACCCGGGCAGAGTCGCACCGATGGTAAGGAGTGCGAGGAGCCAAGCGAGCCTTCTCCTCGGGAAGTGGGTAGTTCTGACACCCGGAGGCGACAAATGCTGTTGTAACGCGGTAATCAGTCGGACGCATAGCTCCCGAGGAGACTGTCGTGCTGCGGTGGCAAGGAACGCGAGATGCAGTGGAGCATGATCATGAACGAGGAGTGGAGTATATAGCTGCATAGTGAAAATATGCGTCAGAAATCCACGCACTGCTCGTCTACAGGAAGTGAATTGCGCACAAAATAAGGTATGGATGTCGGTACCCCAGGGTGGTTTGCAAGTACTACACCAGAATCAGCCCGATGCACGCGCCGCATAAGAAATGCCCTACTTACCTGCGTCAGCTGTGACTCTGCGACGAATCCAATGAGACTCAGGGCAAACAGACCCAAGGCAGCCTTGCCCCCGACATGGATCTTCAGTCCTTCCCGTCTAGCAGCCATCTATTATTCGTCCTTTTGCTGCGGTGCGGCGAGTCGTTGGGGGAAAGCTGGGATCGACGGGTAGTGTAGGCTCATAAATAGGCTCTGAGCGAGCAGTTCACGTAAGGTAGGGAGATAAGGAGTGTATCACGTCCTTCTGTTAGCGTGCGAGAACAGCGCCTTTGTGCAGGAAGCCTGGGCTGGCGGTTTGTGGTAAGGCTGCAGCGCAGTGCAGCCACTGCCAGTCCAGCAGCCGCCGTCCGAGAGGGTCGGGACTCGCCACGTGATTCCACCAGAGCCGCTTCCAGTTCGAAGCCGGCGCACCTGCATTGCTCGACAACTCACACATCGTTCGCTATGCTCCGCGCACTGCTGGCCTCAAGCAGACCGCTGCTGGCCCGCATGCGGGCGGTGACAGTACCACATGCACATCTCCACCCCGTGGCGCCTTCGACCATGCAAGCGACGCCGGCACTCGCGAGGGGGATGAAGGTCAGGTCGTCGGTGAAGAGGATGTGCGATGGGTGTGCGGTGGTCAGGAGGAAGGGCAGGATATACATCATCTGCTCAAAAAACCCGAGGCATAAACAGGTGCGTTGCTCAGGGTGCATTTTCGTCTGTGGTTTGCTCAGACGTCTCGTCGATCCAGCGACAAGGCTGATCGCAGCTTCAAGCCTGTTCCTTCGGATAAGACACGGTGGCTATCGTTCAGTCACGGTAGACGACGCGACAAAACGGGATTCCACATATGGTGGACGGGTACTAGCTAGCGGGCCCACATCTGGAATTCATACTTGACACCGCTTTCCTCCTGTATCCCCTCCGGCACCGCGAACCCCGCCCACTCCTGCAACTCTGCATGGCTTGTTCTTCTCCACGCAACATGCTCTCCCCCTTGGGGCTCTGCATCCAGAAAGTTAGGCATGTGCACGTCGCACTGTTCGAATGCTGGCTCGAGGATGCGCGTGAGGAGGACGCGATCCACATATGAGCCCGACGAAGGTGATAGTGAGAGTGTTTCCCGGTACAGCGAGGCCCCGCCAATAACGAACGCTCTGTGAATGGGTGGTTCTAGACGTTCGGAGTGAGAGAGTCGGTCCAGAGTCGAGTCTAATTGGAGTGTAAGAAAACTGGTGCGGCGGGGTAGTTGCATTCGCTGGCATCCTACCGCGACACGTTAATTCTGTGGCAGACATACAACAACCTGAGACCGACGTACAGCTCATACTGCCTGTTGCTACTGATAACGACGTTGAGACGCCTTGGTAGGGGTCTGAACTTCTTCGGGATGCTCTCCCATGTATTTCTCCCCATCAGTACCGCGTTGACGCTGCCCTCTGGCGCGTTCGAGGTGACGCGAGCAAAATACTGCATCTCCTTCGATAGTCGCCAGGGGAGGCGTCCGTTCTGGCCTATGCCATTGTTGAGAGTTGCGGCGACGACGACAGTCAGCCTGGTCATGGTGGATGGAGTAAAAGTGTAAATAGTGCTAACGTATACAGTGGTGCTAGCTATCGGGCTGTCGCATTAGGCAAGCAGGCTTCTCATCCACTCATGGTGCAGCCAGAGACTGATGTACAACGTTATGTAGGTGTTTCCCCACACAGGAGACCTCAGCAATCATTAATCAATGTCACTCTCTTGACACGACATCGAGGCCATCCACCATTCTCAATACAATTAGCCTCCTTTCGGGGGTTTCAACAACGCTACCTCCTGACGAACGATAGCGACCCAGTCGAAGCACACCCAACAGTTCTTCGCGCTGTGCGTCCTGCACTTGTACACGGTCGACCCTGGGTTCGCCGGGATGGCCCCTCGGTTATAGGCATGGCGGGACATGCGCTTCTGCAACACACACCACATGGTTAGTTCCCCGGTGTAGTGGAGCGAAGTTGTGGCACGTACATCCAAGTCGAAGTCCCTGTCGAGCAAGAGGTCATCGAGGATCTCATACAGATCAGAGGTGTGGTTGTTCTCCAGCCGATAGTCGCAGCCGCATCTGCCGCACTCTTCCTGGCCGTGCTCCTGGCAAAAGTTCCACGCGCGCACGACGATGTACCTCCAATTATTGGACATGGAGTGGCGTGGCCGATGTTGAGAACACGATTGTCCCGCTCTGTTGCGTATGTGTCGTCGTGCTTGAGCGAACTGTTGGCGGGTATCTCAGGGGCTCGTAAGCGAAGGATTGTCGAGCACGATGAAGGCGGTGGTGGCAGACAACGTTCGGGTGGGCTGAGCGTATGTCACAATAGGACATGAACAAAGGGGCCAACAGCGCCATTTAATTTATACCGAGTGGCACGCACCGTGACATTGCAGGCAGCCCGGCGGGAAGAAGCCTAGGCGTGAGAAATTACGCGATCGAGAGAACTCGCGGTGGCGCGCAAGGATTATCCTGCCTTGCGCTGAACTGAGAGGCGTACATCCACCAAGTCTTCCTTCGCACATACACCACATCGACTCCTCTGCGTCACAAATGGATCCATTTGAAGTCAGGCTGCAGTTCATATCACTACTAAAGAAGCTCAACGCGTCAGTACCCTTCGTACAAGTGCGACCCGCGGATCCTGAAAGGCTCATGGTTTAGTTCTCAGCAGTCCATCCAGAAGATAGTCGGCTACGCGCTCAAGTTCTACGCGAGCTGCGGTGAAGACTGTGGGACTGTATCGTGGAGGAATGCCAAAAGGTACGTCACCTAAACCTCGCTAACTCATGTATGTGGGCTCATGGGGAGCTAGGGCTCGATTAACAACCGCATCAACATTCTCTACCTGCTCGATTCATTATCTGAGGCATCACTACTCGCAAAGTCGCATCCCGGCTCTGTCAGCCACGACCCAAACCAACAACACGCGTCATACTACGTGGACTACGTCGCTCGAGACTTGGGTCAAATCGTGGAGTATGTCGTCCCAGAGGGCCGACAGGGTCTCCCGAATCTCATGAGCACGAAACAGGTATGTGTATGTCGTCTGCGCGGCTGCTGTTTGAACGGTGATCATCTGATTCGTCTGCCATCGCAGATTCTCGAGAATTGGCGGAGTAAGCGCGTGCTCGACCCGCAAAAAGTCGACGACGCTCTCGCCACACTCGATTCACGACGAGAAGCGCTAGAGCAAGATCAAGAACAGCAATCCACGGAACCCTCTAAGCCCACAACTGCCCTTCCCCGTCAGGAGATCTTCAAACGGATAGAAGAGGACCGCGAGCGGCACAAGCGCCTCCGGGAGCGTCGCTGGGTGCAGCCAGTCGCACACAATCCCCATACGCACCTCCCGCCGCAGCTCGCCTGCTTCCTACCGCTCACGGACGACGGTGATGGGGAGGGCGAGCTGACCCTGGATATCGAGTTCGAGAACGACTGGGAGGCGACCAGTGATTGGAACGAGGATGACGACGAGGCTGCGGTCGAAGAGAACCAGCTATGCTTCCCGAACGAGGATGGGGAGCCGATGGACCTGTCGTGATAGAGGTCAGTCGTGCGTCGTAACCGATCGCCAATGTAAAATATTTGTGTATTCTAGCTCCATTGCGGTTCTCGCTATACCGTGCTGGTTTGGGGGCCTCATGCCAGAGCGTTCACCAGGGTTTCGAGAACGAATATTGATTTTAATCATCACACTCACCATCACACGACCTACCTGCCTAGACTTACCTATAGGCCTGCTCCGCTCAGAAGACATGATATAATTGAACGGCCTCTTGACTTTCGCTGAACCCTCGACTTGGCATTGCACGGCGGGCTTAATGTTTTATGTCGACCCTCGCCGAGTAGATCGCACAAATAACGCAGTGCAGCAAGGCTGTATTGACATCTCGGGGTCTTCTCAGGAACGGCGGAATGGATGCCGTATTGACGAGAAGGTCGATGGTCTGGTATTGCTCTCACATTCGCCAATGCGGCAAGCAAAATATTCCACGGGAACGTCGAATACTCCGACCTTCGAACTCAAGTCTTCACGAAGAGCAGTGCGGCTGCTGTCAATACCAATCGCAGACGATCCTAGCAGCCCAATCTGGCACTGCTTATTATCGCTATTATCGCGGCGGCGTTTTACAGTCAACCCATCCTTTTTCAGCGACGGCGAGATTGATCTCGCGGGGGCGCCGGCCCTGCGAGGCTTCTAGTGCGAGGCCTCCCGATTACCTAGAGGTTGTGGCGCGCCGAACGTAGAGGCCTGCGTTTCACCCGAGTCAGGGCGGCCCTATTAGGGTGTCGAACGCGGTCACGGGACCGCGTTCCGTCCCACGCGCTGCTTGCACAACGGCTTCGCTCTGTGCACCGCGGACCCTGACGTTCCATTGAGATCGCTTCTGTCCGGTCGATGTACGATCGTCGGTACATGGATCTCCTCTGAGATCCAGTCGTGCGTTGGGGGTAAAAGTGGCTCGTTACCGACTCACTATTCCACACTCTAGCTTACCTCCACTGGCATGAGCAGTACCGAATTTGAACCCACGACTCTGTTGGAGTTTTCAGGTGAGCGACCAGAGGAGTACAGTGTATTGCACAGTGGTATGAGTACCCACCGCAATGGTAGGTATATGTCTACCATACAGTGGTTCTTGCCTCAGAATATTCTGGTGTAGTATGGGCACAGTGGAGTGCCCCTCATTGATCCTGCGGCCGACCAGTTTATTCTCTGTATGGAATATGCATGTCATATAATCTCAATTTTGATGAGGTGAGCCATCCCATTGACAACAAATTCTTGTGTACTCATTCAAGTAAAGAATGGCAACTTCCTGTATGGAGACCCACAGCTCCGTCTTCAAACTACACGACAACGGTGCAGACCGAAGCAAGTTCCCGCGGCAAGAGGATGCAGTTCTCACTACGCTGCTCGACAATACATCAACTTCGACTCCTATCAAGGCAGCCCTCCAGCTGCAGAGAATAATATTCAAGTCAGACCCAGGTGAGTGATTTGTTGACGCCGTGGAGTCACAAGGCAATTCCGCTAATGAAGCATATAGCCTCGACGGGCCAGTTTGCGATCTCTAATATGCCTGTTCTCGCCGAAGCCCACACCGCTACGCCGGACGAGCCAGTCATGCCGCAGGCTCAGGGGTCCATGCCCAGCCCGTTCATGTACTCCCCGACCTCCGGACGTCCTGTGGGCGTCGTCGAGTTGACTAAGGCTCACTCCGTGCGAGCGGTCCGGCGTGGCAAACGTACCACGTCGGTCGCCTGTCTCTTCTGCCGCAGACGCAAGATCGCATGCGGCGGTCCACCGGTTGACAATCCGGACAAAACCTGTATGTGAGTAGCCCGCTGTCTCTGACTCGGGGTCGGTGGCGAGCAGGCATCTGGGGACTGACCGTGATTTGTGGTTCACAGGCAGTGTAAACGGCGGAGGTTTACGTGCGAGTACCCGGAGGGTCGCAACGGCGCACGCGAGTACAAATTCAAGCAGACTCATTTCGCCGTCGATGCGGAATGAACCAAGGTCACAGTGTCCGTGCCGTCGTCGCCGTCGCGAAAGAAGAATAAATGTAGCATATATGTTGACCAGTTGACCAGTAGCCCAACAGTCGGAACCAAGTAGCCGTAGCCCCGTAGATCATCCTAGTGTCAATCCCCACTCTAAGCCGTGCACGGCACCACTTCGTTGCCTTGCCTGAGCCAGGAGCCTAAGACAAGTGAATGATCGATGAGCTACAGTGCGTGTCCTACCTTGTCATTCGACAGACCGTTCGTCCCGTGCTATCGGACGCGACGACACTCGTCTAGATCTAATTACCCGTGGAAAATTGCTTGCAATCCCAGCCATCCTGATGAGTGTTGTATGCGTTCTGGAGGCAGCATGCACCGCTTGGTCGTGGGCCAATGTGAGCGGCGTTCTTTGGTCGTTGTCTCTGGTAGAGTTCAACTGGTATGACAGGCCGCAGACGAATGGTTGCCTCCACAGAAACTGAGACGCGAATTCCGGTGTAGGAGAAGCATATTCGAGCAGTGCATGCAACACTTCATTGGGCTCCAATGAATGGCGGCCAGCTGCGCACGGGTATAAGCATTGAATTTTGAACCTTGACCGTGAATCGTCAGCGTACCTGCCGTCCTATATGACCACCTCTCACTTCATTCCCTGAAGATCACTGACGACAATAGACTGTGAGTCCGCTCGACCCCGTACTCTGACGCTGCATAGGTCGCTGTACGGAGTACATACGAGAACTTCTGACTTCGACCACTACAACGTCAGAGCGCACCGAACCATCCGAGCCGGGTCGGACGCAGCTTATGTAGTAGACGGGATCTGACGGCATCATCGACTCGGAGTCCAGACGTTTAGTTAATCCTACCTATTGTCGACACATGGTAACCTCGATTACCATGATCCGTTGAGGCGGCTCCTACAGGCAGTACCAGGCAGACTCGAGATGGCTGATCGATCGGCGCGTATGTGGTTACTACATGAAAGAGCGTGAGCAGGAAGACTACATCATTGATCGAGGATACATACCATCGATCCATCGCACGATGCACGAGTAAGTGCTTACCTATACTTGTCGTGAGTGGCCTCACTGCTTGGCGTCCTCGTGCAATGAACAAGAAATTGCGGTTACATTGACAGTCAGCATAACAACGTATGCAACACAGAGCAATATTTCAAAGCAAGTTCCGCACGACGGGATTCGTGAAACCCAAGAATACAACGTTGAGATTTGGTTCATTGCATCTTCGCATCACCTTACGCGCCCCACTTCTTCCACTCGCTGCCCTCGGGCGGCTTGACATCGACCTTGCCCTTCCCGACTTCGTCCCAGTTTGTGCTGAGCGTCGTGCCACCGCTCTCCTGGTAACTCTTGAGCATCGCGCGGCGCGTGTCCTCGTCCGCGTCTGCATAAAGTTTCTGGAAGAAGCCGTTGACAGCTGCGTCGCCGCCTGCATTCGGGTCATCGCTCGACGTGATCTCCTTGTCGGAGGAGAGGATCGTCTGCGTGATCGAGTCCCAGTTCTTCTTGGGGTTCTTGCGGGCAGCTTCGACGGGTGCGGTTGCGCTCGGAGTAAAGGTCGCTGGGGTCGCAGCGAGGGCTGCGGTGCATATCGATCATGAGCGAGACGGATCACGGTAAGAGAACACGGAGCAGCTCACGGTCTGGACTATCGCTGACCAAAGATCCCCAACGGCCAGGCACGACTTTGGCGAGACGGATCTCGACCTTGACCTTCCCAACGGTGTAGTCGCTCTTGTCGGCATCAATCTGGCCCTTGAGGGGCGCGAGATTGAGTTTCTTGTCACCGTGTTCGTAGGATAGCTGCGACGCCACACTTGGGTCAGCGGCCTCAACGCGGGGGGCATGCGTCAGGGGTGCGACGCGGACTCACCCTGCGGGACTCAAAGGTGACGGAGACCTGCTGGGGATCCGCGCCCTTGTCGAAGATGGAGATGGTGAGCCGTTCGTCGGTCTCGTAGAATTCGTGCCTTGGGCGTGCAGAGTGAGTGGCGTGGATCGTCGGGGTCTGCGCGAGCGGACTCCTCACCGGATCGACGCCATGGCGGGCTGCAACGCGTTCGGGCTATCGCACTGCTCGATGGTCGCTCGTTTGTGGGTGATTGTCTGGGAGGAGGGCAGAGGATGCGCGCGGTGTATTGTGGTTGTGAGCAAGTCCGACCTGCCCTTCCGGCGCAGGCAGGCGCGCAGGAATCTTCTGGAGAGGGCACGTGAGCAGGACGCGTCGCGGGCGCTGTGACGGGCTGCGTGACGGACGCGACACGGTGTGACGGGGATGTGTGCCTGCCCCGCATACGTCATCGATTCAATGGAGGCGACTGGGGCAACGCCAGACGCAGGCCATGCGATCCGTCCGACCAGCTGGCCCCCTCCAGCCACCGCACCTCACCTATTTCTACCCCGCACAGCCTGTGACCCTTTGACCACCTCGCACAGCCCGTGTCTCGCACGAACAACCATGTCTGACTCTGCCCAAGTCCCCAAAGCCGCTCTGTACTATTTCCCGACCTCTGTCTGGTGTGCTCCGCGTGAGTGGCTACGCGTCTCTTGTGTATCTGTCGCGCTGATAAGCGTCCGGCAGCATTGCTCGCCTTGTCAGTACTAATTTTACTCATCCTGGGACGTTTCTCACTGCTTAATCGTAGGGAAGAGAAGGGCTATGGTGCAGATGAACTCGACCTGAAGCTCGTTGATATCTGTGCGTTGTCTGTCCTTGCATCTTCACAGTGCTCATTCGCCTTGACCACAGCGAAGGGCGAGAACTATGCCCCGTCGTACTTGCGACTGAACCCGCAAGGTAAGCTCTTCACGTCTTGATCTCTCTTCGCTGAGTTATATCCGTTACAAGCTACGGTACCGACCCTGGTGGTCCCTCTGCACAAGACGCTCGCTCCGGACATGGAGAGCCGCTACAAAGCCATCCAAGACTCGAAGGTGAACCTTTAACCCCGCCGCGTCCGCACATCCCATGACCTTGCTTTCAGTCCATAGTCGAGTTTCTCGACAAGTCGCGCTCCACGCAGTCCCGCACACACACTACCTCTGACGCGCCCGCGCCTTCTCTCAGCCCCGCTACGATCGCCTTTTCCGCCGTCTCCACGAAGCTGATCGACCTCCTTCACACGCCCGCGGCCGACCCGAACGCGCTCAAGTACATGAACGCGCGTACGCCCGACGAGCTCCGCGATCTTGCCGCGTCCGAGCGCCCCAAATTCACCGCACGCCGCGCTGCACTCGCGCAGCTTCTCGCGGATAACGAGGCCGCGCGCATCCGCGTGTCCGAGAAGACCCGCGCGTTCTGGGAGGTCAAAAAGGTCGCAATGGAGAAGTTCCTCGACGTGTACGACGAGGCGGACACGCCCGCGGAGAAGCTCGACCAGAAGGCGCTCGAGCGCAGGGAGGCGTTCTTGAAGGACGCGGTCGACGCGTGGGCAAGCGTGCGCGACGTGCTCACGCAGCTCAACAGGGAGCTCATCGGCCCGTACGCACTAGGTGAGCGCTTCCTTCTTCCACCCACCTTGCGTGGAAATTGCCTGTAGGAAGCGCACACTCAATGACGTCTTCCCCCTTCCGCGTGACCCAACAGGCGACCAGCTCTCCCTCGCGGACCTGCACCTCGCCGCCTGGCTCGCACGGCTCGTCAGCCTCGCGGGCGGGACGCTCACGGACGACGGCGCGGTGGCGATTGGGAAGCTCGAGGTGCACGTCGGCGGGGCCGGCGGGGGGTTCGCGCTCGCGAAGGACTTCTCCGTCGCGGAGGCGCGGCGGCGCGCGGGCCTGCCCGTGTCGGACCCCGAGTCGCACGAACGCCAGAACAGGCTCGCGGCGTTTTGGGATGCGGTGCGCGAGAGGCCGAGCTTCAAGAAGGTGTATAAGGACGGGCTGCATTGACGCGTGCGTGGCATTGGGTGCCTGTGGGCGGTTGGTTTGCGTGGATGGGAAAAAGTGATGATACCTGATGGGATGTATGGAAAGAAATGGGGGGTGCAGCGGCGTGCAGAGGAATATACGGCTGTACACTATTGTATTCCCTATCTCCCTATTCAAACATTCGTGCTCGCGCGCATTCAAAGACTCGCGAGATACAAACTTGACGCCAGTGGCAGGGACACAGAATCGGGCAGCCAGCCTGCTGCTACGGGTGGTTCAAAATGCGCGGAGAAAGAATGAGTATTATTTATAGCACTGGGCATAAGTAGCTTCCAAGAACTCCGCAAGTGGAGGCAGTACATGCGAGGGATTTGTACTACTATGCCAACTGAACAGACGAATGCCGAAGGAGAGGCACAACGGGCCGAGGGTCGAGATGAGGAGGGCGCTCGAGGTGACACGGATTGACATCCTTGCACCCCTGCATCCTCGCTCGTACCGTCGCATGGAGTCCGTGAGTATAGAACCATCATCATCAAGCCGCTCTACTGTACTCATTTAAATATTTGTTGCGCGGCTTCACAGTATATTTCACAGTACAGAATGATCCCACGGCCGCGACGCGGGTCGAGATGTCGCCGGTGTCGGGGAAGGCATTCGCGCCCACTTGTGCTCGTCCCTATGTAGCACACAAGACCATTTCTTGAGGTTGAGGAAGTAGACGGACATCGGTATGGCTATTATATGCTCGAGACAGGCATTCAATTGTCATAGAACAGGTTTTCGGCGATACTGGATGCATCTAATTGTATCCGGACATTGCGCGTGTCAATAGGACAATCTTGTATGTGTCCACCGACGAAGACACTAAATATCGCAGCACTGTGCGCCATCGACAAGGCGAACTCACCATGCCCAGTATATACGCTGATCGTCCCGAGGACTGACACCCAGTACGGATGCCGCCGTAGAGGCGCGGATGTAGGTCGCGACCCTAGCGTACAGAGACGCAGTGGAGTTCTCCGCGACTGCGGTGAGGATTAGATGGACCATGTGAGTGAGCTGGTCATATGGTAACCTCTGTAGGTATCATGATCTCTCCTTCGGCTGGTACGATCCACGTACAGTAGCAGAGCGCGGTCGTCGCACTAGGTGCGTGTATCGGCGGGCCGCCATGAATCAGAATGCATAAGTAGTCGGGAGGAAGGAGCGTGCTTGATCGCTCGCAGCCTGTGTTGTGATACCGGTGGCACGGCTGGATTGGGTCAACGCTCGGGCAAGTTGGGATACCACGCTCGATCACCAACAGACTAAGGCGGGATCCATTCGGGCGCAGAAACGCATTGCGAGTTGGTTGCTCGCGACGTTGCTTCACTTGTACAGGTGCTGAAATCAATTGAAGGGGCGTTGGAGTCGTTTGAAGAGGAGGTTGCCTCATTCCGAGAATACCTTGCGTTACTTGTACAGCGGTCGTGATAGGACGACACGGGTGTCGTACGGTACATAGCCTGAGCGCGCTGCGTATACAAAATTGCACGCAGCGCCCAGGCGTCGTTTGCGAAACATTGATCACCGCTTAACATCGCTCAGCGTCATGATCACTGAAGACCGCTGAAACATCTCGCACTGTCCGGTGAGTGAGTGAAAGCACTGCGCGCTTTAAGTTCGCAATCCAAAGTCTCGCGAGAAACAAGCTGGGCAGGATCACTAACACAGCCAACCTGCTGTTGACGGTTCATCATGAGGACTGCGAGACTCCCTATGCACATATACACTGAACCGTACATGCAATGCAGAGGATCCGAAACTCACCGATCCGTTCCGCAAGAGTGGTATTTCCGTCTGCGCACTCGCACGTACCGCAAAAATAGCTCGCAGGTGTGCAACAGGTGTGTAAGGCGTTGGTAATGCATAGTGGTCCGAGGCCGAGCAGCGCGAAGCAGATTATCCCGGCCGTGCGAGAAGGAAGACAAAGCGAGGTGGATGGCTTGGCTGGGCCGAAGGTCCGGAGGACCGTGGAGTGTGTACAACTACCAGTGCTTCGAGCTCCAGGAGAAGTTGACGAACGACTGCGCGTACTGGGTGTTCAGACCTGGTAACACAGCTTGATAGGATGCGCCTACTGCCAAGAGCTATCATACTGCAGTACATCGTGGACCGCGGACCACACATGTTTTGTGTATGCGACAATGAGATTGACAGACCGCAGGGAGATGCACCGCCAGGCGCAGATGGAGTTGTCCAAGTACCGGGGCGGTTAACATTGACCGAGAGCTAGGAAATGCATGCGTACTTACCTGCAGCGGTGTGCGCACTGCAGTGATGCTGCGCGGATCAATGCGATGCGACGATTGAGTACTCAACTATTGCACAGTACACTCCAAGTGAGCACACATCCTCGAAGATGGTCACGCTGGGAGAGACGAGTAGAGATAGCGACCACGGGGCTGTCGAATCTGACAGCCTCACAAGGATGGAGGTCGTTGCGAGGTTCCTGACATGATGGGCGATGAACTGGGCAGGGCGGCGGGCTGACACTGATATAGCGTCCGCACGACACGGAGTGCATCGGTGCTGGCCATAGGCAGGACGCTGTTTTTTTAGCGGCTGAAGAGGGGTTTTTGTCGAATATCGAGGGCACGGATTCGCAGAGGGCGTCGTTGGTGAAGGGCGGAGGATTGGCGGGAGAAGGGATTTGCCCTGCGGTGGCTGCGGCGACACATAAGGAAGGCGCGCCGCCCAGCCATCGGCTCGCCGCGCAGACTCAGACGGGTGAACGGCGCCGCACAGCGACTTTGACAGCGCTCCTGCCAACTCTGCCTGCTACTTGCTCTCTACCTACTCTCGCCTGCTCGCCCGACTGCCCCCCTCTCCAGCGTGTGCACGACTGCAACGCTCGGGCTCACCGGGGCGTCCGTGCCAGGCTAATACCCCTTCGGCTTCGCCCACCACCCATTTGACGACATCATCCACCCCCGCACCACGCTCCTTCTCTGTGCTGGCCATGTCCTTCCCCTTCAATCCTCTCGGCGGCTCCTCCACACGCCCCCGCATCCAGCTCTCCCACATCCCCCCACCCCGCCGCCCCCAGACGAGTATGACGAGAACGTCTCCGACGACTGCGACGCAGATGCTCGCTCGTCCCTCTCCGGCTCCCACCTCCATCCAAACCATCTCTCCGCCCGCAGCCCTTACCCTTCCTCTGCCCCGCCCTCTCCGGACCTTAGCGCACAGTCCGCCCACCGCCCGTCCAGCCGCCCGCTGCTCTACTCAGAAAGCGGTAGCTACGGCGGCGGTTACACTCACTCGCCGTACTCCACAGCGTCGAACACGCCTCTCCCCTCACGCACGCCCTCCCCCGTGCCACTGTACTTCTCCGGCGCGTCGTCCTACAGCTCCGAGAGCGATAGCGAGCTCGACGACGGGCCGTACCACCGCAGCGCGACCAGCAGCAGCTCGCGTCAACCCAACTGGCGAGAAGAGCAGAGACGATGGTGGATCATGGGTGCAGTACGGAGGCGTCGTCGGCGAGAGCGAATTGGATGGTGGAGGACAATGAAGCGAGGCTTCCGGCTGCTCATTCGACATCCGTTCTTTCCCAAAACGCCCGTTACCATTGTACGTCTGTTGCCCTGCACCCTCGCCACTGCAACGTGCCCACTGACCGACCTCGTGCACAGCTGCTCACCCTCGTTCTGCTCACCATCTTCGGCGTCTCCCTCACGTTCCTCATCATCTACATCCTCAACCCTGACAAGGAGCCTCTCCCTTGGCGCGGCTACTGCACCGTCCCGCAGTTTTCGACCCGCCCACCGTCGCTCTCACTTCCGACGACCGCGCAGTTCCCGGACCCGCTCCCGGACAACTTTACGCCCGCAACGTTTCCCCCGTCTAATCTCGATGACCTCTCGCCCGCAGGTGTTTTCGTGGGCGTGTTTCGATGGACAACGCGGTGGAGCGGAGAATGCTCATTCGGTCTTCATGGGCAGAACACCAGCGCAGCCGGGATGGCGCAGGAGAGGGAGACGGCGGTGTCGGGACATCGAGGACGGTCGTGCGTTTCGTCTTGGGTGAGCCTCGCAACGAGTGGAAGCGGCGGATACGGCTAGAGATGGACAGTGCGTGCCCTTTCATCTGACCTGCTCGCATGTGCTGACTCTATGCGTGCAGTGTACAACGACATGGTTATCCTGCCGATCCCGGAGAACATGAACAACGGTAAGACCTACGCGTACTTCCACTGGGCCGCGCGCAACGCATGGGTGCCTCCGCTGTACTACGACAACTTCGCGCACGTCCGGAGGGCCTCTCGTACGCGAACACGACCGCGTGGTTCTCGTCCATCCCCGCGAACCACGACCCGCTCGCGGCGAGGCAGGACCACGCGAGTGGGAACCCGATGAAGTGGGTCCGCCCGGACTACGTGGTCAAGACAGACGACGACTCGTTCGTGATGCTTGCGGAGCTCGAGGCGAGGCTGAGGGTAGAGCTGCATCGGGATCCGCGGGAGGTGAGGCTACAGAACGGTGTGGTTGCGAACGACTCGTTCGCGTTTGAGAACGGCTCTTCGTCCTCCTTTCCTCCCGCTGCCGGGTCCTCCGGCTCAGATTCAGAACCCAGAACCCCAGGCACCTCCGCGTCGAAAGCCATGAACGTACTCGTTACGCCCACCTCGACCCATCAACCATCCTCGTCGCCGCCTCCCTCGTCCTCGCCATTGCCCTCGTCACCTGTGCTCGCTTCCGCGGACCCACTCATCTTCTGGGGCTACCTCGTGAAGAACCGGTTCATGGCGGGCGAGCTGTACGCGCTCTCATGGGCGCTCGTCGATTGGGTCGCGAGCGATGCGCAGGTTGCGGAGTTGCGCAAGGGCGCGGAGGATAAGCAGACGAGCAAGTGGATGCGCTTGCACCCCCGCGCGGACGAGGTCCGGTGGGTGAGCGAGCGCTGCTGGATATACGACCACCCGAGGGCAGGCACGGTGTAAGTCTCGCTTCCTTCACTTCGTACGCGCGCGGAGGGCTGATTCTCGACGCGACAGGTACTCGCACGGCTTCCTGTTCCCCTCGGAGATGACGCGTGTGCAGGCGGAAGTGATGAAGGACATCGCGCGCGCGGTGCCCGAGGAGGTCGCCGCGCAGAAGGCGGGCTCGATGCCGTCGCCGTTCGGCCCGAACGCGCCCGTGCCGCAGACGTGGGCGCGCTCGACGGTGTCCAAGTTCGGCCAGCGGTACAGCCCGCCGCTGCCGTACCTCAGCCAGCAGACGAGCATCGAGGCGCTCGTTGAAGGGAGCGAGATGTCGCGGTTGATCGAATGTGCGTTCCGCGTTCCGTTTCGTGTGCTAGTCGATGGCTCATTCTGTCGCGCAGCGAGCGACGTGAACCCGTGGTCGGTCTGGCTGCGGCGCGAGGGCCGGAACACGCGGTATAATCACCAGCGCGTCGGGGGCACCGTCGTCGTGCATTTCATTAAGAAGAACATGTGGTTCCTCGAGACCGCCGCGGCGTTCCTCCTCGGCGACGAGGTCACCGACGCGGAGCACGGGTACCGGTGGCACGACGGGCACTACGTCGGCCCCGCCGGTGAGCGCGTGCAGGGCGAGCGCGTGCAGGGCCAGGGCTCCGCATCACTGACGGAGCAGCACCCGATTCAGACGGCGAACGTCCGGAAGCTGCATCGGAGACGATAGCCTTGGTGGTTGCGCTTCGACTGGCTGTCTTTTACTGGGTTTCTGCTGTCGTGCTGCCCTCTTTGGCTCGGCGACGGCACTGGCGTGCACTGTATGTAGTACACCGTTGCGATGTGTACGTACGTATGCATGCGCTCCCTCCGGGCGGACCTTCCTACGCTGCTGCCGAATATTGCTCATCCCCCGCCTTGCATCTTCGCCCATGGATTCTCGCAGTGAATCTGAATAACTAACTATAAAGCCGCAGTGTACCTTAGAAAGATACCTTCATTGACTGTTCATAACACAACACGCTATTCTTCTTGCTTTGCCTAACTGCTCACGTATATTTCGCGGTCTCCATGGACGGTTTCGGCTCGCTCGGGATGGGCGGGCGCAGGAAGAAATATAATAAACATAGTTTGCTCTCAGACTGGATCCGGAGCCTTGAACAATAAGCTACAGCGAGGCCTAGATATGGTCATAATGTACATCAGATAATTGCGTGAGGGCGGTATCCATCTAGCAGCATCGCGGCACTGGTCGTCTCATCCGGCTCCTTGAGCGCAACTGTAGACTTGAGTCGTCCGGTTACAGCTCTGCGAATCGTCTTCTCCCACCGCTGGAACCACTCGCCCTCTCTCAAGCCAACCGTCCTCGCAGTGCCCCTCCCGATGTAGACCACGCGCGAGTCGCTGGCGGAAGCGGTCCCAGGAAACGGCGGCGGAGGGTCCGCAGACGGATCGACGAGCTGCCACGACTTCAGTGCGTACGCGCCCCCGCAGACTTCCCAGCGCCCGCCGCCTCTGCGGCCGAACCGCTGGTAGAGCCAGATGAAGGGGTAGATGAGGAGCAGGATGAGGATCAGCTTGACCCATTTGTTGGAGAGCGTGCGGGAGATGGTGTTGTCGGGCCGGACACAGATCTTGGAGCTGGAGGACTTAAACTCGACGGTGAGGCGGCCGGTGTAGTAGGTGGACTTGATGGCTGCTTCGATGGCGAGCTGGAGGTTGACGAGATGCCAGCCGTAGACGACCTGCGGGGGGACCGGACTGTGAGAGACGTGATGAGCGCGTGTTGGACGAAGCCTTACCTTCTCATAAGTGAACTCCTTGAGCAGCTTGTCACTGGCACAGTACTCGTCCGCCCATTGCCTCAAAGTCTGCGACGATTTCAGGACCCTCGTGTGCTGCACCTCTGCACCCGCGTGCCCCAGCCCGCCTTCGCACTCGAGCGACGCCCACGGAGGCAAACCTCTATCTCGCCGTTCTTGCCGCCTAGCCTTCCCCATCTTGACATCCTTCCTAGAGGCGTGTCTGCGCTTCCGGTGCTGGACTATGCCTTCGAGGTCGCCCGCCTCGACGAACTCACCCGTATCCACCTCGCGGTGCATCTTGCCCCTGTAGGCGGGCTCTTCGTCTGGCACACTCCAGTGCACGGGCCCCAAGGCTATGTGCTGCCCGATGTCAATAGGGAAGTCGAAGTCTATGCAGAACGGATGAGCGTGATGAGCACCAGGCTTCAGCTAGGGTACGCACCATTATCTTCTCTGTGTAGTGCTCGTGATGAGTGCGGTACTGCCCGTCTTGGTCCTTCCGTGAAACCATGCGTGTCCGCGACTCGGTATGCACCCCGCGTAGGTGGACATAGAACGTCGGCGGTGTCTCCGCATGCGACAGTAAGAACCTATACAGCGCCTCGCCTGCGCGACCGGTCAGATCCTCACAGCCATATGCGCTGTAGCAGTTGTAGGCTCACCGTCCTCGTTGAGGTGCCGATCATGAGAGACGATACTGTCCCCAGACACGAAGAACTCGGCTTGGTACGGCGTGAAGGGCGGCGGCTCCTCGCCGCCCTGGGGCACGTAGACCTCCGAGTCTGCAAGATTGCCATTGAAGTAGCTGTAGGGACTCTGTAGTGCCGAGCTCGGTCCAGCTCCCGCCGCGATGCTCTCCTGAAAGCTCGGTGGCGGTGCCTCCTCCGGTAGCACATGAGACGACGACCCTATGAGCGGCTCGGTGGCTGGGTCCGTCTTCTTGTCGTCATCGTTGTGGAGAATCATGAGGGTATGTGGGGAGGATCAGGTCGTGGGGGTTGTGCACCAGGGGAGCGGTTTGCGACAGGGACGATCGCTGCGGTGGGCGGTCATTTTGGCTGCGGTTAAGTCTGACCGGAACAGCCTCGGCGCAGCGGATCCTTGGATCCCAACTATCCAATTTACGCACCTCGCGGGCTGCGCAGACCTCGGTTCACGTTCGTACGGCGGAAGGACGACCTGCAGAACAAACGACATATAAAGGCTAAGCATTCCAGCAAAGCTTTAGATACGCTACAATGCGGAGGGTCCGTTCTGAAAAGCTAATGGCTACGAGTCTGTCTAGGAAGTACTGGTTCTGTCCGTGAATCGTCAACCTATCGTATCTGTGCGTAGTGGTACTAAAAATTCAACACCGTGCGCGAAACGCACGCTACTGCACGCGCACGGTGCGGCCAATTCAAAATGACAGACGAGAAGAACAAGCAAGTCCGCAAAGGAAGTCCCTAGCTATGCAATGTGTATGTTTTCAGCTCAATCTCGGAGCGTTGTTTCTCGCGAGAGGTCCGCGCCGTCAGGATTCCGCACCTACAGCATCGCGTTAGCCAGGTATCGTAGGGAGAAAATCGACAAACTCACCTCAAGAGCAGGCTTCGAAGCCCCCGGGTTCTCGAACGGACCCTCCTCCGCCATAGAATAAACAGACGACGTCCCTGATTCCCTCATACCAGCTGCAGGCTGCGCTGCCTCCTCACTCGCACTCCGATTCGCATCCACCAACCTCTTCGGATTCCGTGGTGGAGGAGCCAACAAATCGCCCGACGAGCTAGCGTTCACCATGGTGGCAGGCGTCGCTTGCCCGCTCTCGCTCGCCACGCGGTCACGGTTGTACCCCAACAGAAGGTCATGGCTGCTGGCACTGCCTTGCGCACGATGTCCGAACCCAGAGCTGCTGTCGCTGCGCGAGCTGGAGCTGTGTCCGTGACCCGGGTGCCCAACGGTGTACGCGCCCGGCGGCGGGCTATTTGTGGGGGCGGGCGCGTACCCGTCTCGCCGCGGGAAGCCCAGGGTCGCTGGGGGCGGCGGGTGGATCGTGCCGTACGCTGCGTAGGGGTCGAAGTCGACTGCACGCGTCTCTACAGGCTCAGGGCCCGCGGCTGGGTCGTCCATGTAGCCTGAAGGAGGACGTCCTGTTGCGAGGGGCAGGGACGTAGTCGTGTCGGCGAACGGATTTGAGGCGGAGGTGTGTCGTGAAGTGCGCTGCGACATGTTCGGCGCGGCCCCTTCCATGTCGCCATCGAGCGGACGGCGGTTGAGGCCGGCTGCTGCGAGGGTCGAGGCGACTGTAGTGTCGTGCTCCAGTCTGCGAGTGCGGCGGCGTCGACGAATGAAAAAGAATAGGAAGAGTAAGATCGAGGCAGCGGCCAAACCAACAATCAGGAAGACGCCAGCAACAGCACCCTTGTTGTTGAAGAACCTGGTGGGAACTTGTTAGCTGCCCCTTTACAAGCCGCAAGAAACGGCTTACTGCGAGCTGCCCTGACTGCTGTCGCCCTGAGTGAGCGGAGTGGGATTGCGACAACTACTGTCACAACGCTCGGACCATTGCTACCACTGATCATTGAGGTCTCGGTAACGAATGGCGGAGCAGTCGTGACTGTCTTTCCAACACTGTTGGTCGTGGTCACATATATGGTTGACCCGGCCGTGGAACTGCCAGGAACAGTGGAGATGAGCCTTTATAATATCCAAATACGAAACCATACGCACGTCGCAGTAAACGTCGGACTGCTCGAACTGCTAGAACGCCCGCTCTGGGAAGACGTGCTGGTACTGTAGACCGTCTCCGTTGCCGACCCAACCGAAGTGCTGATCGCACTTGCAGATGAGGAAGAAGAGGGAGGCGTCGAGGACGGAGTAGTCGAAGGGGAGGTCGTCGTGTCCTGACTGGAGGAAGAAGAGGACTGAGCGGACGAGGAGGTCGTCGTTGTGTGACCCGGTCACTGCTCGAAGTGCTGCTCGACTGGTCGTCGTTGACGTAGAGCTGCTAGACTCTTGACTGGTTGACGAGCTGGTGGACGTAGACTGCGAGGTGGAAGATGACGACTGTGTGACCGCCGAGGACGCCGCACTCGTCGACGCCCGAGTAGCCCTATGTACAAATTACGCGTGAGCTTCATGGAAAGTCAAACAGGGTGGAACTGACGCTGAAGCGACAGAGGACATGCAGAGGAGGACCCGGAGGAGGATTCCGAGGCGGTGGCGGCGCTGCGGACAGACGAACACCACCATCACTGCGACTGCGGCAGGACAGGCATGATAAACGAACACTTACGAGGTAGAAGCAGCTGAGCTCATCGACGAGTCGCTGGTGGACCTCCTAGAGATGGACGTCGAAGATGCGGCAGCAGTGGACGCCTGCGTGGAGGCAGCCTGCGAGGACTGCGCTGCAGAGGACGTGGGAGCGCTGGCCGACGACCCAGCAGAGGACATAGAACGGGCGGAAGAGCTGACAATGGCAGTCGTTGAATCCGTGGGAGTACGAGAGACCGTTGATGTGGGTGATAGCGTGTCCGAGTTCGTAACGGAAGCCGAAGAGGCGGAAATCGACGACGCGGTCGGGGACTGAGAGGTCGCTGAAGCAGTATCAGTGCCTGAGGCTGATGAACCTAGGCAAAATGAAAGAATAGAATTCAGTATGCCGGTCTGCAATGTGGGCCACTAAACGGAAAATGGCTAGGTTGTGCGCATGTGCGGGCCGTGCCACTGTCAAGAGCCCCTGGGGCCTGACGAGAGGAAGAGGTCAGAAGGACGCGACACCTGCACGCAGGATGACTACAACTCACGATGGCGTTCGTCCAGGGCCAGGAGGTCAAGGCAGGACCAGAGAAACCGAGACGACACGAGGCAAGGTGCAGCGACGGCCAGGGGGAGCCGGCGATGAAATCATGCAGTGGGGACGGGTCGCTCACCTGGGCTGGAGGGACTAACACTGGATGTCTGTCTTCTGTCGTGAATGAGGACATGAGCCATGGCCTAGAGAGGCGACATGGAGGAGAAGGAAGAGCAGGACATGGGGAAATAATAACGGGCGCGATATGGAGCACGGCGTGTTCTGCCCAGGTTATCGACCCTCCGCAGACTCTTCCTCGCGCGCTACCATGCCGGCGCCACACCTTCTTGCGCAGCGCCACTCCCGGCCCGCGACGCGCTCTTACCGACTCAACGCCAACATCCCGCCTGCTCACTGCCGTCTCGCCATGTACATACTTGCGGTCTGCTTTTGGTTGCAGCGGGCTACGGACTCAATTTTACACCCGTGCAATGCTCCTCGGGTGCAGACAGCAGATAATCGATGCTTCTGTCCATTTGTGGCAGTCACGGTGCCTCAGCCGCAACTTTAATGCCGACAGCGTGCTGGCAACTGACGCGACGCCCTTGCTTCACTTCGTAACTTATCGTAAGCAGCCTGTTTGTTCCGCTATCGTAACATGGCCCATGCCTTGCTGCAAATGACTCGGGAGTGCATGGGAACCTGCCATACGCGATGGCGGAGGTCTCCTGCCCAATATTGTTGTTGTTATTCGCCATGACATAGACATGACGGACGACCGAGCGAAAGCCGTGCTCGCTAAGCCTCCAGAGCGCGCAGACAACCGACGTACACAGAACTTAGCGCGTGCACGTACCTGTGACGTTAGCGCTCCATCGGACTGAATGGCGCGAAGCGAACAACAGGTTATCCAGTAGTGTCCATGGCTAAGCTCATACAAGTAGTGAGATACATCCGAGGATTAGGAAGAAATAATCATAGACGAAGGAATGAATCCGTATACCGAACGGGTAGTCTAGCATGCAGATGAGGAAGATGGTGCGGCGTCGTTGTCGATTGTGGCGAGAGCGAAGCGTGAGATGTTGAACGAGATACTATGCTGATGGAGACGTCAGCAACTCGTGCATTATGACAGTGTGTACACCCACTGACAAATACGTAGTCCAGATGCTCAACAAGCCAGAAGTCGTGATGTCGGTGGGCGGTATAGGTCAGCAACACCTGCTGGTGATCCCAGGAAGTTTAAGCTTGACGGTGCTCTTCCTCCTGGCGTGGCTGAGGCTGCCGAAGCTCAGTCGCCCGAGCTGTTTACCCTCCGCAATGCGCGGTCACCGTAACTGACACCCTCCCAGCCTTGTCCGGGTCGAGCTGGCCTGATTCTATGGCGAGCAATATTGACGAGCGCAGAGCAGAAACGGCGCCTCGACATTATCTCCTGACAGCGAAGACGCCTCGAGGAAATGCACGTCTGGTACTCCGGGTCAGCTAAGGCATCACGGCAAGGCGAAGCGCACACACTGTTCTCAGCCGCCCACCGGCTCGCCTCTGCCCATTCTACTTCGCGTCCTCTTCCCTATCCGATTTGTTGCCTACGAGGACGGTGACGAGGTGTGGGCTCGCAAGTGCACGCGCATCCGCAAGCCACCTCGAGAGATTCTGGAACGACGCGCGGCTGTTCATCGCGCTCAGCAACGGTCGTGTGCGCACCTCTCTCAGCGACAACGCACCTGGTAATGTCATACACAAGTATGGCACCCGCCGCCCCTCGATAATAGCTTCGCGTGACAGATCTACGTCAAGAGAAGATCCTCAGAGCTCAGCTAGGCGTCACGCGAGTCGTGTTGCAAGCCTGACCTAAACCTCTCCTGCCCCGCCGTGTCCCACAACTGGTCACAAGGTCAAACGAAGATCCATAGAGATGTCGTGGATGGTGCACTCGTACCTGCAACTTGATGCGCTTCTCGCCTAGCCGGATCGTCCGGCTGGAGAACTCGACGCCGATGGTATGTTGCGAATGGTCCTTGACTGCGAACGGTTACGGTTGAGGTCAGTATCTACACACCGGTCCAACGCAGCACGTACATGTGTTGTGCACGAATTGGTGCAAGAGACACGACTTTCCCGTGGCAGCTTCGCCTTCGCCGAGCAACGTCAAATTCAGCACAGATGCCGCGCTCCGTCTGAGGCACCGACATACCGATAATGATGTACTTCATGAGAAAGTCTAAGGCCAAATTCCCTTCAGCAAACGCTCGAGCGACACAGCAATATGCTGACCATAAGTTTCCATAAGCTCTGTGGCATCTCCATCGTAATCGTCGAGTGCCATCGCAGGGATGTGGTATCACAGCAGAGGTGGAGAGAGGACGAGTGCGGTGAGATGGTCCGGACGACTTGTGGCTCGAGTCGGTTGGGCGCTTATGCCGGTCGCGAAACACGTGCCGGACGCGTCGAGTGCGCACCACTTTCAGAGTTCACATCATTCGCAACTTGCCATGCGCGCACGACTCGGTCTGCAACAGCTCCTTCGACAGGCATACGCTTGCTGTCTTCAATTCCAGACCAACTGAACTACATATTGACCATACCACGGCACTACCATAATGTCTGCTTCACCAGCCCTTCCAGGGTACCCAAACGTCCTCGACGACCTCGCCCTGACTGTCCGTGTCCGAATCCACCACATAGTACCACGGGTACGCCGCCAGTATCAAACACGCATGCTGCCCGACAATCTCGACGATGTCGCCTACTTTCACCTTATCTTCCTCCCTCTCTGCCGCGCCTGTCTGCGTTAGGACGCCATGCTCTTGCGAAATACGCCCTAGACTCCACGGCTTTCCGAGTACCTCCCCGAAACCAGGCTTACGCCCACTGTCCTTGCTCATGGCGATTGCGCCTGCATCGCAGAGGGCTTCGTCTGTGCCGTCCTTGCCTCGCCCAGGGTAATACGAGACGACCGTCGTGAGGACGCGTTGGGCGACGCGCCTGTGGTCGACTAGGCTGGTGTTCACCTGTTGCAAGTCGAGGAGCGGGTAGTTCCCTACATTCATGTCAACTTTCTCTTAAGAGCAGGGAGTGAAGGACCAACCCGCGTGTATCTCGAGTATGCCATATAGGTGAGCCTTGATTTGTGCTCTGGCCTCTGCTGTCGCGACGTGGGCGGACGGTGTGGACCCCGCCGCGATGACGAACGGCTTCGATGGGCCTGTCAACTCCGGATGGCTCTTTAGAAACTCCAGCGCAACGCCGGCCGCCGTGTTTACTGCCTCGAGTTCAATGGTCAAGTAGGACGACGCCTCGGACACTGACGTCGACGCATAAGATGACGACCCGTGGGTGTAGAAACCGTGCACAGAGACTGCAGGGGAGGAGAATACGGCTTGCAGCAGCTCCTGGAAGACTGGTGTGTTGGCTTGCAGACCCGCACGTCTATGCTGGACTCATGAACGATTTCAGACGCCTGGAAAAGAAGACGGCGCACTTGGAACCGCAGTCAACTTTAATGAACACAGACCATTGCCGGGGTTGCGCTCTGGTTTGCTCGAACGCCTCTAGAAACTTGACTTGCTCTGGATGGTCGACCAACAAACGGATGACTGCGTCGAATGGTGCTATCTCGTCCCACAGCGACGAGAGGTCCTGTACTTTGTTCAAACCCACCGGCAGTCCGTACAGGATCTACCGCGAACAATCAGCGCAGGGGTCGTTTTTAGGTAAAGTGGATTACGTCTTTGACGGTCCCGTCGGCGACCAACCCTGCTCTCACCACACCGTAGGCTTCCATAAGGGTGGACACGACGATCGCGTCCGTCTTGTCCACACTGCTAACCAACTGCATCCGCGTCCCCTCCGCTGTCTGGCTCAATTCAGCTACAGTAACATCCTCGTCAAGTCGTCTGTCGCTCACCTTGTGCGATTTCACATGCGCTCTGAACACGTCGCCCCATTGCTTTGCGTTCTCGTGCATCAGCTCGCAATTCTTCTTGAAGACCGCGCGGTCCACGACCAGAGCGGGAGTTCTGAGCGCATTGAGAGGCTTTCCCTTGAACTCGGCAACGAGCTTCTCTTTGTCTGGGCCTCCGATGAAATCGAACGGCGTCGTCGTCTGCAGTACGTTTGCGCTCATGGCTGGGGTGGTACTCGGTGCACAGTACAGCGAACGGACGATAGCATCGCTGCGCTCGAGCGGCGAGCATCCGATATCGCGGTCACGTGTGCGCCATATACGCGTCTCCACGGTCGCGGCTCTCCGTTCGACTCCACCGCGACTTCTCGGGCACACGCATGTCAAAGCAGTTCGTCCATGTCCTGTGCTCGCACTGAGATGCCATTGAGATGGCTGATACACCACGGTGTAACTCATACCTTGTCCTCGCGATCGCCTGACCTGAACCCATATGGCTCAAACGGAGCGCAGAGTTCACCAGCCCATCCACCCGGACGTGCTCCTAAACTCGATCCAGAGTTCGCCGCCTACTGGAATGCTACTGACGCGTACAATATCCTCTTGAGCTACGTCCTTGGGATCCGCGTGTCGCAATGGACCGCACGTACTCGGTGGGTCGGTGCCTCTGAAGGTCGGCAAGGTGGAAGATATAGTTCTGGGCAAGTTCGATGTACGCGTGTATTCGCCGGATGGCGAAGCCCCAGAACGAGGGTGGCCTGTCTTCATCTACTTCCACGGAGGCGAGATTGTTGACTGTCTGTTGCTCGTCTCTGTTCATGCTAATACTCGTGCTCAGGTGGTTGGACTCTCGGAAATATAACCACGAACGGTGCCTTTGCTTCCAACGTTTGCAAGCGTGAGTATTGAAGCTTTCGATCCACGGCAAATAGTAGATCAATCGCTGTTTGAAGGTGCGAACTGTGTCGTCGTCGCCGTCAACTACCGTCTCGCTCCTGAGAACCCGTATCCTGCCGCCGTGGAGGATGCCGTAGAAACGTTGCAGTGGGTCTATCGAGAGGGCAAGGAACGGCTGAATGCAGACTTGTCAAGACTCGCGGTTGGCGGCTCCTCTAGGTACGTTCTCGACTCGCTGCCTGCCATGCCCGCTGAAGTCCCGCTAACATCATTTCGATAGCGGAGGTAACCTCGCCGCGATTCTTGCGCACAAGGCCATACACTTCGAGCCTCCTATCCCGCTTGTCTTTCAATTGCTTGTGGTACCGGTGATCGACAACACCGCTTCGCTCACGGGAGTTCCGTACAAGTCGTGGGCGGAGAACGCGAACACGGTCCAGCTGACCCCTGCATTCATGCTCTGGTTCCGCGACAACTACCTTCCAAATTTGGCGGACCGTGCAGCATGGGAAAGCTCACCTATCTATGCCCCAGAGTCTTCGTTCAAGAAGCTGCCGAAGGCTTGCGTTCAGGTGATGGAACTGGACATATTGCGCGATGAGGGGATTGCGTACGCGGAGAAGTTGAGGCAGCATGGCATCGAAGCGGAGGTCATACTCTACAAGACGGCTCCGCATCCGATTCTGTCTATGGATGGTGTGTTTGATATCGTTGTCTCGTCGCTGGTGTATAGATAGCTGACTCCGGTGTCTGCAGGGTATGGCTGCTCATCTCAAGTCGAGTCTTACTGACAATTTGTCTAGAGTCCTGGAGATTGGTCGGCGCTGTGTCACCGATGCTGTCCAGGCAGTGGCACGAGCCTTCGGCACGGCGTGATATGACTGGGACGAGGCATTCATTATGTGTGCTAGAGAAGCGTGGAGAGGCACAAGTACTCTGAGTTCGACTTGCGCTTTCTGCTGACGCGTTGCCGGAAGCGTTGGTACGACGATACACTTGATGATACACAGCATTCTCAATGTCTGTGCATTAATTGTGTCGCGCGTTTCTCGTGCGTCCATACAGCGTCAATTAAGCTACTATCACCGAAGTACACGGTTATGTGCAGTTGCCTTCAGAATCAACGCGGTAAGCTGCCTGGGCGTACGTACCATGTTCTCTGTCGGAAACCTTGTCTCAACAACAGTATCCGGTATAGATGTGTGAGTCGAGTTGAAAGTGCCATGGCCTTGGCCGACCTCGAATGATAGTGTGTTTACTTGCGCGTCCGCGCAGCGTATGTCCCTCGTCACAAATGTACGATTGAGGAGGCTTGTAAGGAGGGAGTTGGCATAGCTTCCAACGACAGTCAGTTGAGCTCGTTCCTGAGCAGAGGCATAGAACGTTGGCTGCCTTACACTTGACTGATTACCAACGAACTGTGGACACATCAGATAACTGTTGGCAATCTAGACCGCTTCGAGGGACTTACGGAGTAACATAATACATTCTATGCTGTGAACGCGACGTGTTACATTCAGTGCCAGAGCAACTAGTCGAGGAATGTGCGACATACGGGAAAGATCATGCAGAGCACAAGATTGAGGCCTGCCATGCTGGCTGATACAAATGAGTCCGGTGAAGGTTCATCAGCACCGACACAGGTCCATACAGAGACGTGAAAATTCGCCGCATCAAGCCTGCCACTTGCCGGTGAATTTCTTCGCTCAGCATTGGAGGCGGCGCTCGGGTATACTTTTGAGTAAATCCGAGTCAGGCGACGGCGCCCACAACGATCCACGAGTCGACGCGTTTCATAATCCATCGGGTCAGAAAGTCATCCGACTACTAGTAGCTCCTGCATTGACCGCCGATTAGCAGTAGTTAACGCGATGCGTGACAGGCCTGGGCATGGACTCTACGGCTCACCAATAGGGGTTATACAAAAATGACATGTCTACTATATTCGCAGACTGGGAGACCAGGATCCTATAAGCACGAGAGTAACTGGACGCCGATAATTCATGAGTACTACAGGGCCGATGCCCGGTGGTGACTTCGGCAGTAGAAAAGAGATGATCTGGTGGACCTTTCTACGTACCAGAGTGCCATACATTCAGTGATGCCCATATAGTAAAGTAGCAGACGCTCACCCCAGGCATCCTATAAATATGACCGTCACAGCGCGTCGGCGAGCGACTCTGCAGTCTGCCAGTGCGCGCCCGCGCCGGCTGTGCCACCACGCCATTGGTAGATACTTAGTGCACCTCTCTTGCACCTCTCCGTCGCAGTCTGCGTCACAGCCCTTTACTACAGAATTGTTATGATACTCAGATCCATGCGCAGAGATGAGGCTGATAAGAGCAGTGCGTCTCTATGCCGCGACCCGAAAGGCCTCATTGGCACTCTATGGGCTACAATTTTGTCCACTCGCCTTCATCGTTCGCTTATGCCGAAGATACACAATCCCCCACCTCCGCCGGATACGTTGCCTTGTCAGCAATATCGTGGACAGACGTGCGAGTAGCGACACCGGGCTGATTGGTAGTGTGCTGGCCGTGATAAGATGCAAACATCAGTGTGTCTAGACGCGTGCCGCTGTTCGTGCGTCGCATATCCTTTGTGACAAATACGCGATTGAGGAGGTTCGCGAGGAGGGAGTTGGCATATCTGTTAGGAAAGAGTCAGTTGGGTTCGTCCACTGAATAAAATGCATCATAATCCGCCTTACATTTTGCTTATCACCAGCGCTCTGTTGGTCTGTCAGTTAACAAATAATGGGGTTGCTTAGATGTGCTTACGGAGAAACATAGTACATCTTGTCCTGTAAGCACGTAGCCACGGTGGCACCTTCAATTCCAGACGAATTGGACGATAAATAATGCGACGTACAGCAAAGATCATGCATAGCAGAAGATCGAGAGCGGCCATGCCAGCTGTGCTCATTGAACAGATGTCATCGATCTATGTCTACATTGATATGCTTGACGATACTAGACTTACCTGTCGCGGTGCCCGTTTCGACAGTCAGCTGAACAATCTTGTTCATCATCCTATCAGTCTTGGTGTTATACGTTGTCTTTTTTCTCACTATCTGTCGAGGTGGTGATATTAAGATCAAGGAATACAACAGAGATCTGGTGAAGAAATTACCAGAATCGTCATTGTGACCGCAATCATGGTATCTGCGAGGATGCCCCCAGCCAACCATATCTGACAAAGGGGATGAATGACGTCTGCTGCTAGTAAATCAACTATGTTCCTCACTGAGATGGCCCTATATGATCTGTTATATAGAAGGAAGAGCTCCTGCGTATCTGCAATTGGCAAGGATGCCCTGAGTCAGTGTAATGATCGCCTCATGAAAGCCAAGTTACCTCGGCGCCGAACACGATCCCTCCCATCATTTGCGTAATAGCTAGCTGACAACCGTATAAACCTCAGTAAGGGCCCGTGACTATTAGTAGAATTCAAACAAATGACATACTACGACGATAATGCTCGGCAATATGTATGACCCACTAAAGCGTTGAATTCGCCAGGAATAGAAGAGTTGCACCACAAATGAAGTGATGGCACTCATGACGGGTATGCTGAACCAGGTGTAGCCAATATCTCCGAGGGCATTTAAGTCGCCGTAGTTGGCAACAAATATGTGGAACAATGAGGCTGTCAGTAGGCCGGATTGCACCCACTCGAAGATAAATGTTCCATAGACTGATAACGGCGGCGAAGACGCTCTCAGTATATGGTCTCTGGGTCAAAGCAAAGACGAATACTTGCCGAGGCATTGCAGCCACAACTTGTCGTCAGGATAGTGGATGTGATACATATCTGGCAAGTGGTAAGTCCCTCTGCATGCGTAGAGCTTGATGTATCGACTCACATGTTTGATACGTAAGAACACCCAGGAGAGCGATGTTGAGACAAGAGCCCAGCAACTGAGGTCATCACAATCGTATGAGGTAGTTGGTGTAAGGACAGTGAATACCGATGGAAAGACATGCCGTGGGTCCAGTTCTTCATCTGAGTCAGCACTTCACCAAAAATCAGTACAAAGCAAAACGCACAGCTCGCTCAAGCTCCGGGCAAGCGGTGAGTCTGGCATGTCAGGCTAGGCTGTGCTATGAATGGGACACTACTAGCTATGGTGCTGCGAGAACAGTGTGCCCTTTGGCAACTTGAAGCACGGTGCATAGAGACCTCATCGAGCTCAGAATGAGACACGAGCTGCGTTATGTATACATGTATCCTGATACACTCTACACCTAAAAACACTAGGCTGGTGGTATCCGTGATGCGCATCAGTCTCGGAACGATAGAGTATGAACAGCATCTGATCAACCATGCACCGCGCAGCCCGAGATGGCGTCACAGCGTCTTCGAAGCTTTCCTACCTATCGCAACGAAGCCGGCTTGTGACCGTATCGTGCATAGGCCTAGGCGCGTGCTACTGCAGTCAGCCAGAGTCGGCCCAGTTTCCTTCGGTCGATACGATTCGAATTCGAGCTATTATAACGTACCGTCAGCATGCATCCGTACTACTACATAGCATACTATGGTCGTGTTCATTTGACACGAAGACTTACTCACATATTTGTGCAGATTCCGCGGCGGCCTTATCACCTTTGGGCGTTCCGATGAGGCGCAGCATGCAAGGATGCATGCTAGTAGCTGCCCAACATGGCCTACGGACCACTGGGAACTAAAAGATCACTGAGGTCCGAGGCTCTAGTTGAGCCACCAGACAAGACTGTCTCCGAAGGATTCGATAAATTTTGAAGACGGTGCAGCGCCGTGCATCATATGATAACAGTATGATAACCTGCTACCAGCAGCTGTGCAAACAATCGTCAATGGGAAGACGTCAAGATGGTATGTAGCTAGTTCGCTGGGCAATATACTTACTAGACATGGCTTTACCTCTTACCAGCACCGTAGAAGTGCGCATCCCATACTGCCACTGAACGGCTGACCATTCGGAGACGCGACGGAGGCTGACAGAAGCTGAAGCTTTGCGACCGAGGACTGGATCCTGCGTAATCAGGAAATGCTTTTTTCAGTTCAAAAGCGATGGCGTACTGATCTAGCTTCCCACAAGACATTCCATGAACTGCAACAGCACGGCGGTAAAGACGATCAGAAGGCCGGCAAAGCAATACAGATTCAGTACAGTATACTGTACAGCGAAAGTACGTGCGATGCGCTGTCCTGAACCGAACGCGTCGCGTTGACACGTGATCGACGCGTTCCACGCCTCGCGCCATCGCGGCTCTCCGTCCTGCAGTGAACTTGCTTCGGTCTCTCACATCCTGTCTGGCAAGGTTCAAGTCATGGCTTCTGCAGTATCGAGACCTCTCGAAACCCTCGTGGTACTGCTCGCGGATATACATGTAGCTGATATGAGGCTCAACTGCATGCGCTCTCGCTCACCCTGGCACCATGACTGACACTCAAAGCGTCCGCAAGCTCTACCAGCCTGTCCACCCCGACACTCTACCTAGGCTTGATCCTGAGTTTGCTGCATTTTGGAATGCCAATAATGCCTACATAGTCCCTCTGGAACAACAGCCCTGGGATCCTGCGTGTCGGCAGTCCCTTGTGCTTGGAGGCCCGGAGCCCCCCAAAGTCGGCAAGGTCGAGGACGTACAGTTGAGCAAGTTCGACATGCGAACCTTCACGCCGGAAGGGGGTCCTCCTGAGGGTGGCTGGCCTGTATTCATATACCTTCACGGAGGCGAGTCTTATCATCCCGTTATCGAGCCTTTTGACGAGCCCAATGCACAATTTGCCCAGGCGGTTGGACACTCGGCACCATCGCTACTAGCAACGCGTTTGCGGCTAACGTGTGCAAGCGTGTGTAGTCGCTTGACTTTTTGCTAATGGAATGGAAGGACAAGACTGACTCGGCCCCAACGCAGGTGCCAGTTGCGTAGTGGTGTCGGTGAATTACCGCCTCGCACCTGAGGATCCCTATCCCGCAGCCGTCGAAGACGCTGTTGAGGCCTTGCACTGGGTGTACGACAATGGAAAATCGCTTCTGAACGCAAATGTGTCGAAGATAGCGGTGGGCGGCTCATCCAGGTGCCGTTTCACACTCCTTTGACCCGTATCCCTCTCACCGACACACGGCGTGTCCACTTAGCGGCGGTAACCTGGCCGCAGTACTTGCTCTCGAAGCTGTTCAGGCGGATCCCCCCATCCCGCTTATCTTTCAGCTACTCATCGTTCCAGTCATCGACAACACTGCCTCTCCGTTGGGCGTGCCCTTCCCATCATGGGCGGAAAACAAGAACACCGTGCAGTTGACACCAGCGCGCATGCTCTGGTTCCGCGATCAATACCTTCCGAACCAAGTGGATCGTGCGGCATGGAGAAGTTCCCCCATCTTCGCCCCGGAAGAGTTATTCGGAAAGCTGCCGAAAGCGTGCGTCATGGTAATGGAGCTCGATGTCCTCAGGGATGAGGGTGTCGCCTACGCGGAGAAGATGAAGCATGCTGGGGTTGAAGTGGAAGTAAAGCTGTACAAAGCTGCTCCTCATCCGATTATATCAATGGATGGTACGTGGTTGCGCAGCTATATGGGTTTGGCTTGTCTGAGTTTCTTTATGTCGATCCCATCGCTTCGCACAATCCTATCGTACACAGGGCAAGTCCGCGCTTCTTGTCACAATTGTCCAATTATTGACAGCGTTCACTACAGTGTCCTTCAAATCGGCAGACGCGCTGTGGCGGATGCCATACAGGCACTCGCACAAGCGTTCGATACGGCATGAGCGAAGTCATGTGCGCGGATCGATACATCGCATATGAGAACGTCCTTTTTTTCACTGCAGCTTCCGGACATCTACTGTTCGTGTAACGAATTCAAGCGGTGAGCGCCTTGCGTGATGCCTTCAACATAGTAAACGGCTGTCCGCACTCCCGTGTTTGATTTGTATCTTGTCTTGATGCTATTTAGCTCGAAATCTCAGACTTTCCGCGGTGGATCGCAATATTGGTGCGACGACAGGCAGCCTGAGGTCTCCTGCTGTAAGCTGTGCTGTTGATCCCACACCCGCCTGACCCATGAAGCACATCGCACGAGAGTCAGTGCACGACGTAACTAGGCCGGACCTCGGGTGGAGCCTTGGTCTCCCATGAAGATCCCGGACCTTCAAGAACAACGGTAAGTTCTCGGCGAACGTTGGCAACGAGTCTCGCTTTAGCTGATTGTACGGACTTGGAAGTCCTCGACAAGACGGTACAGCATCGATTAATGTTACGGTGCTGCATGTTATAGGTGTGTTTCAGCGCCAGGTTTCAAATCTGAAGGTGGACACCCCAGGGCGCACACTTGCATATTGCATCAGCCAAGGATGTGCCATTCAGCGGCGTAAGGGCCAGTGGCTGTGAGTAGCTGTGGACTGAGCTTGTACCTAGCCTGAACCGGATGTTGTAGAGATAGTTACACGTCGGGTAAAGCTGGGTTCAATACCTTCACTCATTTCAGATGCACGGTCGAACATCCTCATTGGTACGGCGATGACGTATCTTGCGTAACACTCCTCTTTGTTCATGACTGGTCGCATACAGGGTCGAATATACACCCATGTCGGCAAAGTATACGCCATATAATGTGAGTTCCAGCGTATCCCGAAGGGCATGCCCATCCTGTCTGTGGTTGCTCAACGAGATTATGTTACAGCCAAAATAGTCTCATACCAAGACCCTCCACACGGCGCTAGTGTGGAGGGGTTGTGTCGAACCTAACAGCCAAAAGGTGTCACGCGGATGACCTCCATGATGCATCCACATTCACCCCGGCGTGATGGACGTAGCAGCACCGTCAACAGATTCAAGTATCTGTGCGCTCTGCATCGCCGTTGTCGGAGCAGTTTGCGCGATGCTGATGAGGTGGATCCTGATTCCTCTAGGCGGGCTTCTTGAACCCGGCGATCGGGTCGTCGGACAATATGTAGTGTTTTGGGGTGTTCCATCAAACATTCAACCACGTATGTGAGCTATGGCAACTACTATGATGGTACGGTGACAGCTCCGGAAGGCACTAGTGATGTCGAGCTTCGTCAAATACCCATAGCACCCCGACGCCGCCTGTGCATCACCTACGGTGCTCAGTAATGAAGTGCATGGCAACAGCCATCTGCATCCAGAAGGCCGCCGACTTCTGAGCACAGCACTGCGACTATCCTCTCGGTATGTCTTCGTGAGTCATGTGGTCATACAGAGCCCCATAGCATCCCTCGCACAAGACCTAGAGCCGCGGAAGGATTTCGTCTGCGCCATCACAATACTATCAGTTCAAGCTGACAATCCGCAACGAGAGCCATTCAAACTGACCAGCTGCGAAATTCTGCGTCCGGAATTTTGAACTTGTCGACTGGATCGAGACTGTAGGTGCCTGACGATTCGCCGGAGCTTCCCTCGACGTGAGATGTCACGATCTCAACGGTCGTATGGGGCTCCTGGCTAATCGCGAACGACAGTCGTCCGCCGTGCGTGGACAGAGTTGAATCTGAGCGTTTTACGAATGCGCGGTTGATAAGGTTCGTCAGGAGAGAATTGGCATAGCTAGGTGGGCATGATGAGTTCAGAGCCAAGCAGAAGTAGAGTAGCGACGTACACCTTGCTCAAGATTTCTGCTCTGCGCGATGGGGTGAGGTCGGTAGATAATGATCACTATCCAGACACTTACGGTGCAAGATAGTAGAGCCTGTTCTATCGGCGGGGAATGCTCAGCCAAAAGACATGAAGGTTACTGGGTAGACGCACGGGACACGCCAAACACAGAATGACATCAGCCGCGGCTATGCTCGCTGTTCAACTCGTAGTCAGTACTGCGACAGATGAAAGGTGTGCGCGAGACCGACCCGTCATAGTTCCGGTTTCAACGGTTAGCCGGACGATTCTGTCTAGTGTTCTGTCGGTGCTGCTATATTGCCCCGCCTTCCTCTTCAAGATCTATATGATCACGATGCAGTATCAGTAGGCAACATGTCTCTATGTTTCGATTGTACGGACCAATATCGTCATAGACACAGCGATTAGTATGTCCGCGAGAATGCTCCCTAGCAACCAAGTCTGCGACGATATTAAGACACCGTAGACTCGGCAAGAACATGTCACTGCTTACGATCACCGGGCCCTTGAATTGTGAGAGATTGAGAAGTGACGGGTTATATATTTTCATCTGCACAGATACATCGAGATTAGAGCGAGATTATTCCTCTGAGAGAAGCCAGGTACCTGAGCTCCGAACGCGATACCCCCTGCAGCTTGCGCTACCGCCAGCTATGCATGACCTCGTTAGTTTCATGTCAAAATGACATCGAGGACATAACGTACTACGGCGATGATTCCCGACAGTATGCGGGAGCCGCTGAGGCGCAAGATGCGCCATGCATAGAAGACTTGCACCACGAGGGCTATTACTGCGCTCATGACAGACACGCTGAACCATGAGTTGTTGATGGCTACCAGGGCGTCGAGTTCTCCATAGTCATACACGTAGTTGTCGAACGACGCAGCTGTCAGCAGGCCCGTCTGAACCCACTCGAAAATGAGTGTGCCATAGACTGAAGGATCCAGCGGTTGAGAACGTGCTCCGTCCGATATCAAGAGGGGAGAGGGATTACCTAGGCATTGCAGAGAGAGCCTGTCGTGCGGATAATAAATATGGTACATGTCTAGTGTGGTTCGTTACGTTCGCCTGGTTTGACATGTCGATGAGACTTACACGTCTGGTTCGTCAACACCCCCAAGAGTCCCCAGTTCATCAAGAGACCCAGCATCTACTTGCCGCAGTCAGCTTCCGCATATATGACTACAAAGCGCGAGGCTTGCCATCGGGCCGATCCTACGTCCGCGAGCTCAGCGGGTGCTTCCAGAGGCAAGCATGGGGGCGACGTACAACAGACTCGGCTTCTGGGAGGTGGCCATTGCGGCCAGATCGGGCCACTAGAAGGAACGTGCAAAGGGTGGGATATATGAGCTATGTACAATTGCTGCAACCAGTTATAATAAGGACGCGCTCGGTGCTTTACGACAGTACGAGTCCATGAGTACTCACGGAAGACCCGATCAGCACCACGGGCTGAATCTAGAGAGCCGGGTGATGGCACGTAGCCAGCTGCGGTAGGGACGCACTGGAGGGATCGCGACGCCGGCGAGAACGCGTCTCCTATATATGTTCGCATCCGGATCATCCTTACACAGCAAAAGGCAGAAGGCAGAAGAGCGCCAAATGCTTCATTGCGCCCGACCGCTGCCCAGCAGATGACCATTGACGGCCGCAGATGCGATAATCCTGCGCCGTGAGAAGTGCAGCATGTGGATTGTGGGCGATCCGTGTTCGGCCTTCGAGCCTTGATGCTCATCTTGGTAGTACTAGTCGAGTATTAGCATGCCTCGGATGCGGATTGAGATGGGGATTGTTCACCGGCATCTGGGGTGTATGTCCGATCGGATGACAGGAGAACTGTGTCTTGACGCGGGCGATGAAGCTAACGCGGCACATACACCCCTGCTAGTGGACATTAGGCTCCAAAATCGCGATATCGCTCTGTCATGCTGGGAAGAGCTGTTCTCATCACTGTCGTTAACATCCTGAGAAACCAATGAGGAACCCATTGTTATCAGTAGGAACGTAACGCATATAGGCTGCGACGTTGTCTAGGGTAACGCGAAGAATTCTGACCTCTTGCGCACTGATCATCCCATGCCATGCAGGGGGTTGCATTGATCTCATCACGAAGAGGGCCGGGAGAACGAAGGGTACGAAAACGCGAAGTCGACCACTGTAGCAGATATGTCAACGTTTCAACGCTCATCACCCGCCATGGCGAGACATTGACACAGCGCTGATATCCATGGTGTGACCGACAGGGTGAGAAGAACTTTGTGTTCCCATGAAGAAGATGATATGAGCTTCCCGACACCAAAGTACAGAAGCGAAATGTTCGTACTCACTTATCCACCCTGGTGACATTGTTACGGCGCACCTCTGCACGATCTCGCGAGCAAATGAACAGTGTCCTGTACATACCGCAGACTCGTCGCGGTCATTGTACACACGGCCTGGTGTCCGCCAAGCCCAGTCGCGCAGTTAGATGGTGGACCAATGAATGATTAATGAAGCCTCGTTTCATGAAGCAAGGTTTTGAGAGAATATGGCGCTTCGACACAGTAGTAACGATAGAGAGTCCGTTGCGACTGTCGGACGAAGACAAAGTGTGCCGCATGCGCACTCAGTACTCAGCCAGTAAGTTGCACAGTTCGACGTGTACAGGTGGTCTCAGGTCTGCCACCGAGGGCGGAATGATATTTGGAGCAAACACAGGCAAACAGCGCGCTGCCGCTGCCGCAGTGGCCACGGTGACGCATCGCGCAACGGTCTCGCCCAAGCGCTCAAGCGTCGCTGCTTGTCCATCCCGCCTGCCTGTCTCCTTGCTGTGTCCGCCTGGTCTTTGCACGCGTAACGCAGCCCGTGCCTCAACGACAGAGACACCCATCGGATGTCTTCATCATGACCTCCGCGCCAACATCGTTGCGCGACTACTACGCGGCACCGTCGAATGCATGGTCCTTCATCCCAGCAAGTCTTCCCGGCTCTCCGGAAAACTCGACAGACATCTACTCTCCCGCAACCTCCTCCTCTTCATATGAATGGTCCACACGGACTAACACCAATCCCCTCTTTGATCTTTCTGCGACATACGCATCGGCTGAGGATGGCTTTGACGTTAAGCTAGTCGCCCAAGGCCTTGTCACCGCGGCGTTGTCTAGCTATGCGAGCCAGGCTCTTACGATGCCGTTCGAAGTTGGGAAGACCCTTCTGCAGGTACAATGGGTTCCAAGGGATATAGTCGAGGCGGCCGCGGGCGTAACATTGTCAATGGACCCCATGGACGAGGAAGAAGAGGTATGCAGTTGCAGTCTGACCACGTCTCCAGTACCTGTCACTGATATGCAGCTGTACTGGCCCTTCTAGCTCAGTGACACCTCAATTGACAACGACGCGTACTTCGCAGACCCGAGCAAAATCGAGGCTGAGGGTGTTACTCCTCCACCTCCGCGACTCGCCGATGAGCGAGGTTACGTCGTGCGACAATCTGTACTGGATGAAGGTGCAACGCCAGAATATATCATGCCTGTCGGCTTAGCAGACGGAACATGGGGTATGATAAAACAGCTTGGTCGTTTCCGTTCTGAAGGCTGGTTGTCACTGTGGAAAGGTCTGCTACATATCTATGCACGACGACTTTCGCCCTAACGTCCTCCCAGGGCTGCTAACGACAACCGTCCATGAGGCTCTCTATAATGGCCTGCAGCCATCCTGCCACACCATCCTTCAATATGTCCTCTCACCAATGTTCCCCTCCCTCTCTTCCGCATCATCCTCGCTCCTCCTACCCGTCGCCTCACACACCCTTGCGGGCTTCATACTCTCTCCCCTCCAGCTCGTTCGCACCCGATTAATAATCCAATCCGCCAACCCCCGCTTCCGCACCTACTCCGGCCCCATCGACGCGCTCTCACAGATCCTCGCGCACGAAGGCGGCCTGCACGGCGTGTACCTCCACCCGCACCTGCTCATTCCCACTCTTCTCGAGCACACCCTCCGCGGGCTCATCCCGCTCACGCTCCCCGCACTCATCGCGTCCTACATCGGCTTCGGCACACACCTCTCGCCCGACATGCACCCCGTCCTGTGGAACGTCTCCGAGCTCCTCGGCGACTTCGCGGGCTCGCTGATCATGCTCCCAATCGAGACAATCCGACGGCGGCTCCAAGCCCAGACGCGCGGCACCGCGAAGCCGCTCCGCGCGTGCGTGGAGATGCGCCCCGCGCCGTATAACGGCGTCGTGGATGCGCTGTGGCACATCATCACGGAGGAGCGCTCGGACCGCCCGGTTCGGACGCACGCGCGGAGGAAAAGCAAGGGCAAGGCGAAGGAGGGCGCAGTGGAGGAAGAGGAGAAGAGGAGCTGGCTGGGGAACACGGGCATCGGGCAGCTGTACCGTGGTCTGGGAGTCCGGCTCGCGGTGGGCTTCACCGTATTCGTGCTTGCTTCATTGAGTGACAAGGAATCTGATGGAGGGTGGGCAGAGTTGTGAGGCGTGGGTTAGATTCCGGATGTACCGTCACAGCTCAGTCCCTAATAGTACATTGACACGTCTAATGAGTATAATGACCCCCCTGGAGATTGGCTTCCTGATGTTTTGTTACGGTCGGTGGTGCGCAAGTACCAATCGCTTTGCAAGCTGAGCCCATCTGACGTCCGCAACAAATCGGGTCCGACTGTAGACGGAGTTGATGGACGGCATCCGCGGGCAAGAGCCACCATAATCTTGCTTGTGTCTTCTAGGTTGATTCGTCTTGGAAGTGCTGTCATTCAATGCGTCAATTGACCGCCGAGGGAGTCTGACGCTCTGACAGTTTCAGACGGCAATTGAGAACATGGCCGAGATCCTCCCCGTACGAGGCATTCCTCCTTGCAGCATGGTGGTCCTCTCTGTAGCTCCATATACAATTGAGGACTCTGAATTGAATTGGTGACACCTTGGGGACCGCTCGTGGCACCTGGGCAGGAGCAGCGGCGCCCCCCAACGTCAACGGGTCTTCGCTGAGCAATGCACAGAGACGCCATGCGTCATCCCGCTGCGGAAGGATCCCTCCGCTGCATCTTCTCTGCCACTTTCCGAGCGAGAGAAGGGGGGACGGTGTCGAGCTGGACAGGGAGCTCCGCTGGGTGGCCCTGCCGGATGGTCAGCGTGATCCGTGTGCCAACAGAATTCAACAGTTCAATCTAGACGCACATGGGCTACATGATAACGCAGGCCGCTGAGCTGCTTGTATTGGCTGTGACACCCGGGGTGCGGGCAGGGGAAAATCTTCCGGGGTTTCGGTCGACTCTCGTCCGAGGAGACGCTGGCTGGCGTCGAAGTGTCTGCCTCTGCTAGCCCCGTACGCCGATTCGCCGCGAGGGCTTGTGCAAAATGAGCCTTCGATCTACAGAGCAGTCTTAGGCAGCAGGCATGGAACATTGATACAAAAACGTACACCTGCAAATGGTATTGAAGGCCGTTGATACTCTGATACAAATCACTTTCAGCGAAACGTCGAACAGCGCAGACATCTGTGTCACCTTCCAGCTCTTCTTGCACCCCGCTAAACCACATCTGAACGGCGTACTACCGCCAAGGTCTGCGGCATGCTGTGCTTTGTTATGGTCACTCAACTCCTTGGACGTCGCGTAGCGCGCGCTGCTGGACGGTGCGCCGTCGGACCAGCAGTCAGGATGCCCGCAAGCGTAAGCGAGGACAGAAGGGCTGCAAGCAGTCGTCAATACTCGAACGAATCAATGCTCGGTTCGAATGCGAATGCTCACTCCGCTGTGGCACTTAGAGTCGATGAGAGTCGAGGGGGCGGTCCTTCGCGGATAACATGACGCGAAGGAGGAGGTTTCTTGGCCTTTTCCGCTGGCGTGCGGTAGTAGCTGGTGGCTGACCTTGGCTCCTCCAAATCCAGCTGAGACCCTGGTTCCTGGCTTGCGACACGAGGTGAAGATGGGGTAGAAGCAGCCGTTGGAGATTCTGTACTCTCCTGAACAATGGTGGGGCCGGGAACTTCGTCGTCTACCATACCTTCATTTGTCGTTCCTTCGCTGGGACTTGGATGGGAGCCTAGAGGGACTTGACTAAATGGTTGCCCGTCCGATGGTACATGCTCCGTCGAAGGTTCGATTGCGGGGTTCTCGCCGGTATCCGCAGTGAAAGACATATCATAGAAAGCATTTGACTGATTGACAAGGTTCAGCGAAGAACCTTGGGGCTCAGTCTGCATCGAAGTATCGAATGCCGCATTGAGGCCAGTAGGAAATTGAGTAGGGTCGTAATTGTACGACGTTGGATGCCCGTTCGTCGAAGTATCTTGCTGAGGCAGAGGCATCGACAAGGGATCATACTGGAAGCAACTCCCATCGAAGTGATTTCTGTGGATGCCAGACGGCTCGCTATGGAAGGGACAAGCACAGAAGTATTCCGTGCGAGAGTTACCTTGGACAACGGGAGTCGGATACTGTGCCGGCACAGAAGTCGAAGGGACTAGCGATGGGTCCCAGAACGGACCTGCATGCTGATCTACTTCAGGTTGCCACTGCGGAGGTTGCTGGTTTTGCTCAGCGGCGGCGACACTTGTAGAAGTGCTACCCGCCTCGGTCTGGCGAATACCAGCGGTCTTCTTCCTCTCCATCATTCTCCATCTGTAACACGAATGTTGTCAAGCGAGATGCCAGTTAGTAGCATCGTAACTTGCCTGTTGCGGCACGCCAGGCTACTTCTATTCAGTTCCTGGCCTATGACCCCCCACTTGCCTCCCACCCGCGCATATGCGTCTAGAAGTTGGCCGTCTTCTTCCGACGTCCATTCCTCGCGCTTCAAAGACGGATCTAAGGCCTCACGATACCGCTTCGAGCAGGCATCATCCGTCCGCCCAGGAATGTTGCGGGCAATCACGGCCCACTTCGTTCCATGTATCGCGTACAACGAGCGAAGCAACTGGTCTTCCTCCGCTGTCCAGGCTGTCTTCTTGACATTCGGCGAAAGCGAGTGAAGCCAGCGCTATTCATAATATTGAGAGTCTTGAAGCGGTCGTATAGGTGGGTATACGCACTTTCCTACATGCCTTGTTCGTACGACCGGGCACGGACAGTGCTACTGTCTTCCAGTTATCGACCTCGCCATGGACAGCGACGGCCTGCGTGAGAAGTCTATCTTCCTCTGCGGTCCATGGTTTGCCCACGCCTCTCTCTTGCATTAGACAAAGACCATAGAGTAGCGAACGCGTGTAGAGTCGAGCCTCGTTTCAGCGAAGGTGCTCTCCAAAGAAGCAGCCGAACCAGTACATGTCGATGTCTGATCACGTGGAGTACAGAGATCGACTCGAACCCTTTGCGAACCGACTGATCGGACGACGTGGTTCAGCTTCTCAGCCACAGTTACGCTTGCTTGTTGCAGCCATGTCTTCGTTCCTCCACGGCTACTCATCCGACGAAGACAATGGCCATGCTTCGAGAGATGCATTCGGGCTGTTGTCTCTGCCAACGCAGAAGAAACCCAGACTGGAGGAGCCCGATGCAAGCAGCTACAGCACTGCAGCATCCATTGTACCGCAGGCTGCCCCCGATGTCCTAGCAGAGGTGCGTATCCCCCTCAGTCGCGTATTGCTACTCGTATTGATCGCTTGGTTTGTCGTGCAGGACCCGTTGAAACAGACGTCGCTGATTACACGACCAACCGACACGCAAATGAACGTGAACATCCCCTACAATGACATGACGCTCGCCATCCAAGGCCCCGAGAACCCGTTCGGTGACCGCAACCGCTTCCTGACCCAAAATGCGCTCGCAGGACATGTAGAAGAGCAAGCCATGACTGACCATGCCTTCCGGCAACAACACCTCACCCACGCTATCCTCGGCTACTCCGCTAATCCTTCCATAGACCCGAATGCGCCGGCGATCCTTGGTTCGATAGAGAAGGCGCAGACCAATAACTTCGCGACCCTAGGCTCACTAAAAGCGCCCAAAAAGGACAAGAAGGAGCTGAAACGGAAGCGGAAAGCGAAAGGCGACTTGGAGGTCGTCGAAGGGGATGGTGCGTACGAGGGGCCATGGGCGCGTTGGGAGGGCGACGAGCCGCAAGGCCTGCTTCCCGGCGACGAGGTTGCGGAGGAGGGAGAGGAGGAAGTGGAGGAGGAGGAATCAGAAGAGGAAGTGGTGCAGCCGAAGAAAGCGAAGCCAAAACGCGGCGCGCCAGGCCTGGAGTCGTCTGTCTTCCACGGCAAGTCGATGTACGACTATCAGGGACGGACGTACATGCACCCACCCGTCGCGGAGGCTCCACAACTGCAGTCCGACGCGGGGGCACAGGAGACATTCATTCCGAAGGTGTGCGTTCATACGTGGACCGGTCATACGCAGGGCGTGTCGGTCGTACGGCTGTTCCCCGAAACGGGGCACTTGCTCCTCAGCGGGTCTATGGACACCAAAATCAAGGTTGGTCTTTTAGTAATGCGCCTTTGAGTTCGCGTTTTCATTCAGTCTTGTCAGTTGTGGGACGTGTACACCCACGGGAACTGCCTCCGCACCTTCCATGGTCACATGAAGGCCGTGAAGGACGTTACTTTCTCGAACGATGGCCGGAAATTCCTGTCCTGTGGATACGATAGGCAGATGAAGCTCTGGGATACGGAGACAGGACAGTGCCTGAAGCGCTTCAGCAATGGCAAGATTCCGTACGTCATCCGATTTCATCCGGACGAAGACAAGCAACATACATTCCTGGCGGGTATGTCAGACAAGAAGATTATTCAGGTGTGTGCCTGCCCGCCCACCCCCCAGACTGAATTATCCTGACTGCCCGTGTGTAGTATGACATGAACTCCGGCGAAATTACGCAGGAATACGACCAACATCTCGGGCCTGTCAACACGATTACCTTCGTCGATGAGAACCGGCGTTTCGTCACTACCTCCGACGACAAGACGATCCGGGCATGGGATTTCGATATCCCCGTGGTCATCAAGTACATTGCTGAGCCGCACATGCACTCCATGCCTGCGGTCACGCTGCACCCCAGCAGTAAGTCCGGTCCCCATGCGTGCCCGTCCGATTCATTGACGCTGTCTTGACAGAGAAGTACTTTGCGGCGCAATCGCTAGACAACCAGATTCTGGTGTACAGCACCGATAATTTCAGGCAGGCGAGGAACAAGCGGTTCGCCGGGCACTCCGTCGCTGGGTACGCCTGCCAAGTTGGATTCTCGCCCGATGGCAAGTGGATAAGCAGCGGCGACGGCGAGGGGAACGTCGTATTCTGGGAATGGAAGACCGGCCGTATCAAGTCCCGGCTGAAGGCGCACTCCAAGGTAGTCATCGCGCACGAGTGGCTGCCACACGAGAGCGTAAGTAATTGTTGATCTCCATGCCGGAAGGTGGCGCTGACGACGCCAATTGTGCAGTCGAAGGTCGTGACCGCATCTTGGGATGGCCTGATCAAGTTATGGGTAAGTCGGTTACTTCAATTGTACCTTCGCGGCGCTGATGCGGAGTGCGTTCCTAGGACTGAGCTAGTCTCGGGACGGCAGAAACCTATCATATTGCGAGGCGAGGTCTCGTTAGCAACCACTCGTGCGTTGCCAAGCCGTGCATATCTCCAGGCACTGCTCGCAAGATGTATCTTCGTTGTATCATACTGCCACGCCAGGGCCGAGCCCCTGTGGGCCTGAAACGTTGCCTCTGCACAATTGCGCGACACCTCCAAGTGGACCATCTGTTCTCAGAAGGATATTGCCTTTCATTTGACGATACCCTTCGTGATCCCCTAACCTGCGTCGGGCTAAAGATGTGATGCAGCGCATCTGTACCTTGCTTGTGCTAAATGCATGGCGAAGATTTGCAGCACGGGTCGGACAGGCGTGAAGTGGCCGCTGTCCTGGCCCACGTTTACGGTAAGCTCATTGCGCTTATTGGAGCGAACCATCATAAGGTGTGATCTTCAACGATCGGCGCCGTTCGCTCTGGACTCGCACGTATGGGAAATGGACGAGACAAAACGTTCGCAGCCGTGTGCTTCCGGGAATTACTGTGGGACGATGCTGTACCGGCATTTCCCTCCACGAGTCCCGGATCTTAATGCGCTATTGTGGCCAGAGCACAGTAATATGTACGTTGTCATTGTGCGAGCTGAATGGCTGACGACCGTGCTCGACAGATGAGAATCTTTGAGCACGACAGGAGCGACGTTTTATTGTTGGCGGGACCACAACTGCGATGAAGAATAACGCCTGTCGACAATAATGTTGTTGTCCTATTATGCTCTGGCCTGGAAGTGTGTCCGGCAAGCATGACGCTGGTGGACGAAATCCAGCGGGGCATGATTGCACAAGGGTGCGGCATTACCAGAGTTTGCATCCGCCTGCCGTGCGGGTGCGAGTGAGGTGCCTGTCCGAAGCATCCTGGGCGTTCGCCGAGAATAGCGCAGAGCCTGTGTGAGGCTGCGTGCGCCAGGGCAAGTGAGCAGACGCGCCGTGCCGAGGAGGACGCGCTCGGGGGAACGGTGTGGCAGGGTGTGCCGGTCGGAAGCAGGAAGAGGCTCTTCCCGCGGTGAGAGCTGTCAGGGAGAGTCTGACAGGCACATTCATTTGAGACGTGCATGAGATCGATTGCGACAGAGGCCGGATCGAACGGGGCAGGGGGGCGCGAGGGCGGTGCGCGCACTTTTGCCGGGCACTGGGCAGGACGGCGAGGGGCGACGTGGGTTGGCGGGCGGTGGTGGCTGGCTGGCCAGGGCAGCAGGGGCGGCAGGGCCTGGGCGGGGGCGGGCGTGGCAGAGGAAGGGGGCGTGTGCCTGGGCGAGCGTGTGGCGGAAGAGGGAGCCGGCCAATTGAATCCACAACGGGAGGTCGGTGCCAGTCTCCCCTTGCGCAGGGGCACGTGCCTCCAGCTGCCCCTGGCCTAAGCTCCGTCATATCGTGCCCAATTATCTCCCGTTCCCTTATAACGCCAGCCCGCCTCCGATAATGGCCCACTTCACAGCCACCCTCCTCCCCGGGACTCGAGACCAGCCTTTTCAACATGCGCGTAACCTGGTTGTCTCTGTTCTCCCTCGCGACTCTGCTTGCCGGCTTCGCGTCTGCAGCACCTGTTCGTCTCCGTTTCGCTTACCCCTTCGTCGCGATCCACTCAATGTCCATTTTTTGCAGATCGTGGTTTCACCTCAGGTGGAAGGTATCGAGGCGCGCGAAGCTCTCGATGCGGTGAGTCCATCACTCCGGTCGCTTGTGTATCCCTGTGGGTGACAATGTATCTGCGTCGTGTAGCGTCAGGGCGAGTGGGGTGGATCGAGCAGCTGGTAGACACCCATGAGTGGTCTATTGTGTTTTGCAAGCCAGGTGCGTCTCGTCTTCCACTCATCTACGCCTACGGCGATGCTCAACGCCTTGCCCGCAGCCCACTCGATCTGCTCCTGCGCCTGGTCGTACCTCACCTTCCTTGTTCTTGTCTCTCGTCTGCTTTGCCGGTCTGTTGGCGGCGCACTGGGATGGACACGATGCCTTCACTTGCGACGCGTCCGCTCATTCGTTGTTGTTGATCCTGAGTTATTCCGCTTGAAATTCTGCATTGTACCCCTAGTTGTACTTACTCTACTGTGCAACATCTACTCAGCCCGTTGTAGCCTTTCCAGCCTCTTCTGCAGCGTGGAGTGACCAGTCGAGATCAAGAATCCGCCGACTCAGCGTCGAAAATAATGGTTCTCAGGCACCTGTCGGCGGCCGAGGGCCTTCCGATAAGTATATGATCGGTACCAGATTGCTGGTGACCTGTGGACTTATCTGGATCTGCTGTCAGACCCAGCTGCATCGCGGAGATTTAACCGCGAGAACTTGCCTTCCAAACACAGTTATTCGGTTCAACTCGTTGCCGGCATCCCAGTCCCCTGCCAAACTCGTTTCACACAGTGCGGCGCTGAAGTAAGCCTCAAGGCTTCGATGACAGCTCGAATGCGCACCACTCGCATTCTCACGTAAGATAATAGAGAACAGGAATTGTTGCCTATCCTATCTTGATCCTATCGCCGCGTCTTTGTGGCATGCAGCGCGATAAGCATGCAAGAGGCTTGGAGGTCTGTTGTGTCACACGATCCGATCGGTCGCGGACACATCGAATGACATGACCGTTGGGCGCTCGCTCAAGGTTTAGGGCAGGTTTCTTCGCGTCACGCGTCTAATTTGCACTCTTTCGACGCGACGCGTCTCGACCACCCCCACCACTATACCTATCCTCACGACCACCCTACACGACCACCATGTCTATGCTCGACGAGCCTGTGCCTGAGGATGTTGTCATGCGCGATCGCGCGCGTGTCTTCGAAGAGTTCCTGGACTCGGATAGCGACCTCTACAACTACAAGGACGATATTGCGCGCATGCTCCGCCAGGAGCAACGGCGCCTCATTGTGAACCTCGACGACCTACGCGACTATCGACGCGACTTCGCGGATGGACTCTTGAAGCAGCCGACTGACTTCTTGCCCGCGTTCGACGAGGCCCTCGGGAATGTCGTCAGTCGTGTACACGACTCGGAGAAGCACGACGTGTCTGGCAAGGAGTACCGCGTTGGATTCAGCGGCTCGTTTGGTGATCATCACGTCTCTCCGCGCACCTTGCGCGCTTCTCAGCTGGGGAAGATGATATCGTTGGAGGGCATCGTGACGCGCTGCTCCCTTGTGCGGCCAAAGATGCTCAAGTCCGTGCACTACTGCGAGGAGACGCGCCTGTTCCACGCGCGCGAGTACCGAGACGCGACGACGTCGACTTCCAACCAACCGCCCACGTCGTCTGTGACGCCACAGAAGGACGACGAGGGTCATGACCTGCAGACCGAATTCGGCCACTGCGTTTTCAGGGACCACCAGAGGATCAGTATCCAGGAGATGCCTGAGCGCGCGCCGGCCGGGCAGCTGCCGCGGAGTACGGATGTGATCCTGGACGACGACCTGGTCGATCGTTGCAAGCCCGGAGACCGGATACAACTGGTTGGTGTGTTCCGTAGTGTCGGAGGTGGTGCAGGGGGCGCGTTCAAGTGAGCACATACTCATCTATCTGCACCAAAACTGGGTTTGAACATGCAAATTTCGCAGATCTATCATCCTCGCAAATAACATCAACCTCCTCTCGTCCAAGATCGGCGGTGGCATCGCACAGACTCAACTCACCGACTCTGACATTCGCTCGATCAACCAGCTCTCGAAGCGGTCCAACATCACCAAGCTCCTCTCGCAGTCCCTCGCGCCGTCCATCTACGGGCACGACCACATCAAGACCGCGATCCTGCTGCTCCTGCTCGGCGGCGCGGAGAAGAACCTCCCGAACGGGACGCACATCCGTGGCGACATCAACCTGCTCATGGTCGGCGATCCGTCCACGGCGAAGTCACAAATGCTGCGGTTCGTGCTCGGCACGGCGCCCCTCGCCATTGCGACCACGGGTAGGGGCAGCTCGGGCGTCGGTTTGACGGCGGCGGTCACGACGGACAAGGAGACGGGTGAGCGGAGGCTCGAGGCGGGCGCGATGGTGCTGGCGGACCGTGGGGTTGTGTGCATTGACGAGTTCGACAAGATGTCGGACATTGACAGGGTGGCTATCCACGAAGTCATGGAGCAGCAGACGGTGACCATCGCCAAGGCTGGGATCCACACCACCCTGAACGCGCGCTGCAGCGTAGTGGCTGCTGCTAACCCCATATACGGCCAAGTGAGTACCCGTTTGTTCTGGAAAAACTCACAGCTCTGACCACTAGCAACACAGTACGATATCCATAAAGACCCGCACAAGAACATCGCTCTGCCGACTCGCTCCTCTCGCGTTTCGATCTCCTCTTCGTCGTCACAGACGACGTCGACGAGCACCGCGACAGGCTCATCGCGGACCACGTCCTGCGCATGCACCGCTACCTCCCGCCGGGCGTCGAGGAGGGCACGCCCGTCGCGGACAGCCTCTCGCAGAACCTCGCCATCGACGGGCCCGCGGCGGCGCAGGGCGACGGGGACGACGGCGAGCCGAGTCCGTTCGAGAAGTACGACCCGCTGCTGCATATCGGGATTGGTGAGGTGATATCGTCGACGCGGAGGCGGAAACCGAAGAAGCAGGAGGTGCTGAGCATCGCGTTCGTGAAGAAGTATATACAGTATGCGAAGGGCAAGCCCGCGCCGGTGTTGACGAAGGGCGCGGCGGATTGGATCGTGAATGTGTACGCGACGCTGCGGAATGAGGATCCGGAGGGTAACAAGAAGAAGGTGGGTCCAAAATACTGCCTTGATTGAGATGATCCGCTCATACTCTACGCCCGTCAGACATCTCCGCTCACTGCGCGCACTCTCGAGACGCTCATCCGTCTCGCCACCGCACACGCAAAAGCCCGTTTGTCGACTAAGGTGCAGGAGACCGACGCGATGGCCGCCGAGGAGCTCCTCCGTTTTGCGCTATACAAGGAGGTGCTCAAGCGGAAGCGCAGGACGAAGCGTCGTCTCAACAACGGCAACAAGAACCGGCAGGGCAGCGCCGATTCAGACGAGAGCGACGAAGAGAGTGACGACGAGGACGCAGAGGAGCTCCCGCAGTCTCCGCCGAGGATGGAGATGCCCGCGCAGGCGAAGGGCAAGGAAAAGGCTGTCCCCGATGGGCAGGCTGCGGACCCTGTGTGGGGCGAAGGCAGCCAGGATGCAACCATGGTCGAGCAGGTACCGGCGGGACCTACGGAGGATGGTCAGCTCCGACCTGAACGGTACGTCTACGCGCTTGTCGTGGCCGGTAAAGTGCAATGCTGACTCGGAAATTTAGGTTGAAGCTGTTCCGTTCGCGTGTGGCCAACCTCTTCGCGAACAAGCTGCAGGACAGCGACCAGGTCTTCTTCAAGGATCTTCGGGAAATGGTCAATGAGGGTCTCCCGACGGATGCTCTGTACGGTACCGCGGAGGCTACCATGGCGTGCGAGGCTATGGGAGAACAAAATGAGATCATGCTCAGTGGTGATATTGTGTACAAGATTTGATCTGGCGTTGTTGGTACTCTGCTGTGCTCTGTTTTGCTTACTGTGGTGTCATTTCATCTGTATCAATGTTGTATTAGATACTTTAGAATGACCGAATGTCTCACTGGACGTCTCCACTAGCCAAGAGTTCGACGCCTAGAGCTGTGCACGTTCAGTCTCGCGGTTGACGTTGATCATGCACATGCGTATGGTGTCGATGGGTTCGATGGTCTATTGTGTTCGGAATTCCCTCCCGCCAACGAACAAATCGACAAGAATACTATGGTTGTGCCATAACCAACCTATCTCGGAGACGGTCCGTATGTCCCGCTTTGGTGTGACACTGTTACTTCAGACGGCCCCTACACCAGTAGTACACCGGTGTGGCCACCATGCCAGGACACCTAGTGAGGAATGACCCTTTCTTGTGAGTGTCCAGGCAGTGCTACTGATGTCCATTACGCCGCAGCACAGAAAATATTAGTTGTGATACGATACTCACTTATGCCGGTCTAAAGTCGCACAAACTGCGATCCGGCGTAGCAACGCAGCTACACAGTGATCACGAAGTGCATTCTGGTGAGGTTGAAGTGAAGAAAATAATGGAAATGCGTGGCGCACTCGCAAAGGGAACTTAATGTCCTCAACAAATAGCTGAGCGGCGAACGCATTTCCAGGCCCTGTTGGAGATGTCTGCGACGCGTCTACTTAGACGCGATTGTCCACGTGACCGCGTTTCGCCAGGCACGAACGCGTCTCCTCCTCGAGGTCGCGTATCTGACGGGATGACGGAGGCCCCACCCGACGGGCGACTCTCTAACGCAAGTTGGCGAATATAAGTGCGCTGGGATGGAGTTGGTATGACGGGACCGTGCCACGGGCAGGGGACAATTATCTGTGCGCCCCTAGGACCGAACTAGGACCCCGATAGCAGCTAGGCTGTGGGCTCAGTCGGCGGCAAGTGTTCGTCCGCAGTTGCTTGTCTGCTGCGTTGCTGTGCACGAATGATGCTTGCTACGGGGTTTGGACCGGGGACGACGGATGCAAATCCTTACCGTACAATCCCCAGAGTCGCCCTGACCCCGCGTAGTATTGCATTTGCGGGGGTACCAGCGTGATCGGTAGGCACCTCCTATGTCCGCCAGGTACACAACCAGAGATCAAAGATGCCATTAGGTCGTGGCTACGCACAACAGCGGCCAGCAGTTGGACAGATAGTTGTGATGATCCCGACCCAGCTTCATGTTGGATTGAAGGTATACCACACCCGCTGAGAATTGACTGGGATAGAATTCCCGTGCACGGTCCCACTGCCTTGAGTGCACAGCTACGGAGCAGAGCACTTGAAATGGTCTGTGTCTTCAAAAGTCACTCGGACTCGGTGGATCGCAAATCGCGGAACATACCGCGACCGCAGCGATAGTTGAAGGTGGAGGCAGGAGCGATACTGATGAGTCTGCTGACGTCTTCTGGCCAGATGCGATGCATATGCGAGACTGCGAAGCACCCCAGTTTCACGAGGCTCCATACCGCACGACGCAAGCGAGACCTGCTGAACTCCTCTGTGCAGTCGTTGCTGGCGTACTGCTCCTCGCAGGAAGCGTCCTGTATGAAAGCGGAGGTGCAGGATGCGGGGCCGCGGGGCGCGTGGCAGAGCGCAAGTGTGGCCATGCCAAAGCGGGCACTGCACGCGCTATTCTTGGGGCGCGGTGGCAGGGGTACCCGCTACGGGACGTCATTCGCGCGAGAGCGCCCCTGTTTCGTTCCTTATTGAAGGTCTTCGCCAACCTCATTCCCGCCACGCTCCTTCTGTTGCATATACCCTACCATCCTATAGTTATTCACCCCGTCGTCGTCGCCCACCATGCCCGGCGACGTTTCCTCATCATCACAAGCCCAGGCCCAGGTCAACGGCATCGTTAAGGACGATGCTGCCAAGAACCGCGTACCAGTACACACTTTCGACCCGAACGCGTCCCCCGAAGCGAAGGGCGTTGCTGCTGGTAAAGGCAAAGACAAGCTGAAGCGCGACAGAGACGACGAGGGTGCCGGTGAGAAAGGTGAGCCTCTGTGTTCTTGCGGGTATACCTTGGGCAGGCGAGAATATCACGGAGTGCGCCATGGTGGGGCGAGGACTTCATCATGGCTACCATCATGGCGGCACACAGCGAGAGGGCCCGTACCACTTGCGTGTAGGAACCAATCCGCAACGTCTCGTTTCCCGTGGCCGTACGTGAGTGCCATGTCGGGCAGGTATCCGGATTCCAAAATCAAGCCCAGCCTGAGGTACTGCCAGCGTGGCCTCGATCGAACCTGGGCTGCACATCACTGTTTTCGAGGGCTGTTTAGCGCGCCATCATGTCTGCAACATATGCAGCTCAACAGACACTCTCTGCGGGTGACGCGCATATTGGGCTTTGAACCCACTGTATCCACCGGCAGCACGGCGCCTTTCGCGTGTGTGTAGTGCGACCGCCAGAAGCATGGTCAGAAGCGGTGCGGAGATGCAGTCGCCTGCTTGTTCGTACACCTCTTCGGCAGCATGTATGTTATTTGCTCGCTGAAGAAGCCGCTTGGCGTCATGTATCTCCGACGCGTAGGAGTTGGGCCAAACGCCAGGCGAGCCTGCTCTGAAGTCGCGAGCTCAGGCGCGGAACCTACTTGTCGCTTCCTCCCTTAGCGTTGGTCTTATGCATGCCAAACAGAAATGCTCACGGTTTGCTCTAGAGATTCCTGTCGACAACGGTGCCCCCAATGTCGTACCTACCATCACCATCGAAGACATGTCCACTGAGCCAGAAGGAGAAGTGGAGCACTCCGGAGAGAATGCTGCTACCGATGCAGAGATACCTGGATCCATGCCGTCAGGACCCGCATCAGTCATACCAGAGTGGTACAAGGTCGGTTGGCGGGAAGTCGGCGGCATCGACGCCCAACATGCGCCCGAAGGAGAGGAGAAGGACAGGTTTGTCCTACAGGCCTTCATTAAGGAACAATACTATGGCGAATGGTATCACAATGCGGCCATCATCGTTGTGGTACGTCGCTGTGCGCACCTTCTGTAGCCATTGCTGACCTGGGCCTGCAGTCCGTAATAGTGTCGCATTTTATGACGCGCTTCAACTTCGGCTGGGGCTGGCTTTTCGTCCTCCTCGCATTTTGCAACACCTACTATGCGACGTCCATGACGCGCGTCCGGCGGCACGCGCGGGACGACATCCAGCGCGAGCTGGTGAAGACGCGGCTCGACACTGATTTCGAGTCCGCAGACTGGATTAACAACTTCCTCGACCGATTCTGGCTCATCTACGAGCCGGTGCTCTCGCAGACGATCATTGCTTCCGTCGATCAGATTCTGAGCACGAACTGCCCCTCGTTCCTGGAGAGCCTCCGGATGAGCACGTTCACGCTCGGCACGAAGGCGCCGCGCATCGACATGGTGAAGACGAACCCGCGTACTGCGGACGACGTCGTGCTGATGGATTGGGGGATCTCGTTCAACCCGAACGACGACAGCAATCTCACAAAGAAGCAGGCCGAGGACAAGGTCAACCCGAAGATCGTTTTGTCTGTGCGGGTTGGCAAGGGCATTGCGAGCGCGACCATACCGATCCTGCTGGAGAACATCGAGTTCACTGGTGTGCTCCGTGTGCGTATGAAGCTGATGACGACGTTCCCGCACGTTCAGCTCGTGGATTTATCATTCACGGAGAAGCCTCACTTCGATTGGATACTGAAGCCAATTGGAGGTGAAACTTTTGGTTTCGACATCGGATTTGTGAGTGGGACTTCAATACTTATCTGATATCCATGGGTTGCTGAGTGTGTATGGAGATCCCCGGTTTGTCCTCGTTCATCCGCGAAATGGTGCATGCCACTTTGAGTCCGATGATGTACGACCCGAATGTCTTCACCCTCAACCTCGAGCAACTCCTTTCTGGCGCACCGCTCGACACTGCAGTCGGAGTGTTGCAGGTCACCGTGCAATCCGCGCGAGGTTTGAAGGGTACCAAGATCGGCGGCGGTACACCTGACCCGTATGTCAGCTTGAGCATCAACAACAGGTCAGAGCTAGCGAGGACGAAGCACAAGGGCAACACGTACGTCATTTCCTATGCCCCTCCGATGTGTGGCTAAGACGGGTGCCCAGTGTCAACCCGACATGGATGGAGACGAAGTTCCTCCTCGTCAACAACCTCACGGAGTCGCTGATTCTTTCCCTTATGGATTACAACGACCACAGAAAGGACTCGGAGATTGGGAGCGCTTGTTTGATATGTCCAAGCTGCGTGAAGATTCGACGCTGGAAGGTCTCGAGGCTCCTATTTTGAAGGACGGAAAGGAGAAGGGTAGCATGAGGTTCGACGTGACCTTCCACCCTGTCCTCAAGCCTGAGGTCGACTCCGGAGGGAAGGAGTTACTGCCCATGGATACCAGTGAGTGTGACCTCGGATCAATAGGAGAACGAGTACTGACTGCAGTCACAGAGGTCGGCATCGTTCGCCTGACTCTCCACCAGGCAAAGGATCTTGACCACAGCAAGTCGTCGTCCGGCGATCTGAACCCCTTCCTGCGGTGTACACTGGCACCAACGCCACGCCCATCTTCACGACCAACAAGGTCAAGCATACGAACAACCCTGTCTGGGATGCGTCCACCGAGTTCCTGTGCACGGATCGCGGCTCGTCCGTCGTCACCATCAAAGTCGTCGACGACCGCGACTTCCTCAAAGACCCTATCATCGGCTACTTGAGCGTACGCCTGGAAGACTTGCTGCAGGCGGCGCAGGACAAGGAGCGCGACTGGTGGCCTCTGAGCCATTGTAGGAGCGGACGGGTGCGCTGAGTGCTGAGTGGAAGCCACTGAATATGCCTGGCAGCGTCCATGGTGCGGATCAGTATGTGGCGCCCATCGGCGTGGTGAGACTCTGGCTGAAGAAGGCGACGGACGTGAAGTGGGTGTTCTGTGCGGGGCTCGTCTCTTGTGCGCATGCTGACCCGATGTCTTGCAGGAACGTCGAGGCTGCGCTGGGAGGGAAGGTGTGTGCGGGGAATGCATCAGTCAGATCCACTATTAATCCTGGCTTCTTACATCTCAGAGCGATCCATATGTGCGAGTGCAGATCAACAACATCACGCAAGGCCGCACTGAAGTGGTAAACAACAGTAAGAGGCTTCCCGTTAGAGGTAGCTTCCAGTCCTCTGACAACGCTACAAATAGACCTGAACCCTGAGTGGGACCAGATCATCTACATTCCTGGTAAGTCTTGAAGTGCTCGCGTTCTAGGGCGTACACACTGACACGGATGGCGCTGCAGTGCATTCACTGAAGGAGGTATGCATGGAAGCGTTCCCATGTATGGGCGCCTCGCTGACCGTTCTGTAGACCATGATGCTTGAGTGCATGGACTATCAACATCTCACCAAGGTATCTTTGCCACTCCGACCAGCTTCGTGTGTCCACTAACGCACGTCTCTGTGTAGGACCGCTCACTCGGGAACGTTGAGCTGAAAGTGGCCGAACTGGCCAAGCCTGCAGAGGGAGACTTCCTTTTCGCATCTACCGGCCGGAAGGCCGCGGAGGAGCCCATCATGTTGGACCACGGCTCATTCAAAGGCAAGCTGCACTACGAGGCTGAGTTTGTGCCCGCTATTCCTGTCAAGGGTATCGGTTTCGAGTCCGTCCAGAATGAAATCGAACAGGCGACCAAGCGCACGAGCATGACCGACACTGAGAGTGGTACATTCGCAGACGATCGTTCGTCGACATCTTCCCTGCGCCGCGAGCGTGCCGCATCGAACGTGATCGAGGGCGTTACGGCATCGAGGCCACTGGGCGCGAGCGAGAAGCCAGAGCAGGACGTGGAGAACGGAGCTGCGCCAGAAGCCCCTGCAGAGCCGGCCACCAACGGCGATGTTCCCGAAGAACACCGTCCCGAGGAGGAAGGTTTGGAGCTCTCGAAGGAGGAGCTTCTCAAGTACCGTGAGTTGTGCTTCTGATCAATCGCTCTCTTGGAAGTCGTTAAATCTTGCTTCCTTGTTCCCAGAGTCTGGTATTATCATGTTCAATGTCATCTCTGGGCAGCTGCACAAGAAGGCGCGCTTGGAGGTCCTCTTGGACGACGCATACTGGCCTGCGTTTAGTACCGTGCGCCCGCGCAGCTCTAAAGCGCATTGGGAGTATATTGGCGAAGGGTTTGTCAAGGAGCTTGACTTCGGACGTGTTTGGCTGCGCCTCAATGAAGCCGATGAGGGCGACAAGGACGATGTCATCGCTGAGTGGAAGGGCGATGCGAAACCGTTCTTGGAGCGCGCGATGGTAAGCTTTCCGCAGGGGGATTGTTAGCTCGTGTGACTGACTACTCTGCAAAGGACGGCCCAACATCATTCGAGCTCCTGCACTCTGGCGACGAGGACAAGAAATCTGTCGTACAGCTTGAGGCCCGGTATCTCCCTGTTCCTGTCAAGCTGGAGCCCAGAGAGAGCGTGAACAGTACGTAGGCTACAGGCTAGAACTGAATGGCGCACTGATCTTGGTCCAGACCAGGGGATGCTCCGTGTTGACCTTCTTGATGCTCATGATCTTCTTGCCGTGGACAGAGGAGGTATGTGCATAGCTTCTGTGCTCATGAAGGGATCGGGGACTTACACATCATAGGGAAATCTGATCCGTTTGCTGTGTTCCAACTCAACGGACATAAGGTCTACAAGTCTCAGACCAAGAAGAAGACGCTCAACCCGGAGTGGAACGAGGATTTCGTTGTGCAAGTGGTACGTCGGCGAGCTCTCTTTCGCTTTGGTTAACCCTCACCCGTCGGCAGCCATCCCGTGTTTCAGCGGATTTCATCGTCGACGTGTACGATTGGGACCAGCTTGGGAAGGCAGACATCCTTGGGTCCGGCAAGATCAACCTTGCAGACATCGAACCTTTCAACTCGGTGGAACACGTCGTTCAGTTGTCGTTGCCCAAGAATGGCCAGAAGGGCTCTATCAGGATACGTCTGCTCTTCCAGCCTGAAATCATTGTCAAGTCTCGCAAGAACACCTCGACCTTCTCGGCCGCAGGTCGCGCTATGACACAAATCGGCCATATGCCTACTGGCGTGGTCTTGGGCGCGGGCAAGGGTGTTGCTCATGTCGGCTCTGATCTCAAGGGCATTTTCAAGAGCAAGGATCATGCGAAGTCTCAAGCATACGAGGTTGATAGTGACCGAGGATCGGTGGCCGAATTACCTGCTGGCCAGTCATCTCAACCGATCAACGGAACGGGCCCCATGTCGGCGGCGGCGTTCCCCACAAGCCCTAACCTGAACGGGGATGGCTCCCTGAACGGCCTTGGTTCGGATCGCGGGACTTTGCGCGTCGTTGTGATGGAGGCCAAGGACATGTTGGCGAGCGATGTCAAGCCCTACGTTGTCTTACGCGTTGGTGACAAGGAACATAAGACGAAGCATTCGCACAAAACGGCGACACCGGAGTGGTATGTCGCTACGGCCAGCGTTCCTCGTGCATGCGCTCACTCGATTTTGTAGGAATGAGTCATTTACCTTCTCTGCCGCCCCTGCGACGCAACCAAAAATGCATGCATGGATATACGATCATAAGACACTTGGGAAAGACAAGCTACTCGGTTCTGCTGAGATCGATGTACGTTCTGTCGTACCACCATTGACATTTTAACACTGACGTTCTGTAAAGCTTTGGCGCCACCTGCCTACCGACTCTGGAGTTGCGTCTGCGGAGGTTCACGCCGAACTACGCGAAGGACAGGGCCTCCTGCGGATGCGTCTGGAGTTTGACCCAGAAGGCAGCAGCCCGTCACGCTCCCGCACCTCGATGCATTCGTTGGTGGGCACCACTGCCCCCGTCTCGCCCTCGAGATTCAGCCTGAGTCGACGGCGAGGCGCTGATCGCGACGATTAAGGCCTCGAAATCGGACGGACCTTGATTATATTCTCTATCTGATTCATCTCTTTTCTTCAATCGACATCGTCTACATCCCACCATGCGTTGATTATTAGCAGCATTTGTACTATTTGGACATTACAGCATCCTATATCCATCGTTAGTCGTTACGATAGCATGGTGCGATGTGCCATGGTTAACTCTATTCTCGGACCACGTAATGAAGAACGGGCTAACATCATGATCGTCCAATTGCTATGGTGTGTTGTGATGTGGTTGACTATTCTACAAGATGTGAGTACAGATTGAGCAGATACGTAGTCCATGCATGCAGTTCAGTGCCTCGCACTCCGGCGCAACTGTTTGCCTGTGTCCGCCTCCTGCGAAGTACCCAGGATGATCGCTGCCATCTCATCGTCCGTCACGACGCGGTTCTTTCCAAGCTGCCTGAGTATCGTCATGGTGAGCTTGACTCCCATTTAGCTGCAAGAAACATAACTTACCGCTTTTTTTCTTCATCGTGTCGACTTCACCTTCCTGAGGCACGTATGCGGCACCCTGTCCGCCATGAGCCACTGCAGCATTTCGAGCCTTCTTGTCCGGGATAACGGTTGTCGAATCCCGAGGCTTGTCCTGCAGCCTCAGCTCGTCAGGCTTTCTTGCAGGCTGGCAAGTTTGACATCGGTGTCGCTAACTTTCCTCGCCTTTGCCCTGCCAGCTTTGACATCATCTTCGAAAACGGGCGACGGTGCTTTTGCGAGAGGGGCGTGCTTCGGCAACGGTCTGCCGCTCTTCTTGGGCGGTTCGGATTCAACCTCAGACTCGGTGTCCTGGGGTAGGAGCGATTCCATTCGTCTTCCTGGCTTGTTTCCTCGTCGACTTCCATGGGTGTCTCGGCCTTGATAGTGGTTTGGAGGCTGGCCGTCCGTTCGTGCCCTTTCCCTTGCGAGCCAGCGGCGAGGAGCACCGACTCAAGGAAGCATCTGACGAGCCGTCGAACTGGTCACTCTGGAACGGCTAAGTCATACTTTCAAGACGGGTTATCGAGCTACTTACCATCTGAGCCTCCACCTCATCTTCCGTCACGTCGGAAAGGTCTTCGTCGGAGTCACTAGCTGAGTGCCCGTTCTCCTGTCTGGCTTGGTTCATCATATCAATCTTTGCATCAAGTTTCTTCTCATGTTGCTCGATCTATCGTACTTGCGCAGTCAACATCAATATAAATTTCAGTCCATGCAACATACCTCCATCATCAAACGACGCTTGAACATCTTCTCCATGCTTTGCATCCGGGCCTCCATCTCCTCCATGACCTCCTCACGGACCTCGGCTTCCACGACCGCAGAGCGCAGTTCGGCATCGAACAGCTGTGTACGCAGCCGTTCGATCTCGTCGAAGAGCGCGTCAATGAGTGGGTTAATGGGCTCGTCCTCACCGTCTCCGTCACCGTCGCCGGGCTCCTCGTCCTCTACATCCTGCTGTTAGCGCGCCTGTTCCTCTCAATTCGAGATGATCACTTGCCTTCGAATACCTCCAGATGTGCTTCACTGACCTTCTTGCCGCGTCCGCCAGTCGAGAGGGTGACCGACCTTTTATGAGGTACGACCTCACTGGCACGGGCCTTCCCTGCAGGGAGGACACGCGCGATGGCCATGCCAGGAACGGTGGACACCTCCCGTGCAAGAGCAGCGAACCGCATTACGTGCGAGTTCTCGTCGAAGCCGGTATCGTAAGGGTTGACGTTGACGATCATGACCTGATACATCAGGATATTCAGAACTGCGATAATGTGAGGGATATAAAGTGATAGCCTACCGCCCTGCCCTCGCCGACGAAGTAGTCCATCAAGATTTCGGTCAATTTGCTGTGGCGGAAGGGCACGACAGCCAGACCGCGCTTGACGTCCCGCGTGTCGACTCGGGCACCATTGGACGCAGCAAGGCTGCGTGCGAGCGTTCGTTGATTGGCACGCAGGGTCTCCATGCACTGTCCGAGCACCATGAGTGACTTGTTGATGTTGCCGGCCTCGCGAAGACGCTCGCCCGATGTCTGTGTATGCTTCGTCCGTTCGGAACCGGCTAGATCGACCAGCGTGAGGCGCGAGGTCTGGATGGACGACAAGTCCTATGGTGGACGAAAGCTGATATCAGTCTCTCATTCTACAAGCAGCGGCTAGGCTTCACATTCTTCTCTCCACGGTGCACGCGGAGGATCTTGATGGTGACTAGAGCATGACTCCGGCTGCTCTGGCTGTTTGCAAGAGTTCCGAAGACCCGTCTATGCAATTGCCCGAGACGCAGAAGCTCTTTCGCTTGCGCGGCATTCTCGACCCTAAGTTGGCGCAGGCCGGCGACGTACTTGCCTGCACCACCGTTTGCAGCTTCGGACGAGGTCAGTCCGGTGTCGGATCGCGGACAAGGTTTTACAGCGAGGGCCTTGCGGGTGAGTAGGAGCGGGTTGGCCTGAGATGACGGCAGCGGGAGATTGAGGAAGCTTGAGGTGGGGCGCGGAATGCTAGACTGGATTGTGTAGGCTGAGAGGAAGAGGCATCGGGAGCGTCGATGGCGGCAAAGAGATCGTACACCTTTTCATTGTAAACCTCTGAGTACGAGAGCCAGATGGTGTACTCATGGTTCCGGTCGATGGTAAGCACGGTCGGATCTACACCATCGCTGGACGGGAGGTCATCCAAGATGTCAGCAAGCGCGGGCGCGCCCGAGGTACTAGGGAGATGCGGAGAGAACGACTCGGAAGGGCCGTCGGCGAGCTCGACACCGTTCAGTCGTACTGGACGATACTGCCCGAACGTGAGCAGAACACAAGTAGGTCTTCTTGAGCACAACGCACCCTGGTATCACCATGTAGCCCCTCTATACTATTGAAGATAACGTCGAGAGTGCGCGGGAGGATGCCTGCGCTGCCCGGCTGACTGCCACCCTGGATCGTGTATGTCTTACCCGAGTTTGTGACCCCATACGTGAAGAGCAGACCACTTCGTCCTTCCAACAAATCGCGTACCAGGGGAAGGGTGGTCTTGTGAAGAAGTCGACCTGCTGTGTTTCCGGAGGGAAAATATGCGAGAAGGTATAGATGGACGAGGCGTGCGCAGAAGAAAGCCGTGAGGGCGCAGAAGAGGACAAGGGATCTGTCATCTGCACTGCAGTATCGGAGATGGGGTCAAGATATGGTTGGGACATCGGTTCAGCATCTCCGAGGTGAGGGCGGATGCGGAGGTAGGCCTGCGGGCATAAAGGTCAACAAGGCATAGGATGCGATACTCAGGTACATGGTGTAGACGACCTTTATGGGTTCTCTATCTGTGTCTTCAGTCAAGTCTGCCGTGGTTGCGCTTCTGGACACATGAGGTTTCGGTGCACTCGCGGTGATCTTCTTGCCCCGCATTCGGTCTGGTGGCTCAGGAGAGTTGTCTCGATTGAGAAGTGGTTTTCGCGCAATCGTCCTTTTCGGTGCTGACAAGCCAGATGTTGACGGCTGCGCAGCAGCATTTGTCTTCGATGCTGCACGAGTGGTCCGCGTCGTCGCTGGGGCACTGCTTGCTGTAGCCTTGGAACGTGTAGATGCGCGCGTGGCAGTTGCCTTCGGTTTGCTTGCCATAGCTTCGGAATGAAATGTGTTTTGTCAATACAAGCTATCCAAGTACGTGCGGACAGAACGCAATGTCGCGATGACTGCGATGAAGGGCAAGTTGAGGCGGGTGGCTGTAGCGACCAGTCAAGCTTTCAAGCGCAAGAGTTGAACCGACACGCGATTCGCATGAGGGTCGCGTTCTGCACGTGACCGTTGCGCTCGGCGTTTCTGGAATGTGCAACTTCACTGGTTTGCAAGGAAAATTCTGGCGTCTCTATGTCCCTCTTGGATCAATATTGAGAACTGTATACTCCCATGAAAGAGATTTTTGTAATGCGTGGACGATGGTAAGAGGACTTTGAGTATTACTGCTAACCTGAGGTGCTGCCAGTTTGCGGAGTTGGGTGCACGTGATTGACGCGACGCGTTGAAGTTCCAGATGCAAGGCTATTGACCTTGTCTGTGTGCGTTCATCTTGGTTCTGTCTGTCTTCTTGAGGCTTGGTCCTCTGTCGCGCTCAACGACCACAGGTTAACTGCGCGTGCGATAATGGCGAGCAAGATATCTCCCAATCGCCGCCGCTCGATCGCTGTCCTGAACCAGGGGCAATCGCAATCCTCTCGTCACCACAGCCGCAGGCGGGCTTATAGCATTGCACCAGGAGAGAAGCTCAGTCCAAATGCGAAGCGTAGGAGGTCTTTGGTGAGTAGTTCTTGTCCATGCTGGATCGTTGACTCTCATGGGGATGTAGGCTCCTCGGAAGAGTATCTTGAAAGCCTCCATGAACCTTCCTGAAAGCGCAGAGGCGTCCGCACTTGCAGATGAAACTACTACACAATCCATGGATTTGACAGAGATTCATGCTCAACCCCGCAAGAGCCTTGCCAGGCGCGTCAGCTTCGCGAGCCACGCGCACATTCGGTTGTTCGACGTGCGGGACAATACGAACGGCAGCCAGGACCCGTCTTCATCGCCACAAGGGCCATCCGATCACCGCAATGACGAGAACAGGCACCCTACCCCTGCACCGACGCGTCGGCGTAGTTCAATGCGTCGGCGTTCATCTACAGCATTCAGCGAGTTTGGTGAGCAGTCGATGGAGATGGACGAGGACGAGACCGCACCCCTCCCTGCCGATTTCCTCAGGCAAAACGAGTACCAACTTGGTGGGTCTGCAGTGGAGGACGACGAGTTCACAGACGAGGATGACGACGACGACGATATGGAGATAACAGAGGCAATTCGCTTGAACGTCGAGCGCAAACGATCATTGTCTCTAGGAGGTCAGGCGCATAGCTCGTTGCCCGATAGACGCCGTTCGTCTGTTGCTCCCGTAACAGTGACACAAGGCCGGTCAGAAAACCAGCCTCCGCGCCAACTACCACCACCACAGGAGGAGGAAGAAGGTACGCGACCTCAAGACCAAGATGAAGGCGACATGAGCATGTCTTCGGCCAATTCCCAGTCATTTGTGTCAGAGGGCTCCTCGGTAGATGAGTCAAAGCCGATGGAATTCACTGCCCCCGTCGGGAAGTCTCTACGCCCTCCTTCGCGACCGAGCGACAGGTGGCTCGCCCTACAAGCGGCCACCCATGCTGGTATCCCTCAGGATCAGTCTCTTTCGCAGGAGGAAGACGACGAGGGTAACTCCGGCGTGTACCGCGAAAGCGAGCCTATGGAACTGACAGACGCAGTGGATCGTCTGATGAGAGCGCGTGTATCGCTCGGGATGTCTCCTGGCTCTGGAAATGCAGATGCTACAGTGCCCGATATGGACATGGATGAGGACAGCGTATCTGCGGTGCAAGAGAACTACCAAGAGGACAGCTTCACAAGCACCGAAGACAGTTTCGCAGGAGATCCAGTGGGTGATAGGACTGTAAACGTGACGACCCTCATACGATCGAGTCTCGGAACACAAAATTCCTACTGGACACCGCCAACACAGGCGGTCGCGCGGATGAGGACCGACCTGTGAGGTTGCCTCTAGGGGCGGCCCCGTCGCAGCCCCTTCAGCGCCAATAACTGCTGCTCCCCCTCCTGTGTCCGAGCATGCACTGGCACCAACACCTACGTCCGAGCCACCGGAACCAACAGCTGCGCTCCCGCACCAGCATCACAGCTCGGTTCTCTGTTTTCAGCGCGTCCGCCTCACGACCCTCCGTATTCGCACCCCCCAAGACGCCAGCCAACCACCGCGCTCTCCATCAAAGCTCCACCTTCCGCGACCATCCCTAAGCCATTCTCCTTCAGCCTTTCACGGACTCCCGCCGCCCGCCTGCACTTGCTTCTCCGGCCCCTAGAGGCAATGCAGCAGTACCGGGGCCGTCCTTTGCCTCCAACGCAAGTGCAAATCCACCGCGATCCCCCGCCGTAGCAAGACCCACAGCGGCCTTCGCCCCGCCCTCGCGCGCAAGTCCCCCGTGAAGCGCCTGCGCCACCCGAGTCAGAAGCTGCACATCAGCCGAGTCCAGCGAAGCGGGCTGCTGTTGGCAAACTCGAACCATCCAAGATAGCACTATTCGAGAAGCTACAGCTCCGACCAGGCGACGGGAACAGACGAACAAGCATGGTGCGCAGGCCGTCAGGATACTTCGCACAGAGGAAGAGTCTCGGGCCGGCCTGTTACCACCTGCCAATGGTGCACCTGGAAGCGCAGGTGTCTGCCGGGAAGCCAAGGAAGCGGTGGGACTGGGCCTGGGACGCGCAAGGGCCAGTATGGGAGCTGCGCCTTCCGGGCAGGGCTAGGATTGCCTGGTAGGAAGCCCAGAAGTGCAGAAGGCGGATCGCTCTACCCAGACGTCTCACGTATAGCTGAAGAGGACCCGCCAACGCCCTCTCGGGCGAGCAGTGCCCACCAGAGAGCCCAACAAGGTGCGAACGTGAGACGTTACGGCAGGCTATCGCAGCGCCGAGCCCGACGCGGGGATCTCCCTCACCCGCCTCACCCCGGACTGGGTCGCCTGCGCCACTGGGACGGCCCTTGGGGCCATCGAGGTCCGCTTCGCCTGCGCTACCAACCAGTCCGGCTGTACAACCCCCCTCGCCTGTTGTTGCGCCACCGCGGCCTGCATCGCCCGCTCAACCATCTCCCGTGGACGCCAGCTTTAGGGACACAGGTATCATGCTTTCACGGCCGTCTGGCGGGGGGACACCAGTGGAATCTGCTGTCACAGAGCAATGGCGAGCAGGCGTGGAGGGTGCTGAAACCAGTTACGACGACGAAGGGGTGAGCCAGAGTCTGCTATATGCACTGGGTGTGCAATGCTGATGTCCTATGCCCTCAGCCACCTATCAGCATTGAGCAGTTCTTCGACATGACCGGTATTCATTTCATGGACGAGCTCACAATGCCCAAACCACGACAGTCGGTCGTGGCACCGCCGCACCTTCGCACTCGCGGGCGCCGTCGCTCATCCGCTGAGTTCAGCGAAGCTGAAGAGATCCTATTCCGCTCGCCGAATTCGCCGTAGCGATGGCGCGGAACTGCCGAGATTGGAGTGTTCAGTGCTGTTGGTAACGATCTCAGTGCTTGGATAGAGGAGAGCAAGAAAATTTGCATTGAGGCCGAGCGAGAGACGGAGAAAGTCACGCCTGAGTTGTTCAGGGACTTCGTCGCTGCTGATGAGTCGGAGCAAGGCCTGTTGATTGTACGTCCTGTGAACTCTTATACATAGTTACTCACCCCATCCACTGCTATTGCACGTATAGCACCAACTCAAGCTCATCAAGGCCTATAATTATTGCACAGCGAATCACAGTGGTATGACTGGAAGATGGACTGGACGCAGCGTCTGCATGCCAGAGCCCGGCAGGAGTTTGCTAACCTTGAATCGGTATGTTACTCCGCGCCGACATGGTCATGTTTTCCAAATTGTACTCTACTAGGACGCACAAGCTTTGGCGAAGATTATCAAGCAGTCGCAGGCAACCCTACCTGACTTCGGGACGAGTATGCTCAAGTCATGGCCGAGCTGGAAAAGGAGCAGGCTGACATCGCAGAGATTGAAAACTCCGATCAGGACTACCTGAGCGAGCTGAAGGCCACTATAGCGGAGCAGAGGTCCGTCTTAGAATCCTCATCCGTAGGTTGGCGATGTGACGTCGTACTGACCCTCACTATGTTATGTAGTTCCGAGCTTGAGGTTTTCCGCACGGACGTCTCAGAAGGAAGAGCAAAGCTGGACAGGCTCCACGAGAGACTTGCTGAGATTGAGTCGGAGAAGCAACAGGCAACCACTGCAATCGCTAGGGCACAATACAATGTCCACATCCAGAAGGAAAGCACGACGTCAGCAGTGTTCAGACTGAAGGGTGAGCTTGATATTGGAGGTTTCGAATTGATCTAACCTGTTGTCGTAGACGAACTGGAAGCGCTGCAAGACCTCCATCTATGGCAGCTACGAAGATTATGCCCGATGTTATTGAACTAGTCTATGCCTCAAGATACCAAGTTTCAATCCCTTGCGTGAAATACCGACCTACTTAACAGGGGTCGCCGTCATCCGAGCAAAGAACTTTCAAGTGAGGGAACGGGATCCCTTTCCTCGATTTACCACTCTTGCTCTTCAAGCAGCACAACAAATGCTGACCGCGAGTGAAGGTCAGCTCAGTGTACGTCAGGTGAGCGTTATCAGTGGGTATGCAAGTCTGCTTGTCTGAGAAGGGTGCAGATCGTTGAGCGACTGGGCGACCTCTGGAGCGCGTGCTCGCAACTTCGGTCACAGTTCGCCTTCTTGGCTATCAAATATCCGCTCTCTGTCCAAATTGCCCCTTCTGCGGAGGCCAGTCTTCCCGATCTTCTTACCAAAGTGACAATCTTGTTCCCCGGAGCCCATGGGAAGGCGACGGTTTCGTTCATCTTCGGCCGTGACACATACTCAGCTTGGCCACTTCAATCAAATCGCTGAAAGCGGACGTCGAAGTTCACTACGGACATATCGAGTGCGTTGGTTCTGCGTGTCTGAATTACCGCCACCGATTCACGGATTTGCAGGCGTCAAACAATCTTGGATGCAGTTCTTGCCCGTCTCGCTCAAGCTAAACCCACCGAGAATCACGCGTGCCTGCTGGACGCATGCATCGAAGCTATGGAACAGTATGAATAATCGTATACCTCTTTCTTGGCTTTTAAGTTATGATATGTACATCTCTCTCGATATATGCCCGTAATGTCATGAGGATATGTATGGCTCCAGGTTCCGTGAGCGTAGAAAGATCATGGCGGGAAGATGTGGCAAATTGTCCGCATCGCTACAAATACAGATATGGGAATACAACGAACGTGTGAGCAAAACACTAACCTGTCGTCAGGCGGCAGCAACGTCAACTCATGTCTAGCTAGCAAGTTGAAGAAGGCCACTCACGAAGGTGTGAAGTGTTCCCAAGATTTCAAGCGCTTGCATAAGCAAGCTGCTGGTGGCTCTGGTCCAACCCGGCCAATAACACGGCAAGTGTATCCGATTCGAGCGAATGAGCTCGAGTTCCCCCTCAGCGACGTCCCGGACTGAGCTCCACGCCTCCGTCGCGTGCCGGCACAAGTCACGGCAGTCATCTTCTGCTGCTGCACGCTGAGCGCAGCGAAGTGAGATACTTGCACGCGCTCCTGCATCTGCTGGAGGGCCTCCTGGATGGCCTGCTCCCGGACGGCCTGGGCCTGATGGATCTGGCTTTCGAGCGACGTGATGTACTCCATGCGCTCAGCATCGACGTACAAATTTCCGTGCACTCGCGCCTCCAGCTCTGATACTTGCTTGGCGAGCTCCTCCGTATCACGGAGGCGCGCCGCCTTCGTAGTCTGCAGCTGGCTCTCGAGCGACTCGATCTCGGCGAGCCTGTCGCGCGCCTTCGTCTCGACAGAAGCGAGCTGCAGACGGAGGAGGGTAACACCCGCGTTGTCTTCTGCGGAAGCCTCCCCAGACACGTCGAATAGATCGGTTTTGATGTGAATTGCGGGCGAGGGCGTGACATCGGGCAGTAGAACCTGCGAGATCGACCCATAGCCACCTGGCGATGGCATCGCACTCAAGGTCGGACTCTCTGGTGCTCATGAGTGGACGAACTGAGACTGGGGAGACAGCGCCAGATCGGAACGGCGCGGGGATCTCGGACAGCATATGGTCACCTCCTCTCCTGTAATGTTTTGTTTGTTTGCGAGCTGCTCCCATGACAAGATTGATCCGCGGTCATTGCCCAGCTGCCGACGGAGCGGGCGCAGGAAGGGCGAGCTGTTAGTGGACGAGGGCTGTTCCGGGGACAGATACGATAGTTGTTACGAGCGGGGAGGAATTTGGGCGAGGCGGGTCATGGCATTGCGCCGCTCGCGGTCCGTCATCATACGGAAGCGAGGTAGGGCGGGTGTGGGCGCTGTGGGAGACGCGACGCCGGAGAGGAGAAACTCGACATCATGAGCGTCGACGCTGTCGACGCTGTTACCCTCTACGAAGGCATTACCGGTAGGGGTAGTAGACTGCTGGCGCACGGGTGAGGGCTACTAGGAGGCATCTTACGAGCAGAGACCTGCGTGAGGGGGGAATCCTGGTATTGCGCGACAACGCCGCGGAGTGGGCTCGGGCTCGGCTATCGCGTTGCACAGATGATGACGACGTCTTCTTCACAGCGCTGCGGAAGAGGCCGGTCTTGGGCGTTTGAGGAGTCACCGAGGAGGTAGATGAGGAGGCCGATGACGATGGACGAGAGATGTTGCGGGCAGCGGACGCATTGGTTGATGTCTTTGCAGACTTCGACGGCCGCGCAGAAGAACCATGGCGAGGGTAGAGGAGGGGCTGCAGACCGCTTAGCAGACGCTCCCTTCTTCTCTGGTGTACGAGGTGCCACGTTGATAGCGTCCTTAAGGTCAACTTTGAGAGCGTCGGGATGGGGGTTCGGGCTGACCGAGCGAGACAGCTTGCCCGTCGAGGACGGTGGTTCGAGAGTGGCACTGCGCTTATGGGCCACTTTGGTCTTCTCGACAGGAGAGCGGTCGATCGCCTTGCCACCGAGACGGGTAGGGGAGGGCGGCTTGATTGCCTCCTCCATAATCATGGAACGCGGTCGCGGTCGATACTTCGGCAGAGCGGACACACCGGGCACACCATTGGATGTCCGGGGACGAAGGGTAGACGACCGCGGAAGAGCGGTCTTCGGTGTCTGAGGAGACGAGGAGCGATCCTCTGAATCCGTGGCCGTGGGCTTCTTCACGGCCGACATCCGTCGCGTATGGCGACCGAGTGTCTTGGACTTGGTGTCGGGAGATGGCTCATCCTTCTTGAGCATCGCTTTGTCGAGGGAGGGGCGGGCAGCAGGGGCCTGCGGGACTGCGATAGTGCTCGAGCGGCGAGTGGACTTCTTACTGCCCTTCTCCTTCTCTACGCCTTCCTTTCCCTCCTTGTGCATCACGTCTGCCAGTGCCTTTCCCATCGACGCGAGGTTGAGCGACTGTCGGAGGGAGCTCCTGGTAACGGGTTTGTTTGGCAACGCGCCACTTGGGGCAGTTGGTTGGGCGGGCATGGAAGGATATAAGTAGGTCCCGAGTGGTAGGTAGTGTGTGGGACGTGTATGCAGTGTTTCAGGCCTCTTGAGGGCGATGTTGGGGGGTCGCGGGCGGGGCGGACCTCGCGGGTCGTTGAAGAGTCGTTGCGACGAGCGTGTGCTGGTGATGGGACTGATGGCTCGCTTGTGGCTGCGCGTGGTTCAACTTGCTACAAACAGCGCGTCAACAGTATCGCGTCACGCGGTCGCTCTGTGGGTCCACGTTCGCGTTCTCTCGATGCTCGTTCAACTCCAAGTCTGTGAATCGTCGTATAGAAGTACTGCTACCACATGAACCGACCTACACCAGCCCGCTCTTTGTGCAGGTACACGTACATTGTCGCAGCGTTGATCAGCCCATACCAGAACCCTTCTCCCAATATCGCCCACAACGGAACATCCACCACCTGAGCTCGGAGCAAGATATAGGGAATGAGGAAGTAGCGCGGTTCGAGCAATGGTGTGGGTATGAGGGTAGGAAGAACGAAGACGGGGAGCAGAAGGTTCTGCAGTAAGGTTTGGTCTTGCCCTAAGAAGTGTAGACGATCAACCCGAGCGTGCTTCTGATACGACGGGACCTCTCACCGATGCGAATGAACCAGGCCCATGTGCAGGCAATATATCCTGGTATCAGCAAGTAGGGGATAACCGGGTGTAACATGAAAACTCTACGCCAGACGTAAAAGGTATAGTGTCGATTGTCGGCCAGCAGGAAGGGGTGGTGGATGCTGGTTTGATGTAGTGAGCATTGAGTAGGAGATCAACGATGCAAACGACATACGTGAACTTGTACACTGTCACACCCATCAGTATTGTGACTGCAATCGTGGCTGCGGTGTTTCTAAAACACAGTTAGCCTCGCATTCACCACACCCTTGAGGTGCCGCAAACTCTACCTTACGGTACCGAACATCCGTTTCCACACCTCGCGCGCTAACGCATAAAGGCCGCCTTTCCCGCTGATCAGGGCTGGCCATCCCATTATGGTAGCAAACCCCACAAAGTAGTACAGCTGCGGGATGTGCAAGGCTGGAACATGGTTCGACTTATCACCTATCACATAATGCATATCAACAGGATGGTCCGCAGCCGCTACGGTTTGCACGTACCAAGGACGATACCACCGTTCCATACTACGAAGGCACCGAAACCTGCAAGGACCAACGCGTAGGGCACGAAAGCGCCAAGAATGTCCAGGAGGACCCTAGGAAAGGTGATTACGGAGTGAACCAGATCAGCTATGAATATCAATACGTCACTTCCTCTCCTCTATGTCCCTTAGCAACACTGCAGCATACCTGGAATGGCGTCAAGAGCAGGCGGATCGTGGAGTTTAGCAACTGGCCGAGCGCCCGCAGGCGTGCGTCGGAAGCGAAGGTACATGATTGACTGGACGCATACGCGTATAGCACCCAAACAATGTTGTTCTGGCGGAACGTGCAGCTGACGGCGCCTAGCTACGATCCTTGTCCTCCATCAGGAGGCCACGAAGCCACACACGGGAATACGGACATACCAGCGCAGCAAGCCAGTGCCTCCCCTGCGACGCCGCGACCACGGTTGTGACCACGAAGAACAGACTCGGCGTCTCGGTGTAGTATAGGAAGCCGAAGAACCACGCGATGGGGAAGCTGGTGAGGACGACGCCCTCCGTGGTGGGCACAAAGACGGTGTACGGCGGCCTCACGCGCCTGTGATAGCAGAGAAGGCGTGTGAGTGCGAAAGGGAGCGCGGCGAGGGAGAGCGCGGGCGTGAGGCGGAGCATGGCGAGGTTGCATTTGAACATGAAGACTTGCTTCAACAGCAGGCTCAGCACGTAGCTATACGACCACGTCATGAATCACCGTAGGCAAGACTAGTCTCTCACTCACAGTCCTGGTGGTGTGGTGATCTTTGGGTCCCATGCCCAGTAGTCCCCTCTGCAGTACGCCTGCGCCTGCGGGACATGAAACGGCTCGTCCTGTGTGACACGTTGCCTACGTGAACACAGGACTGAGGTAACTGAGGGCATAACGCTCACCATGTAAGGCTCGGTCACCTCCTCATTGACTGCCTTCAGCGTAATGATGCATAATGCTACAAATGCGGCGTAGTAACTTGCCCCCGGGTCCGAGGACATGACGGTGGTGGTATGAGTGCTTCGATGATGATTACCATTTCGGGACATTCTACTCAACGCTATAACGGGCGCTCAGATGGGCGCTCCGCTGTTTCCACTTCACTACTTACCGACATTGACGAAATTTCAAGGCATATTACCCGAAATTGATCATGATCCCCACTCCAGACCTCTCTCATCTTACCAAGCAAGACTATGACCACGTATATGAGCCTGCAGGTGTGGCCTTATCGTCTAATTACCTTGCATAAAAGCAGGAACTAACGTTGGTACAGAGGACACATTCATCTTGCTAGATGCCCTTGAACAGGATGCTGAGGAACTACGAGTATCATATCCAAGATTATGCTTGGAAATTGGGTAAACAATAGTATTGGCCACTGCATTCGCGATATCCGAGTCTCACGTTGGCTGTAGGTCAGGATCAGGCTGCGTCTCAAGTTTTATCGGAGCCATACTTGGCACGTCGACGATATGTAAATTATTCCCCTTCCCCTCCCCTCCATATTGAAAAGACATTCACTTCAGTATGCCTTGCGACCGACATCAATCCACACGCATGCAGATGCACGAGACTGACCGGTCGTCAGAACAAGGTACGTCCCTGTCTACTCTTTACAGACTCGAACACCCAAGCTACTTGTAGTAGACACCAATAGACGTGGTGAACGCCTCTCTGGCATCGCCTCTTGTGCAACGACTTCGACATGCAGTCGACGTACTCATTTTCAACCCTCCCTATGTGCCCACCTACGCCGACGAAGCAGACGACGCGCAACAGGGCGCAGACATACAAGGTGCTTGGGCTGGCGGAGAAATCGGGATGCAAGTGACCGATGTTCTCCTTGATCAGGTCGAGGTAGGAGGCTGGCTAACCGACCTTGACAACGGCCACTGACTGGAACGTGGTTCAGGATTTACTTTCACCCATCGGGCGGTTTTATTTAGTCGCAGTAAAACAGAACGACGTCCCTGCAATACGTCAGAGGATGCTAGATACATACAGACTCTCGAGCGAGGTATGTGGATGACACATATATGTCAGTGAGCCGAGTCTGAGGTGATGTCGCAGGTAGTCCTTGAACGCCGAGCTGGTGGTGAATATCTTTTCGTTGTGCGATTCTCTCGATAGCTGCAGCTACTAGCGAACAGAGCATACGGGTTGAGTCATCCAGGTACAATTCTTTTCTAGTGGTACTACAACACATGCCCTCACGCAGTGGCTGAAGCACTGATCCTACAACCTTTGCGCGGTAGTGTTAACTTTAAGTTATGCCCGCAATGCTCAGGCCGACAAGTCGAGACCCTCAAGAGCAGGAATGGGACGCTCAGCTTGCGGCGTGATACGAACACCGTGGCGCCTCTGCCCTCCAGTAACGAAGTCGACGATCGCGGACTAGTCATCGCAGTCAGCGAACCGTCAGTCAAGAAGCAGAATGAGGACATACGTGTGCAGTGAGCCTGTTGTCCCAGAGGACAACCGTGTACGGCTCCCACTTGACACGCGCCTGGATGTCGGTGCTCTTAGCGATGTGATCGTACAGCAGCTCAAGGATTGCATCTGTACATCAATCGCAAGTCAGCTCGAGGCGCTTGTCCAGAAGCAGCGGACAACTGACCTGACTCTTCGCGCTTCAGGCCAACAATGCGGCGAGTGAATTGCTTGTTGACGTAGATCGCCTCTTCGCCTGTGACCGGGTGCCGCCTTACCAGGGGGTGAATGTTCTCCACGGGCTCGCGTCTGACGACACCACCGCGGTAGCCTGACCTCGAGTAGTTCGCCTGCTCGACACCCGAGTGCACCGCCTTGAGGGTGCGCAGGAAGGCAACGAATGCGGAGACAGCCGCTTGAGCGCTGCGACCTGCGACGTGAACGCAGTGTCGCCTCCCGTGTCGGGCTGCGAGAGGAGGAACAACGCAGTCAAGCCGGGCGGCTGCCGCTCGTAGGAGACGTCCGAGTGCCAGGCCGTCCATGTAATGCGGTCCTCACGCTCAAAGTTATATGTCGTGTTCGCATCGCGGTAAACGAGGTGCAGCTCCGGATAGTTCTCCGGGTGCCCGGACGTAGGGTGGATGTGGAGGCGGCCGAAGTGGCGGCCAAACTCAAGGTAAGAGTCTGGGCCGCTGTTGATGAAGTCGCGCTGGTCCCTGAAGACCACCAAACCCCTACGGGCGACCTATAAGAGTACACACGCGTCCGGAATGAGAAGACAATGGATGGGAAACGGTGACATCAATATTGACTTACCTCAAGCGCGAGCTGATCTCTCCCATCACTGTCGAGCGCAGCAAGGCTGACTCCGCGAACCTCCTCGCCAAGATGGGGAGTCAGTTGCGTGATGCTGGTTGCATGGTCAAGGAAGGACCGAGGGTTTGGGTGAGACAAGGCGCGACTGCCCGGATCGATGTGATCGAACGGAGTCAGAGGCGGATAGTGCTCGTCGCGTGGAAAGACCGGAAGCAGATGCGCGTAACGGTACCTTCCTCGGACTTGGACTGCTCATTGTTCTCTGCCGGTTTGGCAGCGACGCGGAGAGCAGCGATAGGAGCAGTGATTGTTTCGACCGTGGTAGACATGGCGAGAGGGCTCCGCTGGGCTGTGCGAGATGAGTACGCTGCCTGCAGCGATGCCCGCCTAAATACGTGGCTAGCTTGTCGCCATTCCACGGCCCTTGCACGCAATGGAGTGTTATCTGGTGAGCGAGGTCTCGCAAGATGACCTTGCGATGAGGAGCGTCTGCCGGCTGCCGGGCGGGTGTCCGTGTGCCTGCCGCGCCAAACAACGCGTCAACAGAGCAGATTAGATAATGCGACGCGTCGACGCGCGCCCACAGACGCGCGCGGCACGTGCAGCGCGTGTAATTGTGTGCATCTGCAGGAATCTCAGCCCGTCGCCTCGCCACCACGGCAGATCTCCTGGCGCCGCAAGACAATAGGGACAATAGCCAGAAATGACATGGCATTTCACTCCGTCCCGGGCGAAGCGAGAGCTCGCATGGTGCGTGCCTTGCGGGATGGTCTTCTGACTGGTGTACGGCAGGTCGAAGCGGGCTCTGCGATAGTGGGCCGCTCCCCGCAGGGAGGTGATACCCATCGCACACGAAAGCAGACAGACACCTCGCTGCCATCGAGTCAGCGTCGCAGGAGGTGAGTGCAGCGTTGCCCTACACCGAATCTGGATCAATCGCAAGGGCGATCACTCCCAGCGATTCTGAGTCTTGTTGTGTCACGATCGCTCCCTATCATTCCGAGTCTTATTGTTCTGCAGCGCTATGCGCTAACCAACCAGGGGATACCGGACACTCACTCTGGCTTCGTTAGGAGCGTAACAATTAGGCCGCCACGCGAGCCTGTCTTCTTGGCTATCCGCGCAAACCATGAAAAGGCAAAGGAGCCACGGGCCAGTTCTTCAGGCCCCCTCCCCGCCCGTAGCGTACCCTCTCTCCCTCCCCCCGACGGCACTCAGTTGACGAGATGGAGTCCCCCGACACCTCCTTCCCCGTTCCTCTGCCTCAGCTGCTTCGTAGCCGCAACCCCATTCCCGATGTTCCCCAAGATGTTGACTATGTCATGCAACACTTGAACGACCCCAACTGGGACTTGAACGAGGTGTCGCCCACCGCCAGCGTCACCTCCTTTCCTATGGACCAGAAGGGGACTAGGACGATCTCGAGCGGGCACTCGATTCACAGCACTGAGCTAGACTCCGAGTCGCAAGTCGGCTCGACGTATAAGACGAGGGCATCATCGCGGGCGCGTCTGCAGGAGGCAGACATTGAGGACTTCAATGAGTATGTGATTTTAGCCACTCAAATCAGTCATAGCGCTCACACGTCGCAGCGAGTCCCCGTACGCTGAGGTGCGCGCCGCAGTGTCAAATATCGATGACCCTGCGATGCCCGTAAATACATTCCGAATGTATGTGCACTCACGATGTCTCGGAATGCCAGCTGATAGTGTAATCGTAGGTGGTTCCTGGGAATCGTCCTCACGATTCTCATGGCTGGGATCAACCACTTCTTTGACGAACGATGTAAGTGAACGTTGTTCTAACAGATGTATGCGGACTCACAGTTGCTGTAGACCCCTCAGTTGCGATTAGTTCCCTTGTCGTCCAGCTGGTCGCTCTTCCGCTGGGGAAGGGCCTGGCATGGGTGCTCCCAACGACGCGCTTCAACACCTTCGGTTACGTCTGGTCTCTGAACCCGGGGCCCTTCAATATCAAGGAGCACACCGTCATCACCATCATGGCAAGCGCGGTCTACAGCGACGTCTACGTCACGACCGTCTTCGCAACACAGAAGGCCTTCTACAACCAGAGCATCGGCTTCGCCTACCAGATCCTCCTCGCGCTCTCGACACAGTGCCTCGGCTACTCCTTCGCAGGTGTCGCGCGCCGCTTCCTTGTCTGGCCCTCGAGCATGATCTGGCCCGGCGCGCTCGTGTCTTGCGCCCTCCTGAACACCCTCCACAAGAACTGGGGCAAGAAGGAGAAGCGCCACATCAGCCGAGAGCGGTTCTTCCTCTTCGTCCTCGTGGCGGGCACCTTGTGGTATTTCCTCCCGGGCTACCTGTTCACTGCGCTCAGCGTGTTCAATTGGGTCTGCTGGATTGCGCCGGAGAACCCGACGGTCAATGCGCTGTTTGGGTATTCGACGGGTTTGGGAATGGGTTTCCTGACGTTCGATTGGTCGATGATCTCGTGGATTGGCAGTCCTCTGGTCACTCCCGTAAGTCGTGTCTCATACCTTTTGAGTGTTTTGTTATTGATGCCTTTGTGTAGTGGTGGGCCGAGGCGAACATCGCGGTAGCCTTTGTCCTCTTTTTCTGGATCGTGACGCCGGCCATCTTCTGTACGTCTGCTCGTCGTGACGCGTCTCATGTTGTGACCTAACTGTCTTTTCCCTCAGTCACCAACGGCTTCTTCTCGCAGTACATGCCGATCTCCTCCTCCGGCTCGTATGACCGCACTGGGGCTGCGTACGACGTCACCAACATCATCACGAATGGGTTCTTCGATGAGGAGAAGTACAAGGCGTACTCGCCGTTGTTCATCCCCGCTACGTTCGCCGTCTCGTACGGCGTACAGTTCGCGGCCATCACCTCGGTCATTGTGCACACATTCAGTACGTCTTCTCCAATGTCGTGCGTCTATATCAATTAACGAGTGAGCTTTACAGTTTGGTACAGGCATGACATTGCTCGTCAGTTCCGTCGTACGCTGGAGGACGAGCGCGACGTGCACGCCCGGCTGATGTTGGCGTACCCCGACGTCCCCTGGACCTGGTACGCGGCCATCGGCATCATCTCCTTTGTGTTCGGCGTCATCGGCATCGAGATCTTCCCTACCCAACTCCCCGTCTGGTGCTTCGTCGTCTCCATCATCTTCGCTGCGGTCCTCATTATTCCTGTGGGCATGATTCGCGCTATCACCAACCAAATGATCTCCGTCAACGTCATCATGGAGGTCGTTGTCGGCTACATGCTCCCGGGCAAGCCCGTTGCGATGATGCTCTTCAAGACGTACGGCTTCATCACGGTCTCGCAGGCACTGACGCTTGCGAGCGACATGAAGATCGCGCACTACATGAAGGTCCCGCCGCGCATCACATTTGTCGCCCAGACGCTCGCGACCGTTATCCTCTGCTTCGTCTGCGTCGGCATCCAAATCTGGCAGTTCGCCAACATCCCGGACTTCTGCCAGCCGGACCAGAAGGACTACTTTACCTGCCAGGACGTCAGCGTATTCGCGACCGCGTCGATCATCTGGGGAGGCATCGGCCCGCAGCGCCTCTTCTCGCCCGGCCAGCTCTACAGCCCCCTCCTATGGTTCTTCCTCGTCGGCGCGCTCTCGCCCATTCCCTTCTACTTGCTCGCCCGCCGCTTCCCGCACTCCATCTGGAGGTACGTCAACATGCCGATCTTCTTCGCCGGCCTTGGCCAGATGCCGCCTGCGTCCGGCATCAACTACTCCTCCTGGGTCATGGTCGGCGCGTTCTTCCAGTGGTTCATGCGCCGCTTCCACTTCCGCTGGTGGATGCGCTACAACTACATCCTCTCTGCTGCGCTGGACTCGGGAGTCGCGGTCAGCCTTATCATCATCTTCTTCGCCCTCGAGATGCCGAAGGGCGGCATCACCCTCAACTGGTGGGGGAACACCGTCTGGCAGAACACTTTCGACTCGTTGGGCATGCCCTTCAAGCTCCCGCCGAACGGCACCTTTGGGCCCGAGACCTGGTCATGAACACTTCACCTCTCGTTCCTCTCTTTCGTCCCGCTGTAGCATTATTCGGTATATCATTATCTCTGAACGATCCATCCACGACCCATCTGCATCTGCATCATACCACGTTGACGTCTCCCTCTCTACTCAGGCTTTAGCAAGCATCTTTGCCCACTCATTCTTCGTGACCTCGCTTTAAAACGAACCACTAGGGTTCCTCTTTCTGCGACCCCTTTCCGCCTTCGTTCACGTACTACCGTTGTATCAGTAGTTACGATCATGTACCCGGTTGCATGTATTGATGACTGGAATGATTATGCGTAAGCATCTTATGAACTGTACTCACGGTATGAACTCCCTGACTATTGAACGCAGGCCCAGCGAATGAGACATTGGCAGTTACACAGATACGACACGGCACTGTGCATAACGGTCGCGTCAGGCCTCTCGGACAGCCGCATAGTAGGGCAGTGTTCCGTAATGGATGCGCACCGCCGGAAGTAGGAAAGCAGACAACACTTCGACATAAGCACGAGCGAGCAGGAGCTCTCGTTTTGGCAAGAATAGAACACTGAACAGGCACACGTACACGTAGCAACAGGCACATGTATCGATAGTTTACGCAGGCAGACCCCATACCCTGACCTCCCTGCCAGTGGCACCCCAGACCTCCTTGCCCTCGGCACCGAACACGAAGTCGGCGACCTCGCCGCCCTCTTCGAAGCGCACCAGTTCCTCCCAAGACTTGTGCGCGAAGATGCGCGCGCCCTCGCCCCGCAACTCCAAGGAATTGGGCGCTTATGTCGTAGGACACCTTGTTAACCTTGAAGCCCTCACCGAGCGAGATGGAGTGGGCAATCTTGGGCTTACGCAAGTCCCAGATTGCGACAGAGGAGAGGAGTCTGGCGCAAGCATGTGGTAGCCGTTCTCGGAGAAGCTGAGGGTCTTGACGGTGAATGGCGTGCTCTCGGGAGGCGATAAAGACGCAGCAACAACACCCGAGCGGATATCGTAGACCTGGATCGTGGAGGCAGGGGTACCCACGGCAAGCAGCGTGCCGTCAGGATGCACGCCTAGAGACGTGAACGACTCCTCTGCGGGGGCGAGCGATACACGAGCGAGCCGCTCGTGAGGTCATGCAGCGAGTAAGTGCGGTCGGTAGACGCCATCGCCACGAGTGTGTTCGTAGGGTGCATGGCGAGGCCTGTGACTTCGCCTTTGTGCGTGCGAATGACAGCACGAGTTTTGTACTCGCCAGACACTGTGTCGTGGGCCCACACCCTTGCGGTCTTGTCGGTACTGCCAGAGAGGAGCAAGTCGGTCACTCTCGTTGATCGCTTCGCGAAACGCAACGTGAGTGATTTTCTTCTGGTGTCCCGGTAGAGCTGCCAGGACCTTGTCGGTGCTGCGGTCATAGAGTTGCACGATTTTGTCGTTGCCGCCTGTGAGGAACCGCGAAGGATTGGCTGTAGACACGGCCAAAGCGGTGATACCAGCAGGCGAGGGCGATGCAGGGAGGGATGGCGTGTTTCGCGGTGAAGGTCTTGACCTCGGCCGATGTACATAGCCAGTAGGGGGCTTGCGTTTTTTACGCTGAGCAGACAACGTCTGGTGTGTCTCCTCGATTTTCTGCGCAACCTCTTCAGGTATACCTCCCGCTTCGCCCTCTGCCTCTGCCATCTCCACATCCCCTCCGTTACCAGCAGGCGCAACGCCCATAGTAGCTGACACACTTGCGAGAGCTCTGCAAGAGATATGTCAGTGGATGTGGGCCAAAGAGCTGGTGACTGCACGTACTCTCTTGCTGCATCACGCTCGCGAATCATACGCGCAACTACGCGTGTCGCGGCATCCTGTGCATACAGAGCGTAGCTCAGCTCTTGACGAAGGGAGTTGTACTGCTGCTTGAGGGTGAACGTCTCGAGCATGAGAGCGTCCCACTCATTTTGAAGGGTATGGAGGAGAGCCGGGATGGAAGTAGCTGCCGGTGGTCGCGGAGCAGCAGTCTTCGGGTCTGGAAAGCGATTCAGTATAACAAACTTGGCTGCGCTCGGCTCAAACGCACTAGCTTTGACGGTGATAAGGTCCGACTCCTCCAACTTGTCTCCGGTAATGGGGTCTGTGCCATTCTCGGTGATGTACTTGAGAATCAGCCTCCGCTCGTAGACATGGCCAGACTTCTGTGATACGACCGGGTCTTGTGGTGGCTCTCCAGAAATTGCGCAGAAGAACATGTTGTTCGGCGGAGGGATAGAGGTGGAGGCGACTGGACTTGTCGACGACGGCTTTGCGCAAGTCGAAGTTGTTGACAATGAACGCGAGCGCTGGGAGCGTGTTTGGGCGTGTTGATCTGGGCGCCAGTTCTCTAGCACTCACCTCACTCCTGCACGGTCATGTCCAACAAACAGCGGCTCGTTCTCTCCATCCTCGACTTTCTCAACCAGTCCATTGAGGACGGCACCGTCAAGCAAGACGACAAGGAGAGTCTTGAGGTTGCAAGTGCGTCTCCTCTCCGCCTCGCCATGTTCGACATATCTTGAACGGATATCACGCGCACAGTCCAGTGCATCGGGGAGGCCTTCACAGTCGATCCTTCCGATTCAGCCCAACGCGAGAAGTTGTCTATAAAGCCTGCGACGCTCCAAAATGTCTTTGACGTCTTCTTGAAGACGAGGGAGAAGGTCGGTGCCAGCCCAGCACCGGCTGCGCCAGCGACATCAGCTGCGCCGAGCGCGGACGACAAGGCGAAAGCGGAGAAGCTGAAGGCGGAAGGCAATGCACAAATGTCTGCTAAGCAATACGACAATGCAATTGACGCTTATACGAAGGCCATTGCGCTTGACCCGACAAATGCTGTTTATTTCTCGAATCGCGCCGCGGCGCATTCGAGCAAGGAAGAACATCAGGAAGCGACCTTGGATGCACAAAAAGCTATTGAGCTGGATCCCAACTTCGTGAAGGCATATCATCGACTTGGGTAAGCCCGACCAATGTCTTCGTGTTCAGTGTGCCTTATTGTCGACGCTGTTTGACAGACACGCCCAGTACTGCCTCGACGATTTCAAGGAGGCAGCGGCGGCCTTCCGTCGCGGCCTCGAACTTGATCCGTCCAATGCGGCCCTCAAGTCTGGTCTCAAGAACGCAGAGGCTCGGATCGCACCAGAAGACACAGACTTATCCTCGCTTTCAGAGCCCGAGGTTGCGGGTGGAAGTGCCAATGCTGCAGGTGCCGGATTGGGCGGAATGGCGGACATGTTGCGGAACTTGGGCGGTGGAGGCGGCGGAATGCCCGATCTCGGTAGCCTAATGAGCAATCCAATGATGATGCAGATGGCACAGCAGATGATGGCGAACGGTGGCATGGAAAGAATGATGCAGAACCCCGCCTTGGCTAACATGGTCAGTCAGCCTTTCATTATGTGAATTCATAGTGGATAATCATCTCTATTGGGGTAGATGAACCGAGTGCAGCAAGGGGGCGGTATGCCTTCTATGGCAGAGCTCATGTCGGATCCGAGTATGCGAGATATGTATGTAGCGTTGTCAAACTGTCCCTAGCTTTGGCCTAACCGTTATGCTACAGAGCGCAACAGTTCGGTGCGGGCGGTGCATGATGGCATGCTTCTCCAGATTGGGACATATCCTGTCCTCGTCGTTTAATCAATAGAACGAACTTGTTCTGGATCACCTCGCCTATCTTCCAGATTTCGTAATGCAGCACGGAGCAGCCACGGTCGATACGCAAGAGCACTACGCCCATATTCTCATCTGAGACTTCACTTACGGGAATCGGGCAAAATACGCAGAGTGTATCGTCGAGGTACGTGCTATGTCGTTGTATGACCGCACCCAACACAGTCATCGCCCCATCTGCCTCTGGAATAGTGGTGACGTGGGGTCTCGACTTGAACCTCTACTGCGCTCCGTCGTACAAAAGGAGGAAGGCGCAAATACTCCCTCCGTATACAGCACGTTCACGTCGTTCGAGACATGACGGCTGTCTTGATATCTGAGAAGCCTGCCCGACGCCCACGAAACGGCGAACGGCATGACTCAGGAACAAGCCCTGCTTGTTCGCTGCTTGCTGTTCGTTTGGCAAGACGATTGTCCCCCTCAATGTTGCGCGTTGTGGATCATGATTCTGAAACGTGGACGTCCTATGCTTAGCCATCGAGTGCACCGCGATATGCTGTGTGAGTGTAGCTTCTCGAAGCGTCGTCAGTGATGTCTGCACTGGTATGTGCCCGGATTATACGTTATGATGACGGGTGGCTCAATCTCGGTCCTGCAGTCGTCGGATATACGGCATTCACATCATATCTCGAAGCGTTAGTCGAAGTCTCCCAGGGTAGCACTTGTACCTGTGGTACAGTCAAGCTGAGCGGGCTGGGGGGACACGCATTGACATCGCACTGTCAATGTGTCCTTCAGAATCATGATATATTTGACCCAAGAGATATGATCTCGTCAGAATCATGATGGTCAGTCCATAGTAGTCGTGTGATAACATGCGGCAGGAAACCTGTTCTCTAGCGAAGGAGCAGTGATGCCTTGCATCGCCCAAGATACTGACCGCGCTCCTGTGTGGCAGATGTGGCCATACTTCGGATTTTTTGTGTCAGCGCCTTGATCCTGGCAAGATTGAGATACGTTCTCTCATTTTCCGCCGCTGCCTTGGAAGGGGAAAGAACAACAAGCAGACCAACGCCAGTGTGGGCGCAACGTGGTATGGAGCCACTTGGATCTCAAACAGTACTTGCTCTCGGCTTGTTGCTCTCGGCGCCCGGATGAGAAGTCATGTATGTGCCGGGATAATCTGCGCCTCCAATTGGCGTTTGTAGGACTGACATTCCTAGTCCGTTTCATTGGCTTCCAGTCTCCTGGATGGCTAAAGGCTGGCTTCAATCTCGACCTCAACAATGCAATGGGCAGCGTCTTTGTGAGCATCGTTCTTAGTCCTACGTGTAGCTATTTCGTGCGTCCCTTGTCCATATCGAGCTAATGATCCGCGCACCAGATTCCATGCCATACAGTGACTATCCGCGGGCATTACCCATTGAGTCCTACGCTTTCTACTGGTACCAGTCGTCGACGAAATTAAGTTGCATTTATCGTAAGCTCTATACCTGAGAACGCTGTCAAACTTACAATCATTCGGATCTCAGGTCAAAACTAGATGGCACACTGATATACTCAGCCTTGAGACATCAATGGCGATATTAACAATGGTACACACACTTTGACTTGAATGACTACCATCTGCTCCCAACCTTCTGGCATGGGAATGAGATGCAGACAACACGAATATTTCGCTGCATATAAGGACAGGCACAGTGGACTAGGTTTCCTCAGTATCGTATAGCCTACTTGGAATTTTGGTCTTCTGGACCGCTATGACTGGTTTCATGGTGGATCTCAATCCCTCTATGGGCTGCCTGTTCATTGGCATAGACCTGAGTCTGGTGTAAGTTCCGACTCTCGTAACTTATGCTGGCATCTAAACTCATATCGTCTTCCATAGACTCTACGGCGGAGTATGCGCCCAGGCGGTATACTATTTCTGGCACTACCGCAACGACGGACTCGTTCTCAAAACCTTGGTCAGTCAACTTCGGCGTTGTCACGGTGCTTCGCAATATGTCTTCTTACGTAGCACAGGTTGTCATGGCATGGTCTGTCCAATTCTCATCCGTTCTGACTAGTATGACAACTATACGATTAATCCTCAAGGGTCCTGCAATCTGCACAGATTGCGACCGATATCCACGTGAAGGCAGCATTAGTATCTGGATATGCTCGATCGCTCACTACTGGACGCCCTGTAGCAACTATGGTACTATCTGATTCGCGGGCACGGCAATATCCTCGCCTTGACGGTGCTCGACCCGTGAGTGCCCTGCCAAGTTAATCATAAACCTGCTCGGACAGACGTAACAATACATTGCTTTCTAGGGCCACTGGTGTAAGTTTCCTCAATTGACCCTGAATGCATTGCGCGGCTCATCACGATGTCGCATACGAAGGGCCAATCGCTGCTTTCGGTGAGCCGCCATTATGTGAGCTCCAGAGCATCTATAATTTTGAATTTTATCGCAGCATGCCTTGATGGTTTTGGTACAATGGTACGATTTCGGTATTTTCTGCTGACTGACAACTTGACGACTGACATCCCTCCAGGTACTTTCTCCATAGGATTTGGCTACGTGGGTGTCATCTCAATGTACAACTTGATGCTGGGCTGGAATTGCTCTAGTCTTGAAGGGGACCCGAGTCAAGTGCTTCTACGCAGGATTCGCTGTACGTCTCTCTGACTTCCTTCCGACCGTTGTTCATCGAACCCGGAACCCAGGCATTTGTGTCATTGATGACTCTGGGTACGTCTCCACAAATGCAAGTTTCGTGGGAGACTGACTGCGGCCTCACAAGGCACTTCGATATGTAGGTCCATACACCACTCGATTGTCGCGTTAGAAACCTAAATGGCACTGCGCAGGGGTTGTATATGACTGGTGCGACCCGCAGTTTTGTGGAGCGTTTGTATGCGATGTACTCACCACTTCTCTCGAGTAGCTTCATCGAGAAGAGCGTCACGACAGCGGTGAGGGGTGGTTTGGTATGCATAGACAACTCTCTAGCGGATCCCGCCGTACTCAGTTCAAAGCTGTAGGTGCCAGGCATCTGGTCGCTCTCTGCTATCTTCGTCACCGACCTCTACATTACATGCATTCTCTGTTACGCCTTGTGGGGCTGTAGAAATGGGTTTCAACAGTAAGTGTCGGCTTTGATTTCCGACCTCGAAACGAACTAATGATAGTAATGATTCGGGCCATTATTAGGACCGACGGTATCCTCACAAGGCTGGTTATCTACGCGATCAACCGGGGCATCTTGCTATGGTATGTCGTTTCCCTGCTGCTTCTCTACCTGCTGGCATCTTGCTCAGCGAATGCGTACCACTAGCTTGGCATCGTTCGTCGCTATTGTGCTGGTAAGTATAAACGCTAATCCTCGTTCTTCTTTGTTGTCTTGACTTGGTTCGTGACCTGGAAGTGGGTCATAGATAGCAAAGGTGGTACTACCTACATCGAGGCGATTTCCGCGCCAGGTCAGGGAACCTGTACGTGCGGCAGTGTATTTCCACCCAGCCGCCACCTATGCTGACCGTTCGCTTTCGCAGTGTACGCAAATTCGTTGTTGGCAGTGTACGTGTACGCAGTGTAACATTCAGAATTCACTCATCATTCGTGCTGCAAGGCTCAATGTTCGCAACCATCTCGGGCAGCTGGAGGCGACGCGGTCCGACCACAACGCCTCCGAACTCCCTTTTGTCACGATTCGCAAAGATTCCAGGATGGTGACTGTCGCGGACTCCACATGCGGTGCGAAGATCGAAGTCTGAAGATACCCACTAGGCTAGTACTAGTGGTGAGGAGCCCAGGTTGGCATTGGCAAATGCGAAGAAGAGAGGAACTAACAGAAGAGAGTACATGCATACCACGTACGGTGTCGGAGGAAATCCCGCGCGCAGGAGATCAAATCGCCGCATTCAAGTTTGCTTGCGCGGGTATGCGTGCTGTAAAAGTACAAGGCAGTTACATAGGTGGACAGTTGATCCACGCCTCAGCAAAGGTGTACTCACTATGATATTCTTCTACTCGCAATGTACGCACAACTCTTGCTATGGTAATAGTGCTCGTCCGTGCCGAAGATTTCAAGTACGCAGTGTCCCTGTCTGCTCAGTTGCTGTTATGGACCAAATCTTCTGCATGCCGGTAATCATTGAATGCAGACCTGCCACAAGTGGGAGACGTCCTCTGAGCCCAGATCCTAACGCGTCGGGAACACTCAATCCTTATTGACCACTACCAACCTACACGGACGTGACCCAGTCCAGTCCAGGAACTGCAACGTGTCTACTACGCCCTCGTCTATGAGCCGAGACGCGCCTACATCCTAAGCTGACAACAGCCGGTCCATCCCATCCCGTAAAAAGAAACAAATAGCGAGTGAATCGAGACACTGGCACGCAGTCCGACACGAAGCCAGGCGAGGCATAATCAATAAAACAACAACAGTAAGTCGTGAGTCATGAAGAAATCGTTATGAGAAGATCGTGGAGGTAGATATGTATGTTCGGGTAACGTGTGGGCGTGGGCGGGCGAGGTAGGTTGTTCACCGAAAGAGGATCCACGTGCCGACGAAGAGGCCGACCAGGACGCCAATCGCGCGGAGGACGAGCACCACGACGAGGGCTTTTCGCACTGAGGCGTAGAACGTTGTCAGGGCAGAGCCTGTCCAGTTTATTCTGATGACCCAAAACGCGTCAGTTCTAATGCTTCGCCGCCCCAAAGCACAAGGGACATACCGCCTGTCGTTCGTGCCACCCGCACGTACGCTCGCTTCCCAACCGCGCATAACCGCGCGGTACCTCTTGCCAAATACCCTGCACAAGACTGTCAGCGCTGCCTACGAACCACGCACAGCGAATACGTACCATATCCAGAAATTCACGTCGGGATAAGAGAATCGCGGGAAGATGCTCGTCAGGCTCGGCGCAACGACGGGCATCCGGAGCATCTCCAGCGTCTCCGCATCCGGGGGCAGCAGCGCCTGTGCACTCATTATCGCCTCCTCGTTCTTCTCATTGCTTACACTCATCCTCCCCTTGCCCTTCCCTCTACCCGCGCTCGGAGCCTTCCCCGCAATGGGCGATACAGTAGGCACGGTCATATTCAAGAGCAAATCGAGCGTCATGCCGAGCGAGAGACCCCAGAGCTTGAGCTCCTCCTCACCGTCCGCGCCGTGTTCGAGCGCTGCACGTTTCTCGTCGATCGCGAGCAGCTGTGACTTTGCATCGCCCGCGGGCGTATGCGCGAGGGGGACTGCAGCTGATGCGGAGGGCGAAATGAGGATGGCGGGGAACTGCATGCTGCCCACGAGGACACGCATAAGGAGGCGGAGCACGGTAGAGTGCCGCGGCGCGAGACGGGAGGACGCGTCGACGGTGACATGCGACCAGCGGGGGCTGCGGGCGCTCTTGCCTTGCATGGACGCGGGAAGGGGGAGGAGCTCCGCGAGGGGTACCCAGTGGAGCGCGGTGCCGGGCGCGGGGTCGACGGGGGTGGTGTGGGGGGCGAGTTGGAGGAAGACGAAAGGAGACAGGACCATGAGGAGGCGCTTGCCGAGGGAGGTAGTCACTTCGCGGTCATCGAGCTGGCCGACAGGCGTATATGCGTTCTCGGCGAGGTCGAGGCCGATTTCCTCCCAGGTTTGGCGCATAGCTAATGTATGTCAGCTGTGTGCAGTTATACAAAGTGAGTGCAGGGCGAACCTGTGTACATGCCGCCTTCGTCCCCGTCTTCGGTTTTGCCGCCTGGGAAAGCGACGTGGGCCTCGCGCGTGCGCGGGCCACTTCCGCTCATACGGCCTGCGTCTGCTGTTGTATCTGGTTTGTCTCTACGGAGGAACAGAATTTCAGGTCGCGCTCCGGGTGCGTTGACCCAGTCGAGCTGGAAGAATTCAGAGAGGCCAGGGGCGAGTTCAGGGGATGGATTGTATGACGGCGGCGGGACCACGCGAATGATGAGCGCTACTGCTGCCCTGCGAGGTTCTGCCAAAGGTTGTAAATCACTTAAAGTCGCAACAGACGGTAGTGTGCGTACGGGTTGCGGGGGACGCTATGGCTCTGGGCGGGGTTGAACGGATGTGGTGCAGCGCCCGCGAGAGCAGCGGAACAATCGAGACTCCTGTGAGTATATGCGTGAGCGAGCGACACGGCGAGGGCGGCGGCGAGCATACCTGGGGTGTCGGCCATGGTGGGCGGGGGCAAGGGTGGACGGGCGAAGAGAGCTCGTCTGCGCGAAATTGTCCGTACGCGGCACGGCCGGGGTGTTTAGGCGCCCGCACAACGCGTTGGGGAGTCTGGGGTTTTGACGTCACGGCGCGTCCTTGCCTCTTTGGGCACCGAGGCAGCCTCGCGCCGATCGCATCTCAGCAGATCTCCCCGTGTCTTGTCAGCTTTCCCGTCTTGTTCCCGTCGTCTCTTCCGTCTGGGTCGACGACGCTGTGCAGTACGCCGAGTTGCTCTCCTCGCCGCCATCCCACCCATCCAGCGGCGTGCAAAGCGCTCTATTGCTTCCGCATGTCTTATCTCCCATTCCCCACGGGTCCCACAACTTCCCCGGCCTCCCCGCATTTCATTTTCGCTAGCTCTCCACATCCCACTTCCTATGTCGGGATCCCCTGTACCTAGCTCTCTGTTGTACTGTCGGATATTTGGCATGAGTACAGCGCTGTGGGTGTTGACAGGTTGCCCCAATATCAAGACTGAACGCTCACCAGGCGGCCTTAAGGCCATCGGGTGGACGAGCAAGACTACATGGGCAAGATTATTCCAGAGATGGTGCGCATGGCCGGCATTCCCTTAGACTCGAACACTTCGTGGGCACATAGTTCGACCCGGTCCAATGAGAGCACCATGAGGTTATGGTTTGCAAGGAAGGTAAGCCAGAGACCTCCTTAAATCCACTTACTCGCTTCTCTGTGTCTGCGTGGCTTTCTCCTCCCAGTCGTCGCGTTCCATCCAGCTGCTCCCCAGAGATTGTAGCCGCGTTTCATCTCTGGGTCTCCCCTGCCGTTTAGCCTCAGCGGACTACACCTTCACGACCAGACGCGGGGAAGCTCTCGAACTTACCTCCTGAAGCTGCGTCGTGCTGCGCTCCAGGTCGATACAAGACGTCGTATGGGCATGACACTTCTGTGCGCGACATCCAACACTTGCTTCGTCGGCTCTTCCCCTGTGATCCAAACGCAAGGGTACAGCGCCTTCGCTCAGTGATTCAGACGAAGCAGACCGTCCCAGATGGCGCATATAACTGCTCGAGCTTAGTCAACTGATCAGGCCTTCAGGCCTGCCGACTTCACTTTGATGTCCAACGTACCACGCGAACGAGGACTGCACCAGCGATGACCGCCGTCAGCAGACCTCGTCCCGGATGTACTACGGGGCGGCGTATTATCGGAGCACAGCAGCTCTCGCTTTCACTTCAGCGCCGCCGGGGCACACGTCGGTCACATAAATACACCACACAGACTTTGCATGAGCACGGTTTGCCCAGCATGCATCCGGGTTTGCTCACTGCTGCACTGACATTGCTCGGTGCCTTCGATGTGCATGCATCGCCAGTCGCTTCTGCAGGGACTCTATCGATCCCGTACACTAGCCCGCTCATCTATTATCATGGGCGGTGGGATGCTGCACCGGCAACGTGGTGGTACGTCTGAGTTTCTATCTGCGCTACAGGGCTGATGTTGCCAGCATATAGGGGCTCTTCAGGCTTCAAGTTGCATGTCGCCAACCTGAAGTCTCTCTCTCTCACCCTGGGCCCGAACACGACGGCACCTCTCGTCTCTCTCGGCATCTCGGTTGACTACCAGCCTTTCGTGACCGTCAACGTCTCCGAAGGCGTAAACGAAATCGATGTCACCGGAGCCAACCCGTCGTCATCGGTGGTTAGGTTCAACGTGGAGGAGTGGCAGGACAATCGCATGAACCTCGAGACCATCGAGCTGAACCCGGTATGTCGCATCGAAGAGACTTGGCTCCGCTCGCCGACGCTAAAATGTTTGTTAGGACGCGGAACTGCTCCCGTACGTCCCGCAACCGCTTGCCTTCCAGTTCATCGGCGACTCGCTCTCGGCCGGCCAGTTCCTGCCCATGGGCGTCGACCAAGCGTGGAACTTTATGACGGCAGAAACGTTCAAGGCCGAGCACCGCATTAACGCGCAGCCAGGTGCCGCCCTGACCGACATGGAATCGTATGGGAACGTCCACGGCGTATCTTTCCAGTACTTCCGCACGGAGGACACGGGCTATTATAACACTCCCCAGCACAATTATACAACGCCATGGGACTTTCTGCGCGACCAGCCGCCGCCGACTCACTTTGTGATCCACATCGGGTGCGTAGTGTGATATTCTCGACCGCGCGTGTGCTGGCACGCTGCTGATGGAGGGCCCAGTGCGAACGACGCGTCGTGGGACGTCCCCGAGGCGAACTTCACCCAGACTTACCTGGCGTTCGTGGAGCGGATTCGTACCATGTACCCGGTCGAGCCGATCTTTGTGTTCACTCCCTGGGGCTGGCCGCAGCCGGACGGCCCGAACTCGTATTACTATCCGAACGCCTATGCGGATGTCGTCGCCGCTAGACATGCACTCGGCGACGAGCAGGTCTTCCTGGTCAACACAACGGGCTGGGTGGACTACTCCAATGTTTACCCCGGGTGTGTAAAACTAGCATGTGTCCTGGAGCTGTGGGCTGACTGTCATTCGCGAAGGAATATCCATCCGAACGTCGAGGGACACCAGAAGATCGCTGGCTTGTTCCAGACTTGGTTGCGGGACTGGGGGCTGCAGTCCGTACCGGAGTGGTTGACACCTGCGTAGAGCATCTGGAAATACTGTATATGTTGTACTTCTACGGATAGCGCTCTCGCGGACGAGCACCAGCGCCACCACATTGTGACAGTACTTTTGTGTTGCAGTGATCTTAACCTGTTGGCATCGCGGTCCTGGAGAGTCGCACAAGAGGTAAGACTCAGTACTCAGTACTCGGCCAAATAATCGCCGTAGACTCAGTTCCCCAAATTGTTTGCAAAGTACGTCTACTAGCAGTCCAAACGTTCAAAACGTTCAATAGTCAATATGCAACGACGCTCTGACGACGATCATGGTCAAGCTTCAAGCAATGGTGCTTAGAATTTGTGGGATGGTGGCCGGGTTGCAAAGAAATGCATAATATTCAATATCTTTGTTTAATTTCTCAAGGCTTTGTAGTGTAGTGGTTATCACAGCGGATTCTGATCGGCTGTATCCAAACAAGTACAGTTCCGCTAACCCAGGTTCGAGTCCTGGCAAGGCCTTTTGATCCCTTTTCGTCCTGGAGACTAGTAGTTTACGCTTTGTATCGACTCGGCAGCAACTTGAAGAACGAGCCTGCGAGGAGCTCGAGCCTCGGAGGGAGGTGGAAGACATAAGCGCGCAGGGTGCACGGACCCCGATCGCCGATCGGCGCCACGCAGTCGCGGTCATGTGATCTGACGTCATTGCCCCTCGCGCGTCGCGCTGCCCCTGAGCTTGATGGGGCTCGTCTGCCGCGACTCGTTCGTCGTCCGTGTTCTCGTTCGACATACCCACACTGATCATGAGTAACGGCCAGACATGGGAGAATGCGCAACAGCACCTGCTCCGGGGTGAGCAGGCAGTGGCTCAACGCGTCAAATCTGCCTGGGCGGGCTTCACAGGTGCGCACGTTGCGGTGCTCGCCGCGGTTCACAGCGATAACTGCCCTCTCGTAGACTTTGCACTGCGCGACAACGTCCTCGAAGTCGCGGTCGGTCTGGTAATCGCGTCCGCGTTCACCGCGGTGGTCAACTCCCTCGTCTCGGACCTCCTCCTCCCGCCCATCTCGCTCCTACCGTTCTTGTCGCACAGGAACCTGCCCCAGAAATTCGCCGTGCTTAAGAGGGGCGAGAACGGTACCCATTACAACACACTGCAGCAGGCGCAGGATGACGGGGCCGTCACGATGAACTACGGGTGAGCGTTCTTCGGGTGCTCCTCAATGAGCGCGGACGTTGAGTGGCTCTCAGAATTTTCCTGGACCACTTGGTCAACTTCCTTGGTCTCGGCATCGTTCTCTACTGCGTTGCGCAGTTCTACTCCTTCGTGTCCAAGGACTCGATCATCAAGCACACCGTGCGGTGCTACGCTTGTCGGAAAGAAATCTCCACAAAGGTGACGTGAGCGTCATTTCAGCCCCTTTGCAGACACTGAACCCCGCGCAGGCAAAGAGATGCGCATTCTGCACCAGTTGGCAGGACGAGAGGGAGGAACGCGAGACTAGTGCGCTGTAACTTTCTCGATTCCAAGCCTCGGCGCCGTCAAAGATCTCATCATCGGCACCGTCACGTAGCATGTCCGCAGTATACCATTCTACATACGCATACCTAACGTACAAATTGTGTCTTCTTCTAGTCCTTCATCCTTCCAGCGGCAAAGAGCATATCTCACAGTCGCTTCCCCCGTGGGTGTTCACGAATGTGCAGTGCGGACAGACACGCTCACCGCCGCCCGCTGAGCCGAAGCCATCGCCCTGCCCGCCAGACTGTCGAGCGATCTGATCGAATACATCCGGAGGAATGTCTTCGTCCATAGGGGTATGTGTCGATCCAGAGGGCGCAGATGTCGCGGGGCGTGCAGCTAATGGATATGGATGAGACGATCGATCCGCGACGTACAGGCACGGCACTCACGTATTGTCTCGCGCGTGAAGGTCATAAGTGTCTGCCAGCCTTCTGTGCGGATGAGCGCGTCCAGGACAGTCGGATCGTCCAGGTTTGGCGACGTTGCCGTCCGTATCAGCACGTTCATGTCATCCTGTAGACATAGCACGTCAGGGCAAGCACAATGCAGTCCCACCGACGTCGCACTTACGGTAGATATCAGCTGTGACGTTCCGAGGAAGGCAATGAGGTGCCAATCGCTCAACCACTCTGCCAACACAGCACGCTGCCGTTGGTCGCCGCCACGTGCGCTCTCTGGGATGTCGGGCGCGTGCAGCTCCGCGAGTTTGTGCAGCACCCTTTCGATAGTCTGGTCTTCCAGACCGGGGCGATTCTCGATGGCGAACGCGGCTGAGCGGAAAACCGGTGACGGGTTCTGCGGGAAACCGTTCGAGACCTATAGAGAATTTAGTGAGACTGTGACAGCGAGCCGCAAAAGAACCCCTCACGTTCACTAGGAGGTACTCAACCGGGAAGCTTGGCTTCGCGCTCTTCTGCACGTCGAGGCCGTACTCGTTCTTATACCGGAAGAATACGTCAGGCACGTACCGCGCCGAATCCTGGCTCCGGTCCTCTTCCTTCACACGCACTATCCCGGGATCCACGCTCGCCTCAATCATGTCCGCCTCCACCATTGCACACGCCTGCTCCGACACCTGGTACGCAGACACGTCGATCCCACCATCTGCCGTGCCGGTGAGCACAGCTGTGACCAGGCGCGAGCCGAAGAGGCCCGTAGCTGACGACTTCGATGGCGTCGGGTTCGTGTTTTGCACATGCGCAGCGAAGATCGTTTCGAGCGAGGAGAGATAGAACGACTGCGGATGCCGCTTGTACCTTGTGCGCGTCCGGTCTTCCTCCTCCGGCTCGAGGTCAGTGAAGATGTACCCCACAACCTGTAGAGGCTTTGCGGAGGCACGAGCGAGTTCCTTGATCCGCAGTTCGTCTTCCCATGGTAGCCCGAGCGATAGTCCGTCAAGCTCGCCCTCCTGCGGAGGTTCGTGGATCGCCTCCACCACCGCCTTCACGCCCATCGGCACCTCCTCATATGGCTCATAGTGTCCGATCAGCCACCCGAATCGCTGCGTGCCCGTCAGCCGCCATGAGTGCAGAAACCGTTCTACAATGTGCGTGGATGCGATCTCGAGGTGATCAACCATCCGGAAGGGCTGGCTCTGCAGCGTAATTGCGGACGGCTGGCACGCCGTGCAGATTGACGCGGGCCACGGCTGGTGACTGCCGCTTGGACATGGAACCCTGACCTTGTAAGACAACTCCGACAATGGGGGCAGCAGGGCGGTGGATGATGTTGCGGCAGAGACCTTCGGCGTTAGTTTGCGAATGTAGGCATGGTAGGAAAGGTGCTTGATGTTGTGCTCCGCGTGATACGCAACGTCGTATGGCTCGAGGGGCATGCAATACTCGCACATACCCGCTGCACCATGCTTGCAGAAGCGCGAGTCGCGCCCCCGCGGAATCTTGCCATCCTTCGACCGCCAGTACGTGTCTACCGGGTCTTCCTGGACAGCCTCCCAAGGACGCTTTGGCGCGGCACTGCTCGTCTGTGCTTTCTGGGACGACTCTGCAACTGCTACCTCCGCCGGTGCATTGCCTTCTCGAGTTCCGTATGAAACGAAGACGAGATCTCCATGCCTGCAGCAAAGGGGTGTGGGTCAGTCGTGTTCAGGAGACATACTGGTCCAGGGAGCAAGCCTTGTGCAGCGTTCCCTCGGTTCATAGAAGACAGTTGGAAGGAGCCACGTGGAGCATGACAGTCCAGAGTCATCCGACACAGATTTCTGGACTACCGCGTTGCCCACGATCGATCGTCATCTTCCGCGCAGTGCCCTCCACCACATGGAAATTTTAGGACTGGTTGAACGTGCCGTGCTGCACAGACACAAGACTCCCTGTAACAGCAAAGAAAAAACACGCACGAGAGACCCAATGTCTGCAAGTTTCCGGCGATCGTCGACACCAATGTCTCGTTGCCTCGCGGACGGTTAGAGATTGCAACAGTGGCCGGGTCGGCATTGCTAGTGGTTTCAAGAATCTGTTGCAAATATGTTAGCGGAATATTCGTCAGAGCTTCCGTGACGGCGCACCTTGGCTACCAGCTCCGATATGTCGGCAGTAGGCGCAAGATCGAAGCGAAAGTTGCCATCCTTGGATCGTATCCTAATCAACTGTTCTCAAGTTAGATGCGGCATTCGCAGCAGTACTTGCATATCGTCTTACCATGGTCGAGAGTGCGATGGATGGTGGCGGTGTGCGCCAAGGAGCGATGTGCGTCTGCAGACTTACGCGTCGCGCGAAGACGCATACGCGCTACGTCACGCCTGGCTTACCTAATCTAGCAAGACGCGTCGTGGTCATGTGATCTCATTAGGACGCGCGCACGCGTCTCTGGCGCAATCCTCAGCGTGCATTGCGCACACCGGGCGGACCCTCCGTGACCACCGTCTCTGACGCCTACGGCGAAGCATACACGTTGCAGTAATTGAAATCAGAAGAACTATGTAGGAATAATGATGAGGTATGTCGCTATCGAAGGACGGGGTTGCAAATGAATGGACGGGAGTAGCTAGGGCGCGCATTCAAGACCCTTCAGCTTGTCTCCACCCATGGATCGCAGACACACGCCAGCACAAGATACGCAGGCGACCACCAGCTCCGCGGCGGAACGACGGCGGGTGCGGTCCATCAGTCAACCTGGTCCGTCGTACGCACACACCTCCGGGCCTAGTAGGCCAAGTGAGAACACCCCGTTGATGGGAGCAACGGCGGTACCCGACACACATTTGGCAGACCCGTTTGAGTTCGACTTCCTCTCCACATTCAATCCCTTCGCCGAGCAGCAGGCGACCTCAGCGCAGGGCTACGACGACGCCGCCTTCCTGAGAGCCCTACTCGCCTTCCAGCAACAATCCTCCTTTAACGCCGCATCCTCTCATTCCATGCCGACGCCCCCGCCCACAGTGCCGAACATGCCCAACGTCCCGAGCATGTCTAACATGCCCAACCTACCCAACATGCCCAACCTACCCAACATGCCCAACCTACCTAACATGCCCAACCTATCCAACATGCCAAACATGCCGGCACCTACCATGGGGCAGAACCCAACAAACGCATTCCTCGCCGCGCTCCCCTGGCTGCAATTGATGTACCAGATGCAGCAGAATCAGTACAGCCAGCCGATGCAACCGACGTCTCACCATGTACCGTTCATGCAGCAGCAACAACAAGCGGAATCCCAGCCGCAGCCGCACTCTCAGCCAGATCCACGCCGGACCTCACAACCCCAATCTCCATGGGACGCGACCCCGAATCCATTCTCTCCGTCGCAATCCAACCAAGCGGACGCGTCTCCCGCGTCTTCTTCAACGGGCGCGCCGTCCCCGCCACAGCAGGTGGAAGTACCGGAAGACCCGGTGGTGATTGCGGAGGACAAACGGAGACGAAATACGGCAGCTTCTGGTAAGGTTCACCTCGGTCCGTCAGTATTCCAAGCTAAGACGCACGCCGCACCCAAAGCGCGCTTCAGGATCAAGAAGAAGCAATGGTCGCTCAACCTTGAGCGCACCATCTCGGACCTGTCCAGTCGCGTGCAGGAGCTCGAGGTGGAGGCTGCCGAGTTGCGGCGGGAGAACGGGTGGCTGAAGGAGATTGTCATGCTGAAGAGCAAGCAGAACGCCCAGGCGGCAGCAGGCGGGGAAGTGGGGACCTCCGCGAGTGCGAGTAGTAGCCAGCTAGATCTAACAGACCGGTCCGCGGGCGAGGGCAGCGGGGGACACACTTTGTGAACGTTGCGCAGGGTGTGGGGCGAGAGGACAGTGCTCGCCATCTCTTCGTGCCGACGCTATATACTGTACGCTATCGAATTCCGAATTGCCTTCTTTCCGACTAGTCAATTCGGAATTCTCCATATACGGCAGGTCTCTCGTCGGCGGCAATTGTGGCGTCGAGGCGGCCAGCCACTGACCAGGGCGCGGACCTGCGCGGACTCACCCGGCGCTTGGCGTCGCTTCCTCAGCACGCCCACTTCGAGGTTCGAGCGACCATGTCTTTTGGACGACCTCCGAGCATCTCTGGCAGCTTTCAAGCAACACCACCTGTAATGCATCGTTGTACACCATCTAACACGTTTGTCTGACCTGTTTGAAGGACAGAGGGTCGTTCCCACTCGACCATTATGGTGAGAGCCTCCTGTCCCGCGATGCCTACGGACCTGACGAACAGCATTCAGGTGAATGTAAGGATTACATGACGCAATATCTTGACTGTCTGCGCAAAAGCGCCAGCAATTCGTCGCCATGTCGTCACCTCAATCGTGACTACCTGGACTGTCGGATGAATCAGTGCGTCGTCCTTCCTTTCTGTAATCCGCTGTGTCTGACTGGCTGCAGTGGGTTGATGGACAAGGACGAGTGGAAGAACTTAGGACTGAGTAACGTAGACTCAAAAGCCTCGACAACCAAGAATGATCCTCACGATGCCAGTAAGGCATCGTCGTCCTAGCCGCTTCCTATTGGGCCTCGTCATGTCTAGGCAAGGATGCAGCCTCGGCACATGCTTAGCCCCACGAGTCTTCTGGGTTATACTCCTCCCTTACGCGGAACATCTCCATGTGCACTCAGGGCGATCTCGGTGTCATACATCCCGTATTGCCAAACGAGGTGAAGACTGAGCCTGATACAGCATTTGGGAACTTGACATCCCGATTTCCGTGTGAAAGGGAGCATCTCAGCGTCTGCAGTCCGTTGTGTGTATCTCGGCATCTAGTCCATTTCACTATCGCAAGACTTAACTCGTTGCTGCGTCGTCACACGAGCCATGGCTACCTGCAATGGTGCATGAAATGGTCCGTCGTTCTTTTCGTTTAAGACTGACTGGCCGTGACTGACTACGGCCAGGTTGGGTGACGTATTGCCAAACTCTGTATAGATGAGGCCTATACTACATCGCCACCGTCGCTCCAAAGCGAAGCCATACAATTGCTTCCTCTCTGGATCCATGCAAGGACATATCACAAGCATATGCAACGGCGTAACACAATTGCGTTACTCCCTCGTGAACATGATAGCCACGACGACCACCAAGCATGGTCTTTACATCACTCCTGATGTGCAACGAATGAAACTTCAAGGTTGTGCCCGGCGCAGCGTCTGGGGTATCGACCGCTAGAATGCTACGTGGATCGGGATGCGTCTACCTAGGATCCGTGCTTCCAGAAGATGTCCATAAGAGCCTCCGAGGGCCTGCACCTCGGCCTCAAACCTCGTGTTGCGACGACATGACTATTGACGATCCTTGACTTCCGGGTCCAACAGGTTCATCATGTTCAATCAAACTTAATACTACTGACCTCTGTAGATGCAATACCCCACTACGTTTGCGAGAGCGTTCCCGTTTTTGTCTTGAATCATGCCGAACTGGTACGGCAGGGGGCAGTTGCCGATGTGGTAGGTGTAATGGTAAACCGCGGCTTCTCACAGGCCTCTCCCAGCTTATCGCGAACTTCCGGTGATAATGATAACCTTAGGCTTCATTTACCTCCGAGCGGGCTCGGGTTCTGCGCAGACGTCAGCGGCAGCGTCTCACGTCACCAGCATCCAGTGCAAGAACAGGGCTATATCCGTCGCGCGGTACAACTCTGGATGGGTCCCGCGCTGGCGGGAACTTTCCGGAGCTGACAGAGTTGCTTCACAGGAAGCACGTTCGAGCTGCTGATTGACCGTGGCCCAAGCCCATCGTCTCTGGTCCGCCGGCTGGACAACTCGTTTCCCTGTTTGGCACGTCGCCTGCCTTTCTCGGCGCATCCGCGTCCCGGATCGGAGATGCGACGATGAACGTTCGTGACGTACACACGCACGCTCCATTCCCCGGTAGCGTCCGCTCGTCGAACGTGTTCACGTTCAACGTTGGTCTGTGTCCGAACGCCGTATGCCGAGACGCGTTACTTGATATCGAGGATGTCCGACAACATCCCCCCTAGAGTCACCGTCTCTCCCCACTACCCTCCACTACCGCAGCCATGCTTGCCCCCGTCTCTGTGCTGGCGAATTTTGCGAGTCAGATCCTATCTATTCTCGCCTCACCCGCCCCCGTGCAGCAGCCACTCGCTGCCCCGGCACTGCAGGCCATCGCCGGTTCTATGATGTACAAGTGCGTGATAGTCATCGTGATTGCGGGGGGTTTTACGTATTGAATACGCGACCTCGTCTTGTAGGCGCACCGCGGCGGAAGAGGCAACACGGTCGAGAACAGTCTTCCGAGCTTCGCTTGGTAGGTCACGGAGTCGGGGACACGCGAGGGTCATGATCGCTGACAGTTCTATGAACAGGGGTCTCATCGATGGTGCTGCCACCCTCGAGCTAGACAACGGTATCACCAAAGAGGCCATGTCGTGGTCTGGCACGACGAGAACATTGTCCCGGAGAAGTGCGTTGACACTGTGCCTGCCGTACGTCGCCCAGCTACTTGTCGCTACGGTAGTCTGAATCGTCATCCAGTTCCCGAATGACCCCGACTTCCCATACGTCGGGAAGTACATCGCGAACCTCACGCTCGCGCAGCTCAAGACGCTCGACTGTGGCTCGAAGCGGCAGGACGGCTATCGTAAGGGTCTTGCCCCCCGCATAATTGCTTGACGCGAACCTCCATGGCTCGGACAGCAATGCAATTGACGTACCCGGGTACACGCATATCGACGATGCAGGAGGTGTTCGACTTTGTCGACTGCGCGGATCCGGAGCACAAGATCTTGTGGAACATCGAGTCGAAGATCAATCCGCAGTACCCTAACCAGACGTTAGGCGTGGAGGATTCGTGAAGAGGCAGCATGCGCTGTTCTCTGCGAGCGCGTACGCGTCTCAAATTACCGTAAGTATCTCACGCCGTCTCCGCGGCACTATCTGACACCTGGGCACATCCAGTACCAGAGCTTCGACTGGAGGACACTGATTGCCATGAAGGTCAGGATACCTTCAGTGTACGTACTTATGAACCCTCGCTGACAATGCCTTCAGGCGCTGGATCCCGAGATTCCAACCTCAGCGCTCATTGACGAGTACGTCATATCTGCGTATCAATGAACTTCGCTCACGATGGATTCACGCGCTACAGCGACACTGCGTGGATGCCGGACAACAGCACGACCCCGTGGCTAGCTGGCTTGAGACTCGATTCTTTCCCCGGTCCCACCATCGGACATCGGGTTGCCCAGGCCGCTCGCTCGATAGACGCGGATATACTGTCGCCGTCGGCGAGGTCTTTCTTCAGCCCCGCATTGGATCCGGCGATGGAGGACTACGCAACCTTCACCACGAAGGAGATGGTCGACGAAGCGCACAAGCTCGATATCAGTGTGAAAGTATGGACGGTACGTGTGCACTACAGTTCGTGTGACAGTTTGCTCATCCGTAAAGTAGGTGAACCGCTTGAACATCGTCGAGCAGATGCTTGCCTGGAAGGTCGATGGTATTATCACAGACTGTACGTGTGTATCGACCTTGGCCCTGCGACTCTCGCCAACTGACTATCATTTTCAGATCCCGACGTCGTTCGACGTTTGACTAAGCAGTACGGATACCCGTCTGCACCCACATATCCTAAGCACCGGTATTGTCGTGTTTGAAGGAGCATCTGGCGAGGCAGCGCAGCACGTATAGACCATCACGTAGACATGACGAGCTAGCATATCTCAATAGACTATTACTTGTACCACATACGATATACTCATGCAATAATTGGATCTCACGGTACAGAAATGTCGGCGAACCATTCGTACTGTCGCCTTGACTCGGAAATGTACGCGTTCCTACTGGCTGGTAGCCGCTCAAAAGCCGCAAGCGCCTGCGTCGGGGAAGATCGGGAATGGCATACCCGGGGTTACGAGCGCCTGTACAAACTCCCTCTGTTTCCTCGTCGTCACCGCCAGCAGCGTCGAGCATCCGCTCTGTCTTCGCCATGGCCGCTATCCAGCTCGCCAAAAAGGCTGTAAATTTGCCCCCCACTTGTCGCACCCTCGCGTCTGGCGTGCCGGCCGCGTCCTACCTTAACCTCAATGTCCGCGAGCCTGCCGGTCACGGACATGCGCACGGGCACGGCGCTGCTGGCCCTCGCTCGGATGTCCCTCCTAAGTGGGCGGGCGGTGTATCCACTAGCTCGTCTGCCGGGTTGGTCTCGAAGAGCTTTGCGAACGGTATGTGTCAATTTGCAGGCCGGTAACCTCCGTACTGACCATTTTACTTGCATTGCAGTCCCCAGCACAGGTGCTTTCCAGAGGCGCCTGATGCACTCGACCGTGCCCGCCAAGGTCGAGCCGCAGGTACCCGACTTCTCGCACTATGAGGCGAAGTCGGACTCGACGAACCGCGGTGTCGCGTACATGATGATCGGCGGCATGGGCCTGCTCTCCGCGTCCGTCGCAAAGTCGACCGTGACGGAGTTCCTCGCGACGATGGCCGCGTCCGCGGACGTCCTCGCGATGGCGAAGGTCGAGATTGATCTGGCGACCATCCCCGAGGGCAAGAACGTCATCATCAAGTGGCGCGGCAAGCCCGTCTTCATCCGCCATCGCACGTCGGACGAGGTCCAGGAGGCGCGCGCGACCGACTGGAAGTCGCTCCGTGACCCCCAGAGCGACGAGGCCAGGACGAAGAAGCCGGAGTGGCTGATCATGGTGGGTGTCTGCACGCACCTGGGTGTGTCCCCATTGGCGAGGCTGGTGACTTCGGTGGATGGTGCGTGCGCTGGTGGTACCGGTCACTCGCTCTGCTCATGACTACCCCTGTACACAGGTTCTGCCCGTGCCACGGTTCTCATTACGACATCTGTGAGTCTGGACTCCTGGGTTCTTTAGCCGTTGTTGCTGATCTGTCCCGTGTAGCTGGCCGTGTACGCAAGGGCCCTGCTCCCGTGAGCATAAAGTTCTTTTCATCATCCTTGTGACGCCCTCTGACTTCTTTTGCAGACCAACCTCGAGGTGCCCGTTTACGACTTCGACGAGACGAGCAACCTGCTTGTAGTTGGTTGATAGATGTTGCGGTCCGTAGAATGCAGCCTAAAGCATATAATGGGATGTCTTATCATTGTGACGATGAACTTTCGGCACGTTCATACGGACGGTACACGAGTGATGTTCAAGGCTCAGCTGCGTTTTTTGTGCTGAGTTCATTTGTGAATGCCTGTTTCTTCGGGATGCGCTCGCAATTGACATCATGAAGAAGTGCGTTCTTGCTTCTGCGCTTCATTTTACGGAATTTCTTTAGTCTGATGCCGAGGCGGGTCTGGTCTGTAGGTAGGGTCATGTTCTGTAGTTCCGGGACGTCCTCACCCTGGTTCTTGGACTTGGATCGACGTCATGCAAAGCACAGGACCTCAGTTGCGATGAAAGCCTCCAGCTTCTCTGTCATGTTAGCCCTCACCCTGTTCTGCTATCCCGGTCCTATTTCTCCTATGTCCACAGTTCTGTGACTTACAAGTCGGAGTAGTCTCCATCACTGGGTCATGGCACCCCACGAGAGACGGAGGGCCGACTTCCGAGTTTTCACACTTGACCCTTCTCAACCCACTGCCGATCAGCATCACGTACGTACCAAGGCCTTCGGGATTGTCGAGTTTTCCAGGAGTGTCTACGTTGGTCAATGCTCATTGGACGTTGACGCAGTTATAGCGGCATGCCATTCAGTCGGAGGCTTTGCAAAGATGAGCCGTCCATGCGGGCGTGTATTTGCAGACGCTACCCCGAGTGGAGAGGCTCTCGTGGAACTCCTCGGTGATGAACATGATAGGCACTGGTGAGCCGCAGGGCGTTCGGAGCGATGGACTGGCTCTGCGATGGATGGAGCCTCATCATCGATGTTGTCCTCGGAACGCTGCCTCGAAATAGACTATGCAGGTGCGTGACTACAGCGGGCTCTGGCATCCTCAATAAATTTTTTTTTTCCTCCATTTTGTGCGGGAGTAGGTAGAGGCGGCGGGCGGGAGGAGCGTCGGGGCCCAGTGCGGTGGCTGTGGCGGGCTGCGGCGCGGCGCGGGAGTTCCCGATCTGAGCGACGGATCGTGATCGAGCAGTGCATGTGTTATCTTATCGGCGTCACAGCGTGTTACAAACCTAAATTGGCGGGCTGTGATTGGCTGGCCGTGACTCGATGTGGCGAGGCGTCTGTCGAAGCCGGGCCGCGCCTCGAGCGTGTGCCGCCCGTGTCTGCGATAAGCTGCTCCGGCTCGGGGCAGAGGTGGACGTTCGTATCATCGTCCGTCCCCTGCTTTCCTCCTCCTCCCATTCCGGTCTATGGCTCCCAAGCAGCCCTGCGCAACATACGAGTACATCGTCACCCCCGCTGGCCCCAAGATCGTCCCCGTCGCCGATGCACATTCCAAGGACGAGGAGTCTCCCGCGGACTACAACGCTGGCGGATACTCCCGGTTAAGGTTGGCGATACGTTCAAGGACAGCCGATATATCGTGTTGAGGAAGCTTGGGTGCGTTCCCGAGCCATTCTTGGTGAAATTGTGCCATGGACGCGCTGACACTATGATCGCACGATCAGATGGGGACATTTCTCGACGGTCTGGCTCGTGAAGGACACAGTGTGAGTCTCTTCACAACTTCTCATTTCACGCCACCGCTCCTCCATCGTGCGTTCTTTTGCCTCTGTCTGGCTTGTGTGGGTATTGCTCATACTATCGCTGCGTCCTGCTTGTGCTACTCGTCCCCGGGGATCACGCGAGCGTTCATAGTTGCCTCAAAACGCCTGGCACACTGCTGGAGGCTTGTGTCGTGTCACCAGCATGATTGCCTTCAGTCCTATTATTATTCTCGTTTGCCTCCCCGCCTGCTGTATTTCTTGCTCAACATTACCGATGAGCGTCATAAGCTCCCGATCCACCCCGCTGATCTCCGGGTATGACAACGATGCATGTTTGTCTGCCATTGCAGATGCAAGCCGTTAGACTCCTCGGAACCAGTGGCCATCCAGCCATTGGTAGACGACGGCGGTCCAACGATTGCATTGGACTTTGGTAGGGCAGCCAGAGCTCAGGCTCTGTCTGGTAGCATCCGTCTTACTATATGCGCTTCGTACTATCGTATGTTACCAATCCTGTATATGCCATAGCAAGAGCGACGAGCAGGACAGCAGGTTTGAACCTCACATTCTCTGGCGACCGTCATAGTTCCGGATGCTGCATGGCGGTTAGTTCGTCAGATTCGATCCGATCAGCTTCTCAATCGAGGCTCTGGTCGCGGTCTACTAGTCGTCTGACTCTATGTTGTCCGTGATCGGTGATTGCCAGAGGGGTAGCACGGTCGACTTTGCGGTCGTTGATAGGCAGGTGGCAGGTGATTGAAGGGCCTCCTGTACCAATCACGTCGTAGGGATTATAAGACCGGATGGCTTCTCGGACGCAAAGGCAATCTGCATGCATTTTCACAGACACCGCAGCTATGTCTCACGATGTTGTTGCGAAATATATGCGGTGCTGTCGTTCATTGGGTGGTGGCGTCTTCGCACGTACAGCGGCACGCTGATGTTGTCATAATACTCGTCCGTGACCGATCGCTGACGCAGGCCCTCTTCACAGTGCCAAACGCCACTCTGCTCTCAAGGTAGTCAAATCTGCGGGGCGCTACGCTGAGACAGCCCGCGACGAAATTAAGCTTCTCAACCAAGTGCGGGACGAGACTCCCGACCATCCTGGGCGGGAATTTGTAGTCTCGTTTTTTGATTCGTTTCAACAACCTGGTCCCGAGGGCGTGCATGTATGCATCGTCTTCGAACCACTGGGCGAGAACCTACTTGCGCTCATCGAACGCCACAAGAAGACTGGCGTGTCACCTGCGCTTGTGAAAGTCATCGCGAAGCAGATATTACTAGGCTTGGAGTACCTGCACGATGAATGTGACCTCGTGCATACCGATATCAAGCCAGAGAACATCAGTGCGTAGACATGAGCAACATGGCGTGACCTCGCACATTGCTCACCTGTTATTGCGAATCCAGTGATTTCCATTCCGGACGTCGAAGCGCATATCCAAGCGGAGTTATCGACCTCACCTTCGCCAACATCCCGCAAGGTGGGCGTGCCAACGAAGCAGCTCAACCGGACTGGCGTCACAATCCCACGGCAAGCGGGGCGCGACCGTCATGTGCAGATATTCGACTCGCAGCCGCTCATGAGCCCCACGTCGGCTAGCTCGAGTCGAAGCTTACCGAAGGGTCTGCAGAAGCTGTCGAGATTGGCCAGCATGCAGAGTGTCCAAAGCTTGCTGGACAAGAAGGGTAAGGGCAAGCAGGACTCAGGCGAGTCGACGCTGTCGACGCCAGAGTTGTCGGACGGCTCGACTGGGAGCGCGGACTCCATTCCGCTGCCGTCGACGCTGTCGACATCATTTGGCCATGACCCATTACCACCGATTGTGAGCGTGGTCACGAGCGAGGTCAACAGGCTGTCGATCGTGACACGTTCGTATAATGGCTGCCTATTCGCGGATGTGTGTCAGGACTCGCCTGTAGAGCAGAAGGTCGAGCCAGTGGTGCCAAACACGCAGCCGCAGTCGATCAAACTTTCGACAGGACCGTCACTCCTGTCCCAGACCGCCCCTCATAACCTCACCATCAACACCCGTCCCGCGTCACCGCCTCGCCCCTCCTCTCCTACTCATGAACCGTCCTCGCCACATGCCTCCTCCTCCCACTCAAGTCACGGCCCGCCCTCACCGCCACCACCTTCACCTCTTCCTCCTCCAATATCCATCAAGATCGCCGATCTAGGCAATGCGACACCTAGCCACAGACATTATACGGAAGACATCCAAACTCGCCAGTACCGCTCGCCAGAGGTGATATTGGGACGCACCGACTGGAACCACACGGCCGACGTCTGGAGCGCGGCATGCGTTATCTTCGAGTTGCTCACCGCAGAGTACCTCTTCGACCCGCAGGCACAGGGAGGCGTCTTTGGCAAAGATGACGACCATATGGCGCAAATCATCGAGCTGCTGGGTGACTTCAGTTCGGAGGTGAAGTTCGGCGGGAGGTTCAGTCGCGAGCTTTTCGATAGCACTGGTGAGTGTCTATTTAAATTCGCAGGGAGCTCTCCGGATTTGGCTGTATGGGCGCCGCTGCTGTGCGCCTTTTCGGCGACCGGGCCTGTTATGCCTTGCCGCTCTCCATTCCACGATCCACGGTCGTGGTCTCTTGTGTGTTTCGACCGCGAGCTAACTTGCTACACGTATGATAGGCGCGCTGCGGTACATCCGGAGCTTGAAGCCCTGGCCTCTCAAACGCGTCATGATAGAGAAGTACCTGTGGAACGACGAGGACACCGATGCGCTCCGCGAGTTCCTCGAGCCCATGCTTGTCGTCGACTACCGCAAACGGAAACATGCGCGGGATATGAAGAACCACAAGTGGCTCGAGGTCGACGCAGCGAGCTCGGAGCTGCAGGATTGGTGATTGCGATCACCGCTAGCACCGCCGCCCCGCCACACGGCGCGTTCTGTGCACGCACTTCCGCCGCGCGGACTGCGGGATGCGTGAAACATCCGCACCAACCACTATCTTAGGTATGACTGATGGTAAATTATCTTGACTGTCGTGGACCGGTGCCGTCGCCGGCCCTCATTAATCACTCGTCGTACAATCTCTCTTTGCTGTGCATAACATCGCTTTTCTCTTTGCGTTACTTTAGTTCACTTCCCTCATGCGACTCCCCCATGCGACACCTCGCCCCGTCCCACATCCATTCCATAGACTCTAGACATGTCTCTTGGATTCGTTTCATGCAGCAATCCCGCTACTGTAGTCGCATACCCCGTTTCGCCTCTTCCACGATTTCTTCAGGGCTTGTGGTAGTAGGGTGCATAGGTTATTCGATTATATTGTGCCCCTGTAATTCTTTGTAGCTATTACGTTCGTAGACCTCATGCCAACTTCATTCATCTCGCTCTCTTCCCGAACGGTTCCGCCGACAGGACTGCAGGCATAGTAATGTGTCATTTCTGAGCTCGGTTTGGCTTGAGGGAGCGCCGGGAGAGGCCGGAAAGCGCCGAGCGGGTGGCGAAAAGGTGGTGGCAGATTTTACTTCGCAAGACGGGCGCTATACGCTTGCTCTCGTCATCTCATGGCGGCCTCCCCCGAGCTGAAAGCGCACCCGCGCCGGCGCAAGACAAACACAGCGGCCCAGACGAGCAGGCACGCGATGTCCAATGGCCTCTCCCAGCGACGAGCCTGCCAATGGCGCGCACCCTCCTGCTGACGACCGTGCTCCTGCACAGCCGCAGACGGCGCAGACTATCCACCTACGCCCCGCCGCGACGGGGCGGACACCGATTCCAACAACCGTGAATCTGCCGACCGTGGCGAGAAACAGGTCAAGGTGCTTATCTGGTCTACTATCCGTCCCTTTGTCCTTGTGCGCCGCGCTGCCAGGTGTTTGCGACCCCTATGCGTCTTGCTGCGGTGAGCTGCTTACAGCGAGGCCTCCTGTCTTGAAGCGCTTCGGGAACTTTGTTGGCTTTGTTACTCCGCCGAGCGACTATCATGTGGCGGGTTACCTTCCTGTTGCTTTGACAAGCGTATCGCCCGCTGTGCTCCGGTCTGGCTTTTATACTCATGGTCTCATTCTTGCCGACTGACACCACGACCTTTCACACTGCCACTATGTCTGCGATGTCTGATTCTGGTATCGTTAACTCCTGCATCCCACAGCCTAACAAGGTCTACATCGGCGGTCTGCCCGAACATACGCGTAAGGAAGACCTGGAGAGCTGCTTTGGAAAGATTGGTAACATTGTGAACATTGAGCTAAAGTGAGTTGCTCTGCATTACTTTCGGTTGTTCATTCTCACGCGTGATTCTTCCTCGCCGATAGAGTTGGTTATGGCTTCGTGGTGCGTACATATTTGTCAGATCCGGGGTAGTCAAGGCGTTAACTGAAGCTCATGAAGGAATTTGACAACCGCGAGGCTGCAGAAGAGAGCGTAGCGAAGTATCATGAAGGTTATTTCATGGGCAACAAGATCCGCGTCGAGTTATCAAGAGGCGGCGGCCGGACAGCGAAGTACAGCAACGATCCCGGCGCTTGCTTCAAATGCGGACAGTTGGGACACTGGGCCAGGTACTATTTCACGTCTTAGCATTCTGGCATTGCTGACTATGAACACCTACACCAGAGAATGTCCGAACGTACCACTACCGTGAGTCAAACACCACTTCATCAAATCGCTGCGTGTTGAAACAATTATCTACAGGGGACGGCGACCTCTGGACGCGCCTTTAATTGACCGCATCCAACCACCCCGGGACTACCTGCCACCTCCCCGTGACTACCCGCCCTACAGGGATGACTATCGTTACCCGCCCCGGGATGCTCGCTATGGCTATGACTATCCTCCGCCACCTATTCCAGGGCGTGACTATAGACGACCACCCTCACCACCTCCTCGGGACATCCGTGACTACCCTCCGGCTCCTGTGCGCTCGACCCGCGACTACGATGACTACAGGTCGAGAGGGCCGCCTCCTCTGCCGTCTCTGCCACCTCCGCCCCCTCGCTATGATTCTCGGCCTAGCTACTATCCGCCTGAGGGTGATGTTCCTCCTGGCTACCCTCCTCGTGGCTACCCTCCGCCGCCTCCTCGTGATTACTATGACCGCTACGATCGGAGAGCTCCACCACCTGCTGACCGGTACGCCTACGCATCTGGTGCTCCGCCGCCTGCTGCGAGACCCAGAACGCCGCCTGGTGCGCCGCCGCCTCGCTCTCGAGATGAGTATGAACGGCCTCCTCGGTATGTTGTCTAGTCTGCTTTACTGGCTCTGTGTTAATCATGTTTTCTGCAGGGAGTACTCGGCGCCTGTTCCGGAGACACGCGCTAGGCCTGCATCACCACCGCCGGCATCCTCCCGCTACGCAGAGTATCCTCCTCGAGGTGCTAGCCCACCTAGGTTTCGGTAAGTGTCCAGGCGATGTGGGGTGATATGTGTTGACATGGTTTCCCCTTTCATCAGCCGTCGTTCTCAGAGCCCTCCCCCACGGTCGACCTCTGGTGCCTATGACTCTGCCGCCTATCGAGGGAGCTCGGGTGCAGCATACAATGGGGGCTCTTCTGCGGCTTATGGAGGCAACGGTTACGCGAATGGCGCTGCTTCTAGGGGCTCTGATAGAGACTATCCTCCGCGCAGTTCTCGGGACGAGGCCTATAGGCGGCCGTAGGACCGACTCAGCTTCACATAAAATCACTATGCGATGTCCCGGAGGGCCTGGTCTTGCGTGGCTTTCTTGCGCTCTTGACGCCCTCTGCGCGGTCTTCGTCCCGTGGCCCCTACTCGTGCTGTCGATGTCCCCAAGATCTACCTTCTCTTGAATCGAGCCTTGCCGTTACTAGCGAGCTCTGCGACCGTGCTCCCTCATATTCTCATCCACGATTTTGTACTGCGCCTGCTAGCTTAGCTGACCCGGGCCGTCTTGCGTATGTGTGCTCGTCTCTGGTGACGATATGCGGTAATGCGAATATGCGAAATTCTCGTGTGTACATAACTTTTTTGTGGCTCTGGCTGCCGGTGCACCGGTGCGATCGCCTCGTCATGCCAAGTGGCTCCAAGCCTCGTGCGGTTCGCGCGGTCTTGGACTGAGGTACGTACTGACATACTCAAGTGTCCACCGTTGCCGCTAGCACTCAGCAGGATCGAAGAGCGGTGACGCTGAGGTGATGATGAGTGTGGTACGGGTCACAGATCAGACGCGTAGAGCTTTGTCGCTCGAACTTGAACCTTTCTGGGGTACCGCTGCTCGCGCTAATGGGTGCACGAAGGCACAAATACGATCTGTATGCCCATTCCTCGTGCGGGCCATGCTGGATCCATGCGACTGGGAAGTGAGATACAGTACATCAGTAGCAGGGCTAAGAAGCAGTGGCGACGCTGATCGCATGATTGTGCGGATTCGGAGTATGGTGAGCCTGGACACTCCATGTGTATGGACGTTCTCATTCTGGCCTTGTTTGGTGGGCTGCTCGCTGTTGGTAGCGCAACCACAATACAGTACCTGGCTTTATTTCCGTGGTCACGAGAGGGTCGAAGGATAGCGAGATTCGCCCGGGATAGCTTAGGTAGTAAGGTACAGCGCTTCGTGTGCGGATTGCGCGGATCATGCAGCTTCGGACAATGTTATTAATGTGTGCTCACGGGTACAGCGCTGCGGTCGCTCCGTCGACGAGCGTCGTACGTAGGCCCAAACGCGCTGCCAGTGTGACCATGAGGTAAGCCAAGCAAGGGGCTGCGGATGCTCGCAATCAGGCCCCCGCGTTGAGCCGCACGTTTTGGGAAGCGTCGGTTCCGCGACGCAGGATCCCGAAGCGTAATAATGAATTTGAGCTTGGGAAGCGGGAGATGGATCTGGGGCACAGAGTGCCATACTTATCGATGTGTATGACGGGATCACGGTCCATGCCGCACGGGTCTTGTCCGTTGGCCCGTGCGCCCGGGTTTCGCAGGGTGCGGCTGGAACTGTTAAGGTTGCGCTCTCGTGGGTGCTGGATCGTGCTTGCTAGGCAGCCTGGAGCTGTGGCACTGGAAAGTTTGTTGCGAGACGAGCGGCTGACATGACTCCAGGCATATGCAATTCAGATGGAAGCTGCATGTTGCCGGGAATGTGAATGGGGAAGCACGAGGATCCGCCCTTGTCAAGGCTGCGCCGGAGCGCGATTATCCCGACATGCGCGGATGGATTGTGTATTGCTGCAAGTGAAAGCCACAAACTCACAGTTCGAAGTTTGGTTCAAAGGACAGATGGTCCGAGAACGTCTCTAGGCTCAAATCAACGCGTGGCAGAAGGTCGAGCGCGGATTGAGCGCGGAGCAATAATAGACTCCTGCCATGCAGAGACGAACAGCGTGGGCGGGTGAGGTAAAGTGAGTTCCGAATGTCGGCAGTGTGTCAGCACAGCGGCTGTGGTTGCCAATTTTGCTGACATGTACTGGACGTTGGGAGGGCGGTCCAGGACCGCCACACGACCGACGGACACAGACCGACCTCTGCACGTTCGTGCGCTGGCGATAAGGTATCCTAGACCTATTGCAGCATAGCGCGATCTTGTCCACCGGTACCGCGCTGTGGCGGACTCCAGGTGTCGCGCGTCGACGATCGGACTGAGCAAGGCACAGGCAGAATTCGAATGCGACCGCCGGACATGGAGTGTGGATTTGTCTGGGTGCGGAGAGTGGATGAGGATGGCCCTGGGATGACAGAAAGGGGAGAAACGGTGCGGGCGGGGTGCGCCACTGGGGGCCGTGATTGGCGCGGCGGGCAGATGCGAGATCGCGACATAGCCGATCCCATCTGTGCCCCTCCTGTGGCGGACGGCGACAAGCGAGGATGCGTAACACCAGCGGCCTCTCCCTCCCCGTTATAATCCTCTCCGTCCCCCCATCTTCCCCGCGCTGGCGCGCCCTCCCCCTCCCCGCTCCTCGCGATGCCCTCCATAAACGCCGCCAGCGAGCGCATTACAAGAAACTTCATCGGTGCAGTCGAGGACGAGTGGCGGCTGTACAGGTGTGGCCCTTGCTATCTACACTCGGACCGCACTCACGCTGCCCCCGCCCGTTCTCAGCGATAACTCGACAGACTACACCATCGGCGCACCCATAGGCTTCGGTGCTTCGTCTACCGTCTACACCGCCCAGTTCCATCCACCAGATGCGCCAAATCCCATCCCTTGCGCGCTCAAGGTCCTCGACCTCGACCGCCTGCCGCCCTCCGCCCTCCGTCTGCTCCAGCGCGAGACACAGCTCATGTCCTTATCAAAACACCCAAACGTGCTGCGCGTGCGAGGGACGTGGATGGATGGCCACAAGCTCTACATCTCCATGCGACTCATGAATGCCGGCAGTGCCGTGGACGTAATGCGATATGCCTGGCCGGGCGGCATGGAGGAAGAAGTCGTAAAGTGCATCCTCAAGCAGGCCTTGGAAGGTCTCAAGTGAGTACCGCTCTGCACAGAACGCCGGGTCGCTTACTGATACCATGGCTGTGCCAAGCTACCTGCACACCAATGGGCTCATGCACCGAGATATCAAGCCGGCCAACCTCCTGATTGATGATGACGGCACCGTGCTGCTTGGTGACCTCGGTGTTGCCGCCTTCCTGTGGGACGCAGAGGACACGCCCCCCGCGCCCGCGTTCCCGGCCGTCCAGATCCACAAACGCGCACCACCCTCGCCGCGTCTCGCCCATTTGCACCATCCGCACCCTCATGGCCACGTACATCACCATCACCATCACCCACACCACTACTTACACACCATCCATCCGACCCCGCCCCGACTGACAAAGCGCAAGTCGTTTGTCGGCACGCCGTGCTACATGGCCCCGGAGGTCATCAACGGCAAGGCGTACGACGCCTCCGCGGACATCTGGTCTTTCGGCATCACGGCGCTTGCACTCACCCAAGGCCGCGCGCCGCGCTCGCTCGTCTCCACACAGACCGCGCTTCTCCAGACTGTCCGTGATGCTGCGCCACAGCTCGACCGCACCGACGGCGTTCACACCTACTCGCGCGCGCTCCAGGAGGTCGTTGCGCGCTGTTTGGAGAAGGACCCGAGCAAGCGCGCGACCGCTGCCGAGCTCCTAGCAATGCCCATATTCAAGAGCGCGAAGAAGAAGAGCTTTCTCGTCGGCGCGATCCTGCAGGGTCTGCCCCCGCTCACGAGCCGTATGGAGCGCCGGCGCCAGCCGTCGGACATGACCCGCGCGACGATGGACAGCTGGGACTTTGACGCGAGCATCACGAGCCCGCCGCCGCTCACGAGCCCTAGCGTGAGCCTGTATGGGCGGCGCAGGTCCGTGCCCCCCGTGGACCCTGTCGCGCTCGATACCGATGAGGAGGGCGGGTACGATGCGGACGACAACGCGGAGGTGCTCAGCCCGAAGGAGCGTAACGACGAGCGGCGGACGAGCGCAGAGCTGTACGCGATGCGCGAGCGCGGCCGCCCGGGGCGCCCGCGCTCACTGCGCTCCCAGTCCTGGGCGGACGCCGACATTCACGGTGCCACGCACGGCACGCACCCGGCGCCCATCGTGGAGGTCGAGATCCCCGCCGCGACGTCGTCGTCCCCGTCGCCACCATCATCCGACTCGGAGTCAGAGTCGGAGCAGGAGCCGCTGAAGGCGACGCTGACGATCCCCACGCCGGCCCTGTCGTCCTCCCCGTCCGGCTCGTCCTACACCTCCGAGACGAGCGACTCCGCCGCGACGGGCCGCCAGCGCCCGACGCTCGCGCCCGTCGTCACCAACAAGCGGCAGAGCTCACCCGCGCCTGCGTCGGCCGGGCTCTGGCGGCGGCTCACGGCGCGCAAGGAGAGGGATGCGCCGGAGAAGACACCGCGCCGCGGGTCGTTTGGCGCGAGCGGGAGTGGGAGCGAGAAGGACAGCCCGACGGGTGTGGCCCTCGTGCGCCGCAAGACGATGGCGATCCTCGGTCGTTCGGTGAGCGGCCCAGGGCAGCCTGCACCTGTGGGTGCGGGCGATGGTGGTGGTACTGGTGAGTGGAGATGTGCATGGGGACCGGGCGTGGGCTGACTGTCGTTGGTGATAGTTAAAGATTTGGCCACGAAGCAGGGGGGCAGATAGCCTTGGGCTGTTGGGCTGCGCGGCGGCTATGCGGCCTCCCGCTGTCCCACCCCCCACCGGGGGATCTCACGCCCATGTTTGTGTGTCGCTGTCGAATTCGTTCTACTTAGCAGGTATAATCGGACTCTCTGCGCGAGCCGCTGTACATCGTCCTGCTCTTGCTCTTGCTCTTGTCCGTCGTGCATCTCTTGACCTCACACGTTCCTACCCCAACATACCTACCCTTGCACTAACTTATTGTGTCGTAGCAGTGTACTTAGTAGGAGCCTCATACTGTCGCTGGCGCTCGCGGTTCGCGGATGTCTCGGCGGCGTGTACTATTCGTCGTGTAATCAGTGCTCAATCTGTACAGCTGGTGTGTCTTGGCTCTGCTCGAAGCCGGATTCGGATGCGTGTGCTACTGTACTCGTCGGACAACCCCACTCCCCGGCGGTGGTATTCAAATCCTACACGGTGGGCGGCCACTTTGACCTGAGTGACGCGGTGTGTGACCTGATTGAAGCCCACATCTGGCTGTGTCTAACACAATTAACGGTGATCTCGAGGTACCAGTGGAAGTGTAGGGGGTAAGGTGGCAATCGGCCTGAGGGAGCTAAGTACTAAATGCTATCCTACCCGCAGCTACGGCTAAGGGCTATGCCTGGCGACAAAGACAGACATTAGAAGTAGGGGAGTATAAGTTGTACTACTACGGAGTCCTTTAATTAGTCGGTTCCCCCGATTGCATCGGGGTGGCTTCATGATGAGTCGGAAGCCTGTAGCGATGACGTATTGTTTGGTTCCGGGGCTCTTGCCAAACAATGTGTTCTTGAATAGGAAATTGGCTCAGACCTGGATCCAAATCTGAGCACGTCCGATATGGCACGCCCCGCATCTCTAGCCTCGTTCTGCTGTAGCCTGAAAGGCTGCGCCCCGGCTGTTATAGTAAACATCTTGGAAAATGGGATCCGATTGCACCGATAGCTGTGGTTTGACTGTGGCGCTTCTCCACGCGAGCTCGCGGCTTTACATACTTGATTAATTTCGAACATGGCTGGCGGCCCGGGCCTCACAGTGGTGTCGACAACTCAGGTGTCGACTTCAAGCTTGAGCTGAAGCTCAGTAACGCCTTCTCCTCCTATTCCTTGCACTTGCCCGGGTCCGAGTCCGCCTACTTGGCACTACGGCGATGCCTCAGGTGGCACAGCTTTTACAACATTCCGCCGCTACATGCGCGGATGGCCTTCCCGGACACCATTCCTTCAATTGAATTTCACCGCGTTCAGAACCGTTAGATAGCGCAAACATCGCCTCATCTCAACACGAGTTTACTGATCTCAAGATACCGCGGGTTGCCAAGCCTGAAGAAGGGGCCCCGGGCCAGGAATGACTTGACTGGTTGATCAGCAGCTCAGGCATTGCACGCGATACGTATCCGAGTCGTCACGGTTCAAGAGCTGTATCTATTTCAGCAGCCGTATGTGTGAGTCATGTATCTTTGCTATTGAGCTGGTACGTTACTAACATACCGTGTCTTTCAATCCGTCTAGCCTTTCGTTCGAGACGGTTAATAATGAGAGGAAAGTCAGGAAGACGGCGCATCAGCGCTTGATCGAACGTGAACGTGTTCTCTTTCCTAGCCCGGACTCCGACTCACCGGTCAACGAGTCACATAGATTCATTCTGCGGTATGTAATGACGTCCTAAGTCTCCGCGCGCTCGGGAACGTGTTGCACCGCCTGCACCGCACGCAGCGCGCGCGCTGCCTTCGACTCCGAGTGCACTGACTGGTACTTTCAAGTTCAACAACTTTTGAACCGAAGCCTGCACTGCTGCTTGTCTGGAATTGACTCCATGAAGCTATACATGCGCGCCCGTAGACGCCGTCCACACGCCTATATAGCCCTGTGAATACGATTCTTTCTGGCAGACGCAGCTGCCCCCATCCGATCCTCCAGACGTGACCGTAATCTTCACATTCGCAACCGTGGATTCCAACCAGCTCTTCTTCTATCTCACGTCGCTGACGGGTCTGTCGGCCCCAGTGCATGACACCTTAGCCTCGAACAGCACGAACGCAACGACAGCAACGACTATGATGACCGCACTTCCTCTTCCCCAGGACATCTACTCTGTGATCACGTCGATCTTGTCGTTGTCGGCGCTCAGTGACTGGATCAAGCTCTTCGTCGTGGGTGGAGCGCTCGAGACATGTCGGCGTTTCCTGTTCGGTTGGTGGGACTCCTTTTTGGAGACGTTTTGGCTCGAAGCCACAATTGATCAGAACGAAGACGCGTATCGTGAGCCCCGTTCATTGTCTGTGCGCTACTTTTCGAATTTACTGTGCCTCAGGTTGGGTTCTGTACTGGCTGTCGCAACAACAATTCTGGGGCGCCGCGCGCATGGTTGACATCGCTATGAGCGACAATTTTGGGCTCGAGAACGACAACGCGGACGGTGATGATGATGAAGAAGAAGGCACCTTGCGCAAACTCGCTTACATCCCTAACCTTGCGAAACCTTGCAAGGTGTGGTACAGGGGTCGTTACTTGACGGTGGAGAGAGAGTCACGTTGGAGTTGCCTGCGGCTCAGGTATAACTGCTCTGTGCTGTGCTCCATTGCCGAGAGACTGACGCGGTTCGCAGGATATTCTCGCGGGACCGTACAATTCTCAATAGCTTCATGGAGGACACAAGGTCGTTGTACAAGGCCGCAGAAAAGAAGGGTGTCTCCATATATGCAGCTGACACGTACGTTTGCGGGACACAGTGTGTTCTCTGAGGACACTGACGCGAGCCTTCGTCTGCAGTGGCGGTTTCTGGACATTTATGACGGCACGCCCAAAACGGCCATTGAACTCAATCGTCATGGACCCAGGCGTCAAAGAACGGCTGCTCAACGACGCACGCAACTTCCTCGCCTGCCGGAAGTGGTACTCTGACCGAGGCATTCCGTACCGCCGGGGCTATCTACTGGTCAGTTGTTGAGCACACGGGTTTGTGTCATCATTCGCTGATGATCGTCTGCGCATAGCACGGTGCTCCCGGTTCCGGAAAGACCTCCATAATTCACAGCATCGCTGGCGAGCTCGGCCTCGACGTTTACATCGTAACGGTCAGCCGCGCAGGTATGGACGACACCGCCCTAAACCAGCTCATCTCGAACATGCCTTCACGGTGCATCGCGCTTATGGAAGATGTCGATGCTGCTTTCACTCGGGGCGTCACCCGTGATTTTTCGTCTGCGAGCGGACCGGTGTCAGCGAGCGGCAAGAAACCCGACGAGGAGGGTGATGAACTCAAGCCGAATGAGGAGGCCGCGTCGCGAGTCACTCTCAGCGGGCTGCTCAATGCCCTCGACGGGATCGGCGCGCAGGAAGGCCGGATCCTGTTTGCGACGACGAACAAGTACAATGCGCTCGATCCGGCGCTGTGCCGCCCCGGAAGGATGGACCTCCACATTGAGTTCCACCTCGCCAGCCGGTACCAGGCGGAGAACCTCTACAAGTCGTTCTTCACGGAGGTCGAGTTGCAGGAGGGAATCTCCGACTCGGACAGCGCCGCCTCGGAGAAGGCCTCTGACCTTCCCGTCCTCGTACCCCCGTCTCCTCCCGCTACGCCGCCCCCCGCGTCTTCGGACCTCCTGCCGACGCCTACGGCAGATGTGGGCCATATGAACACCTCAGATGTCTTCTCCACTCCGGTCTGCCTCCCGAAGACGCAAGCGTGCGAGCTGGCCAGGCGCTTCGCGGACGCCATTCCCGAACGAGAATTCTCGATGGCCAGTCTACAGGGGTACCTGATGTTGTACAAGAGCGATCCACCCGCTGCTGTTACCGATGCGCCTGCTTGGGTGCGCGAGGAGATGGCTCGAGGAGCGACACGGGGAATTCATGGACCAGAAGCACCGCTTCCATCGACGGTGGCGTGACTGGGCCGATCATGAACCTCGTCGATGCAGCTCCCGACGTTTCGAAGGGGCATCTGGCCTCGAGCGCGTAGCAAGCACCGTTGCGGGATGTGATGCCTGAACGCTTGGCTTGTCATGCGTCATGAGACGAAGTGTGAAGCCTCGGGCTCAATGTCCTCATCGTCGGAAACAATCACAGGAGAGGACGGATCGCAGTCACCAACAACACCCCGGGACTGCATGCCGCGCACCGTCCTCACGCTTCCACTGTAACTCGAGAATCACAGTAGTTATATACCTCACTGTATGAGTGACTTTTAATGTCCGTACGACTTACCTTTACCATGGTACTACGTATACCGTAATGAAATTCAGTGATAGTGCCGATTCTTTGTGACCAAGTGCAACTTCATTTAGCAAGTCGATGTGGCGTAGCAGTTGCGTAGAAGCGCCGTGGGCCACGAATCCCGACTCGGAGACCGGGAAACCGGTGTATACGACGTATAATCCTGAGCGCTTCGGTATCTCTGGCACTGGACGCTGAATGGAAGTATCTTAAGAAGGTACGATAGGAACACAAGGTCGCAAGAACTCAATTTAGGTTCACGGGTGCGGTATGCTATATAAACTTCGGTCTGCCAGTTGTGCTGAGGATGTTTGCCCTGTCAGTGAGCCGACTCGCACTTCTCAGTACTCTTGCAGTCGCCAGTACCGGAACCCTTCTCCATCGACACGCTGCTTTGTTCACTGCTAACAGTATGAGCAAGAAATTCGTGTTGTATATGGCCGGAACACCGAATAGCAGAAAGGTCTCCATCGTTTTGGAGCTGCATGCCCGCTACGGCGTCGATTATCAGTAAGTATGTCCACATTCCAACACCCTCGATAAAAGCATATCGTACCTACCGCGCACTGCGTTATGCATTCCGAGTGTCAATAGCTGAATCTTCGCATGTTTGGTACTAGGATTCATGAGATCGACATGTCCAAAAACGAGCACAAGGAACCCTGGTACCTCAAGTTGAACCCCAATGGTCGCGTGCCCACACTTGTGGACCAGTTCCGCAACGACTTCGCGATTTTCGAGAGTGCTGCCATCGAATTGTACCTCGCGCAGCATTTTGACCGGGACTTCAACTTCTCGTTCGACCCTGTTCGCAATCCCGTCGAGTACAGTGAGATGCTTCAGTGGATATTCTTCACGGTAAGTCTGGGATGTCATACAGTTTGATAAAAGGATCACATCATGAAGCCTGAGCGAATTCTCTAGCACAGCGGCATTGGACCGAATCTGGCGCAGGGTACGTGAGACGATACTTACGCCAATATCCGACGTATGCTTGTTGTCGACGGCCACTGATTCTGCGACGGGTTCAGCTGCATACTTCGTTCACTTCGCCACCGAAGATGTCCCCCACGCAAAGAAACGTCAGTAACGCTCCCAATGATCCTACCATGTATGAACGTGAACGCCGAATGTCCGCAGGGTTCATTGACGAGGTCAAGCGCCTATACGGCATATATAACACTCGTCTAGAGGGGCGACACTATTTTGCTGGGCCCAGAGATGGACTGTATACTATCGCCGACATAAACGCTTACCCACTGTGAGCTACAACCAACTTTCGGTCAACACTGCATGAGTACGTACTGAGTGAAACATGTCATAGGGTCGTGCTCTATGCGCTCGGTGGAGTAGAGAGCCTAGACGAGTGGCCGAATCTCAAGGTAAATTGGTAGCCTTTGAGATATAACTTGATACTCACTGGTCTTTTATCGATAGGCATGGGTCCGGAGGATGGAAGCGCACCCTGCGGTCAAGGCAGGAATGACCAAACCCTGAGCGAAGCGCGACCAGTGCGCCGCGGGCAGTCATTGAAGCTTGAAGTGGCACAAGGGCAACGTCGTTCGGAAGTTCAAACATGTCTTAATGCTTCCTGGAATTAGTACAAACGTGCCTCGAAAAGTCGCTGAACGATCTGACTGGGACATGAAGCGGTACGCGCCCCTCGAGAGCGCGCCACGTGACCGCGAAGACCTTACAACACACAAGGTGAATGCGAGATGGCCTGCGCACCAGGTTCAGATTCCCTTCCGGTTCATGTATCCCGAGGTGCTTGGGAAGGGTGGGCAATCTGCGCAGATCACTCCCGTCGCTTTGAAGCTGAGTACGTCCGCTAGTAGCTACGAGCTTCTCGTACTAGTAATTCACGAAAGCGCATGGACGAATATTCCATTCGACTTTGGATTGCTTTTCAAGAGGACGATTGAAAGTGTGATGACCTGCGGCCCTACGAGGCTGACTCAAAGGCTGATTAGACGACACAAGCTGAGGCTGACCACCACAGATCCATTCGGAATGTCAGCCATCCGACTACAGACATAAATGCGTCGACGACTCACTCCTCATACGCATACTTGAAGTTTTACTGCACTCCCGTACGTTCGCTCGCCATCGCAACAATCGTGGCAACCACAAGTTCTTCTTACTGTCGCGCTTCCCAAACCTACAAACCTGTTAATCCATCTCTTCCTGGCAATACGAGCCCGCATCAAAATGATGAACTGTAGAGAAGCACGTTTGCTCGCGAAGGCGGCGCACGCAGCCAAGCCTCGGAGAGGCGCGCCGCTCAATACCCTGCGGACGGCCAAGGTGTCCCAACCTACGGTCTCTGCTCGACTACTCTCGTCTCCGAGTCGTGCTCCTGTTCCAGCAATTGTCCTTCCATGGCTCCGCAGGCCCACACTGTCACCCAACTCCAGCATGTGGGTGAGACGTTGCGTCCCAATCATGAACCTCTCACTTGCACTGGACAAGATGACGCTCGACCCCGTTCCCTCTGGCGCTATGGACGATCTCTGTAGACTCTTCAGCAAAATGAGTGTAGAAGACGTCCCACCCGCAGCTATCGACGACCTGTGTGACGCACTCGCCAGGCTGTCCTTGAACGACCCTGCGATGGACGACCTAGCGAACTCCTTCGCAGGCATGACACTTGGGCAACACTCGGAGTCTGTCGAAGACTTAGCACCCATGTTTGGCCAGTTTACACTGCACGATTCCACGCCCGAGTCTTGCGATGTGCTCACGGAGGTACCTGTCACACAAACGGACCTACAAAGCGCCCCCACCGAAAAGGAACCAATCGCGGACGTCATCGAACTCAACACGCAACCCGGCGGAATCGAGGACAACACGTACCTGCCGCTCTACGAGTCTGATCTCGTCGCTGGGGCCATTCTGCCGCTTGGCACTCGCCCAGGGGATTGGCACACAGCGGCAGAGCCTGTCTCCTCAGGATATCCCGGACACGCAGCAGACTCCGAATGGACACCGCTCGAGTGGGGCAAAAGACAAATTTGGATCTTTGCATGGTAAGTCTGCTGCCACTTACAGCGCAATGCACTGTTGTACATTGACACTCACTGGTTCAGAGCGCAACTCTCGAAGTGAAACGTGCAGGTGAACCATCTACGTCCGGAGGGGGGCTCTGGTCACGCTTCGTGGGACGTGTCTTCGCTTCCTCCGGCCATGCTCAACATACCATGCACCTACTTCCGCTTCACCGCTCGTCTACTTCGAGTGTCAGCTCACATGCGTCCTCTATTTCATCATCAACGTCATCATCGACTTACACCTCAATTTCTGCTTGCTCACAGTCCAATATCACCTCAACGGAACTCAGTATCTTGGCCTCCCCAACTCTTGCCTATACGACACCCAATGGACATTTCGCGAAGTTCTGGCTTGCGTTCTGGCGGGCATCGTGAATAGTCACCTGCCACATATCCGTAACCTAAAGGGAACGCACTCACATCATCAACCTCTACGTCCTTCGCCATATCAACTTGCAAGATCAACTCATCGACGTACGCAACTCCCGTGTCTTGACCGCATACCGGCCTCAAATATGATATCCGCGCGCGAAACATTCAGTCACTAGGCTTTCTGGTCACTCACATACCTCAACAACTCTAGCACGACGAAAGACAGCGGCCACTTCGATTCTCCCCGGTACGCCTATGCAATCTCTTCGGTACCTCCACAATACATTTCGATCTTCAAGCTTCAGGTCTCGCTTCTGAACTGGAAGAAGCCTCTCGAGCTCAACTCTGCGTTTTGCTTGCGTGCTGCAGTACTGTATGATACCCGGGATTGATTGAACGGTCCCAGCATACCCTTGTATACAGTACTGAATCTGACAACCTATTTATCAATGTGCGTATGCGCTACTGGAACGCACCTGAAGTCGTCATGGTGTATAAGCTGACTGAATTTCTCTACGAGTTGACACTCCAGGCTTGCTAGACAAACAAGTCGAATGCGGCGCCGAGACATGCCAGTCCACTGGCAGTGAGCTAGTAGTCAGAGTAGATGGGGCGCAGGCTTCAATTTCGGATAAAAGGGTGGGATGGGATCGCGGAAATCCAGGCAACACTCTGCATAGCGAATTGAGTATCATACCAGTAGTCGTCATAAGTGGGCTGAGTGTCGAGGATCGGGCAGGGTGAGAGTCTAGAGAGCACTCTGGCCTGGCAGCGAGACACTGCAAGCGCCATCACGTGGGCATGGCCGACACGAGTCGGACGCGTCGCCAGTCGCGCGTCTGCCATGAGCACGACCCACTACGTCGCTCGTCTTTCTGGAACATATAGTGACATCCCACCACGTCTCAAGATCCCATGGGAAAGGCGAGAAAGAACAAGTTTTACGCTGTCAGGAAAGGCAGAGAAGGTCCTCGCATCTACTCGTCCTGGGAAGCGGTACATTGCTTGTAGCCTTGCAGTTCAAACATGTGTCGCTGACAGGCTCTTTCATCAGGCCAAGGAGAATGTGCGTCAAGCGGTACGCAGAAGAAGGTACAGGCTGAGCCTTGCACGCAGATCTACAAGTACCCAGGAGCGGTGCAGAAGAGCTTCGCAACCCAGCGTGAAGCGGAGGAGTGGCTGAATGTCGCGCCGGACTTATCGCACACTTGTAAGTCTGTTAGATGGATGTCTTTATCGGCTATACTGACGGTGCTCTGGACGGGACGAAGACGTACCTGGGTTGCCTTTGAGTATGGAACCGTGTTCCATCGGGACAACACGCGTCAAACACCGGCGCAAGGACAGGGACCAGAAGGGGACGAAGCTGGACGATCCAACCTCCCGTTTACAGCCGCTCACAGTAAACGCAGCGGAGGATGGGATACGTGACCTACCGAAACAAGAAGAATGCGATAATGCTGATACGTCAGGCCACACGAAGATGGAGGAGGGCCCGGGGTTTGTTTCAGATTAAGACAGAGCCCGTTGACGCACTCACGACAATGAAACAAGGATCGGTACGACGCCCTCCCTGCAGATCAAGGGAGAAAATCTCGACACTCCCTTGCCTGAGCTTAAGATGGAGGATATCAACACGCCGCCACCAGCCACCATATGGGAGGAAGATAGCAATATGGCGTCCCAAAGTACCGACCCTACATCATCTCCGCGACATCTCTCACCAACGCTTTCGGATCCACCGCCTCCGCCAGTCACCTTGTCCGCCGAGCAATGGGCAGTCCTCCGCATGGTCATGTCCGGTCAAAACGTCTTCTTCACGGGCTCCGCAGGTTCGTCCCTCTACAGCTGTGCTCCGACCAGGCTCACACCCGGAACCCTGTCCCGACGTATGCACTAGGAACAGGCAAGTCGGTGCTTCTCCGCCAGATCATCGATCACTGCTGCGCCCGAGATCCAGATACGGAACGGCTTGCTATCACTGCAGCCACGGGCATCGCGTCTGTGAATATTGGTGGGTGTACACTCCATTCGTGGGCCGGGTCGGCCTTGCAAAGGAGCCGGCGGATCAGCTGCTAGGCAAGATTCTTGGACAAGACAAAAATGAACGAGAGAAGGCAGAGCGGGAAAGGGCAGGGCGGGAAAGGGCGGAGCGGAAAGGGCGGAGCGGAAAGGGCGGAGCGGAAAGGGCGGAGCGGGTGAAGGACCTCGAGGAGGTTGGGCACACAAACACGGAGATGAAGATGCCAGTCCGCAGTCAGGAGAAGCCTAAGTCATGCGGCCGTGGTATAGTCAGGCGGTGGAAGAAAGTCAGAACACTTATTGTTGACGAGAGTGAGTGACTATGATGAAGGTCAAGGCTGACTAATTTGGAACACATGCAGTCTCGATGATAGATGGTGTTCTGTTTGACAAGCTGGTAGGTCTTCACGATGATGGATAACGAGGTGAGATTCATGAGCTTATTTCCCTAGGAATTCCTTGGTCAAAGGTTGAGAGGAAACGATCAGCCATTCGGTGGGATACAGGTATGCTTTTATCACCGTGCACCATGCAATGCCGAGACAGATTGTGCGCATTACTAGCTGTTCTCTCGGGCGACTTCTTCCAGCTTCCACCTGTACCGGATCTTGGCAATCATGGAGTCCCTATACCTGCTACATTTGCGTTCGAGGCGCGCTCGTGGTCAAGATGTTTCGGGAAGCCTCTTGTGCTTCGCCATGTCTTCCGTCAAAGCGACCAAGTGAATCTTCACTGAAGATGGACAGCGGGCTTTGCTCACCAATCTACTTACTAGACTTTGTGGACATGCTCAATTCTGTGCGTCTTGGCAGGCTGACGCCCCAGATCACGGCCGATTCATGAAGCTGTCGCGGCGAGTCACTTACGACGACGGCATCGAACCAACCGACTTGTGCGTTGTGCGGCATTTTCTGTTCAATCACCGCTGAAACCGCTCCAGGTTTCCTATTCGCCGAGAGGCGGAACGTGAAAATAGTCTGCGTCTGAGACAGCTGGACGATCCACATCATGTGTACCTTGCCACCGACAGGCCCGGCGTGGATAAGATCACAAACCATACCCATTCAGTAAAGTGAAGCCTGGTCTGGATAGGCTTGTTGCTCCCAAGGAGATTACGCTGAAAGCTAGTTGTGTTTTGCGCTCGCACAACGAGCATTACTGATTCAGGTCTATCTACAGGTAGGCGCACAGGTCATGCTCATCAAGGTCGGTGATTATTTCGTCTGAATACTGCTGACGCTCTGATACTGTTAGCAGAACTTGGTACAAGGCCAGCTGGTCAATGGTTCTCTGGGACGTGTTGTAGCCTTCAGTACACCACGTGACGCGAGGAAATGCGGAACAGATATCGCGAAAGAAGCCCCCAACGGAGCCGAGAAGCAAAAACCAGATCAGCATACATTGCAAGTGGCAGAAAACTATATCTGGCCGATTGTGGAATTCAGGAATGGACATACACTACTATGTATCCCTGCTACCTTCGAAGCGATCAATGCGGATGGCAGGGTGGAGGCTACTCGTCACCAGGTGCGCTCCGATATTCTCGCTGACGGTACGTATTCATTATCAATGCAAATGTTTCACAGATACCCCTCATATTGGCATGGGCATTGAGCATTCATAAGTCACAGGGTCAGACCCTAGAGAGGGTTCGTGTCGATCTTGGGCGAGTTTTCGAGAACGGTCAAGGTCTGCTTGTCTCCTTCCAGTCACTGGCTTTCCACCAAAAATGACATTTGATTCAGCATATGTAGCATTGTCGCGCGCGACCAGCCTAGATGGCCTTGAAGTACACGGATTCAACCCGCTCAAGTACGTCCTGAATCACGCTATCCTCAGAATTATCTCGGACACTCAATGATGGACTTATTAGAGTGCGGGCACACCCTCGCGTGATTCAATGGATGAAAGAAAACATCGACGAGGATGTAGGGCCGAAGGCTCAGGAACTTGCTGACGAAGATGATGATCGCCAATACTGGGATAAGCTCGAGTGACTAACACAGGTCACCCATGGTCGGCTGCTGCATCTAACTTATACCGCATATCTTGTTTGTATCCCTGCTATCACCTGCTGTCGTCTTGCACACCCGACTGTTTGTATCAAATGATTGTTGACCTCGGTGAAGTCTGGACTGAGCGCGTCTGAGTGGCTCAAATGGAGGGCAGTAAGTACTCACCATAGTGTTACTACTGGCACAGACTGACTGTTGAATATTTTGGGTTCTGGACGTTGAGGCCTGTGCAGTGAGGGGCGGGCACCGCTGCAACTTTGTATTGTCGGCTGCGCTGTTCCAGGCCTCAGCTCAGGCTCAGGCAATTGATGGGGTTTTGAACGTTGTCACGGGACCGCGCCTCGGCGACTCGGAGTCGGATGTGGTTGAATGCGGGCGGTCGATCACTTCCAGAATACCGCTTCATGCCCTATACCCGCTGGCTTTCGCGACTGATCTGCCTCCGGATGCCTAGTCACGCAGACGTGTACTACCAAACTGCAGCAGCCTAGCTATGATGGATGACGTAGCGATTTGGGACGAGGTAGAAATGCCGGATGAAGCCGTCCAATCTCACTTCACCGCTGTCAATCCCCCGGGCATCGTAACACGTTGGCCACTGACGATCCTCTCGGGCTCGCTTCGCTTTCCACAAAGATCGAATTATCCCCAGATCAACGCGCGGTTCTTGAATTGGTGAAGTCGGGGAGGAGTATCTTCTTCACCGGTTCTGCTGGTATGTAATACTAACCGCAGGCATCTAGGTGTACGTGATTGCTCACCATTGAGAAGGGACCGGAAAGTCTGTACTCTTGCGAGCAATATTGAATACTTTCACGACGAATATCAACATGACATCTGGGACGAGTATCTTCCGGCGGAGCCAAACAAGCTGCGACTAGCTGTCACGGCTGCGACGGGAATTGCCTCTATCAACATAGATGGATGTACGCTGCATTCATGGGCTGGAATTGGCCTGGGAAAGAGGACGCTAGACAGTTGGCCATGAGATTTTTGTCCCATCACAGCGGGTGAAGAACGATGAATACATCACACATAAGCCTCGTTCCGAGAGGACAGTCACGTCGTCGATCGATGGAGAGCGGTCAAGACTCTCATCGTTGATGAGAGTAGGTTTTCATTGAGAGTTCGTTGATGGTAGCTGACAAAATGATGTGTACAGTTTCTATGATCGACGGTCTTCTATTTGACAAGCTTGTGAGTGGTCGTGCATAGACACGCTTGTCTCGCCTCATGCGATTGAAGGAATACATCGCTCGCTTTGTTCGTGGAAACAATCAACCGTTCGGTGTATACAAGTACGACACGCCGCCATTTTTTTCTGCGTTGATCATTGCTCACAATGCATACCAGCTAATACTCTCCGGAGACTTTTGTCAGTTGCCCCCGGTGACCGAACGTACTAACGGCGTCTCCCAGCCATGTGTATTGCGTTTGAGGCGAATTCCTGGCCGATTGTATCGGGCAACCAGTGTCCTTCGACAAGTATTCCGGCAAAGAGACCAAGGCAGGCCAACCTTGTGATCGCCTCCATATAGGGCTCTGACGTCCCATGCAGTATTTGTCGACATGCTGAATGAAATACGGTTTGGCCGTGCCAGCCCAGAAGTATCGCTTCGATTCAAAGGGTTGTCAAGACGGGTGACTTACGATGATGGTATCGAGCCGACTGAGCTGTAAGTCGATTGTCTTGCATTGGGAATGACTGAATGTATGATCACCTACACCCCTGAGGTATCCTACTCGCTCAGAAGTAGGAGATGCTAACAATACCCGCCTCAGCCAACTAGTGGGGCCGGTGAAGCAATATGTGGCAAGGGACTATGCATGTTCTGATGAGGTCTTGTTTGACCCCGCTGCCATGGGGCGCATTCATAACGCATTGGACCGTCTCATTGCTTTGAGGGACATCACTCTGAAGGTGTGCTGAGTGACTTGTCTCAGATTCGCCTGATGCTTAATGACGTGCGACTAGGTTGGTGCGCAAGTAATGCTGATAAAGGTCAGTATCATCGTCGTGATTGACCTCAAACCCCCTGATTGGTTGGGAAGAACCTCATACAAGGAGAGCTGGTGAATGGAACCAAGGGCAGGGTCGAAGAGTTCATCACGATGGAGGAGGCAAAAAGCCGTCTCATCGAGAGCGCTTGTCCGCCACCACCCAAAGACGCACCTCAAGGATAATCTTGTAAAACTCCACCGCGACTCATTTGACCGCTTCAACGACGTGTGGCCTTTGGTAAAATTCGAAACTGGAAGACACTTGCTCTGTAACCGATGCAATTTCGACGTCAAGAACGCTGAGGGTGAACAGGAAGCAATCCGAGAACAGGTGAGTTGTAGTTCCATGTCCGCTCTGTATGTACTTACGCGTGCATGCGAGGTGCCCTAATTTTGGCATGGGCATCAGCGTGCATAAATCCCAAGGTCAGACATTGCAGCGAGTACGAGTCAACTCAAGCGTACGTTTGAAGATGGTCAAGGTCTGTCTGTCTTCGTGTCATGTCTGAACACAAAACCTTATGAAGTCGCAGCGTATGTAGCTCTGTCGCGTGCGACAAGTATGGACACACTCGAAGTGCTGAATTTCGATGCTAAAAAGTGAGGCACACTGCCGTGAACGCATGGGACAAGAGCTGATCATCGACAGAGTTATGGCGCATCGCACAGTACTGAAGTGGAGTGACGAGCTTCAACCCGCTGAATTGGTCTGTCCAAGCACCACCATCGATGTCACCCCAGCAGTGTCAGTGCAAGACACCGAAGTTGACGATGATAGGGAATTATGGGCCGCATTTGACGAATGACGAGTCCCTTTTTTGGTACTACTAACTCATGCCGCAATGCTAAGTACCGTCTTTTGGAAAATCTCGGGAACAACTCACAGTATCTGTACATGCTATTGCAATCATTGAGTCCGATTTTTTACTTACATGGTGCTTGAATAGTAATCAGGAGCAGATGGCGTTGGCTCGCGGTATGTACAATGCACTTTAAAGAAATTCGACTGGTCGCCACCCAGCAACGGGGTCACGTGCAGCGTTCAATTGCTCGTCGCGTCGAATTGTGGCTTTGTCTCGTCTCCTTGTTGAAGACTACTTGCGCGTCGCGAACCCTACCACTGTTCAAACGTCCGACTTGCGCTGTCCCGAACATCCGGTCTCCGAGCCTGTCAACTCTGTGAGGTGCGACAAGAGAGCTTCAGCGGGCTCCATATCAACGAATTCGGGTTTATATTAGCCCCTGAAAGACTCGGGGTAAGACTGTGCGTACCCAAATCACGTCATATGGGAGAACCTGAATAAGTACTTACTTCGCAAACAGAGTGGCTACTCGCTGGCGTGCGTCCGAGAATTGGAACCCCCGCTTCAAGCAATGCCGTCGAGCAGCCAATTGAACCTTCTTCCCACAAATATGGCAAATCCAGCAGAACCTATGCCAGATCTCCCTGCACCCATGATTGACTTATCAGAAGAACAGCGAGCCATTCTCAATATGGTGAGGGCAGGCAAGAGTGTCTTTTTCACTGGGTCCGCAGGTAACACAGATCGTAATCTACACGCCAATCTCTTGACACACTGCAGGTACCGGAAAATCCGTGCTTCTTCGAGAGATCATTAAGCATTGTCGTGAAATGTTGGAAGAGACAGAGTCGGTGTGACAGCAGCAACGGGCATTGCATCCATCAACATAGGCGGATGCACCCTTCACTCATGGGCCGGCATTGGTCTTGGAAAAGGAGACCCGTTGAAGATCGCAAAACGCCTGATAGGCCATGACGATTATTGAAGAGGAGGGTAGCAGAAGACAGAAACAACCTACCCGTGGATGAGAACAACTTCACGACGGACCGTTGGAAACAAGCTCGAGCTCTGATTGTAGACGAAAGTACGAGTTCATTGGATGTCTACAATCGCTATGCCTATATTCGCTGATATACATGAACAGTCTCAATGATCGATGGCATGCTATTCGATAAACTTGTGGGTGATCTGCGTCTAAGTGGTCGAGAAGCCGTCACGAGTAGATGCCGCCAGGAATTTATAGCGCGGTATATTCGCAGAAATCCTCAGCCTTTCGGTGGTATACAAGTAGGCAACATCAACCCTTCACTACTCTTTCTGGGGCTGATGGCTCCATGACAGCTCATTTTATCTGGCGATTTCTATCAACTGCCACCTGTTCCGGACCACATCGACGGTGTGCCCAGCCTGCTACGTTCTGCTTCGATGCGCATTCGTGGCCGGATTGCGTCGGCCAAGCCATTGCATTGAACAAGGTCTTCCGACAAAGGGATCAAGGTCGGAGTCATGTTATAGCATCTATGCCAAAACGCTCAGTGAACTGTCATAGATTTTGTCGACATGCTAAACGAAATGCGGCTCGGTAGACTGTCACAGTCCACCATGATGGCCTTCCGGAGACTGTCAAGACGAGTGGTATATCATGATGACATTGAGCCTACGGACCTGTGCGTGCTTGCTTCATCAAATCTTCTCCTTCACGTTTCTCACAATAAGTAGGTTTCCTACGCGGAGACAGGTATACGGAGCTAACCACACACGCCTTGAACAATTGCAAGGAACGCCAATGCCATTCCCGGCTGCCGATCAGCCCGGTATCGACAACGAGGGTTTCCTTGTCACGGTTGAAGGATGGATAAACTACTGGAACAGCAGGTGATCGCGCCAAAGCACATCAATCTCAAGGTAGTGATATCCTTACCGGTCATCATATGTGTTATTGAGATTTCATCCACAGATCGGCGCGCAAGTTATGCTCATCATGGTGAGTTTTGTCCCTCTAAGTTGTTCATGCATATCAACATACATCGCAGAACATAGTCCAAGGAGTGCTCGTCAATGGATCCGTCGGCAAGGTTGTCGGGTTCATGACAGTCCAAGACGCACTGCTACGTGGCATCCAACTCGGGGTGGTCAATCGAGTAGAGCGTGACCAATCGCACCCGCTCCAGAGGGGTGGGCCGCCTCCCGCTCCACCGCATATCGTCAATGGCGGGAAACTATGGCCATGCGTTAGATTCGAGAACGGTCTTTCTCTGTTGTGTATTCCTTGTATGTTTGAGGTCATGAATGCTCAAGGAAGAATAGAGGCTAGTCGCGAGCAGGTGAGGGTATTCCTACTGACTCCAAATGGACATGATCAATGCTAGTTCCAGGTACCACTCATTTAGCGTGGGCCATCAGCATACATAAATCGCAAGGGCAAACGTTGAAGAGAGTCAGAGTCGATCTTGGGCGTGTATTCGAGAAAGGCCAAGGTGATAAAGTCATTTTTGCCCTGCCGCAACCTCCCATTTGAACATCCAATCATACAGCATACGTCGCGCTCTCGCGCGCAACAAGCATGGAGACTCTCGAAGTCAGAGAGTTTCAACCTAGCAAGTGAGTCCCCCGTGTCCTTCTTGTCAGCACCTTCATTGATGGTCACGGTATCGTCTCAGGGTCATGGCTCATCGCAGAGTCCTTGAATGGATGCGCGAAAGTCCTCCTGTGAGCCCGCTGGAACTCGTCGCTGCGAACGATGCCTATGCGATACAATTTATGCGATGAAACATTGAACGTGTGCCTTGCTCGCGAGGGCGTACTAATACACAGCTCCATCATCCCTTCATACGGACCGCTACGTATCATCATCTTGCTCTCCTAGTCAGTCGTATTGCACTCATAGAACTGTCGTTATACTATTACTGTACAGACTACATCGAAATCGGTCATACTAATAGTACCAAGATACTACTGAACAGATGTGTACTACTGTAGCCATCGTATGTACTAAACAATGCCCTACACCGTGATTAGCCGTAACATACTTCTACAAACCACCGCACATCAAAACATATTGTTCACTCCACGGTACGCGTTTCGCTGGTGATCTCGGTGCGCCGCGCTGTATCACTGTCCTGGGTATCGGGTAGAGCTTGCTGTACTAGTGCCGGCGACCTCTGCGGCTCTGCTAACGGACCTGAGAGTGATCTTCGGGCAGACTGCCTAGAGTCCGGCCTCATGGTCGCAAATTGACTCCTGGGCGATGCCGAAGCCGAGGGCGGGCGATCTCCAAGCTCGTGCAAGTCGAGGTTGCTCCCCCACGGTGCAAGATGCAGCTGTCCATGCACTTCCGGTTCCTGCTCCTCCTGAATGCTCGACTCGCCCGTCCGAGTGGACACCGCAGGGGACAGCGGACGAGGTGGTAGATGCGGCGTAAGCAGTCGCTCTCTGCGCGGCGAAGCTGGCTCTTCTGCTCCATCCAGCTCGTGCTGCTGCAGCCGCGGTGTTGTCTTCTGCGTGCGTCGCTCTCTGCTGACATCGCGTGACCTAGAGAAGCCAGGGGGAGAATCCGGCATCGGTGATCGTGGCTGGACAGGGAGGGACTGGCGGTTCGGCCGCTGCGACATCGGCACGAGTGGGGCAGGTGGCGGCAGACCCGCAGACCGTTGCGACGGATGGATGCTCCCTGTCGGGCGTGGCGGAAGCTGTGGTGTGAAGTCCTCTGGTGGAGTCGTCCGCGCACTAGCGATCCCCGGAGTGTACGGAGGTGAGCGCTGTGGAGGGAGTGATGGAGAGCGTCCAAGTCTCGGGCTGCGTGATAGGGAGCCGGATGGAAGGGCCGGTGGCCCCATCGGGCCCAGAATAGATGCTTGTGATGTCGCTCTGGCTCGAGGTGATCCTGATGCAGTTGGTGAGATGGGAGATGGAGCGTTCGAAGGGGTCGGAACGATGGAGAGGAGTTGAGGCGAGTCCGTAGATTGGAACAGGATGTGTGCATTACTGATGAGGTCTTCACACAACGTATCCTACGGTTTCGGGTCAGCCCATGCTCATAGTCATAGTCATACACAAAAAATACCTTCCACGAGTGCACAGTGAGCAGATCACCACCGGACTTGGGCATCTCATCTTCGCCGAATATGACAGCACCGAAGACGATCGCAAGGTTCTTTGCGTCCATCTTATTCTTCTCCGCATGAGCGGCGATTCGTGCGAGGTGCTCGACGAGGACCTTCAACGTCGATTGGTGGACCGTAGGTAACCTGCGGATCTTGCCTCGGATAAGCTGAAAGTCGTTTCCTCGGTGCTCGTCTGTCACAGTGTTGCGATGAACAGAGTGCCAGATGAATCAAAAAGTATGAACATACCTAGCTCCTCACTGTGAGCCAGTCGCTCTTGTAATGGGAAGCGGAAGAGAGGCTCTGGAAGCTCGCGGAGATACAACTGCACTCGTGGTCAGCACCGAAGAAACTTCGTGATAGCTCGTAGACCCACCTTCAGAAGGGACGCCACGGCATATATATCGTCGACGGCAGGGTTGAACTGGAAGGCCGCTTCATTGCGCTCGACCTTGTGCTGAAGCTAGTCACATCGTTCGCGTCAACATAACCAGTAAGCCCAGTCAAGGATCGCCTGCATACCTCCCGCACACTCGCATGTTTCCCAGACACCTTCTCATCTGTTCAGAGCCAGCTACATCAACGACCCGCACACCACGCACCCGATAGATCCCTCGCATTCCACTCCTCTCTTGTCGATCTCCTTCACACAGATCCGCACGATCTTCGGCACCCCTTGTTCGCCTTCGGCGCCATGCAGGTTCCTCGCTGTGGCATAGTCAACCAAGCTTACGCCGAAAATCAGGTCTTTGCATTCCCCGACATTGTAGTTGTAATAATATGCAGGCTTGGGGATAGCCGCCGCGAGTTGGCGAGGTATGTTGTATCCGACGATGGCGCTGTCTCGTGCTGAGGATATCCGCGCGACTGAGCGTCTGCCATGCTCGCAGATCTGCGACTGCGTGGCGCAGGTGGCACTGTATAGGGTACGTGGTGAGCAGACCAGAAGAAAAGCTCAGCGAGCAACCTACACCATGTTGTCAGTGTATTTCTGCAGCACGGACTTCACTGTCTCCGCATTCTCGCGAACGAACGCTTCCAAGCTCTGCCAGTGTGACCTTTAGTATCGCACACGTTGTGACGATTCCGGGCTGACCTTGTATCCAGACTCGAGAATCTTGACTCTCCGGAGACGCAGCGTCTCCAGCCAGTGCACGCCCTTCCGATATTCCTTGTCTTGCGTCGGAACATGAAGTACTGTACACAGATATATAACATCGAAGGGCAACACACCTGCTTCGTCCGCTTCGCGCTTTGCTCTCACACTCCTCAGCGCATTGTCCGACCGCCCCGCGAGGTCCTTCATGTTACCGCCCTTGTCCAGGAAAGTCATGAGCTGGTTAAGCTGCTTCTTTCCTATAGCACTTTATATCGCATCATATCGCCACGCACGGATAGGATGGTTAATCACCTTGGTGGGCCAGGTCCTGTAGCGCTGATGACGTGCTCGTGGAGGGCGAGCGGACATGGTTTGATGTTCCGCCGACTGACGGTCTGCGGTCAAGGGGACGGAGAGGCTGCGGGGCGGTGATGATCGCGGGGCGCGCCGACAGACCGGGGTTAGGCTTGCCACCTGCGGATTGTGGGGGTAAGGCGAAGTGCCCCTCGTTGGGTGAGAGAGGGGATTGGGTATTTAGTGTGATGGCAGCCTTGTATTCCTATTCGACCGTAATGTCAGAGGCACTGCACCGCTTCTGCCGAACGGGTACGAACCTCTGCTTCCTGACACTTCCTGAGGTAGTTGCGTTTATAACGCGGCAGCACATTCTCAGAGTAGTCTGTATGTGCAGCCACTGCGTCCTTTAGGTCCTCCTTGATCCGCTTGCGAATACGGTCTTGAGTTTCCTGCGCTGGTGTCCATATGGCGTCTGGTACAAATGATAACCTGCAGACTTACCCTAAGTACTATGAGGGGGTTGATGACATCCCCAGTCAGAGCACCAAGAAACGCCACACGCGTATCGGCCTCTGTAGCAACGCCAAAGGTTCAACTGATGTACGACCGAACATCGCTCGGGGACGCACCTCTCGCTACGTTATCCCTGATCTCGTTCCAGGCAGCCCTCGTCGTGCTGACGTCGCCACGACCCGGGTCGTCCAATACTGTATCTGCAGCCTTGACTTTCCGGTGTAGCCGAAGCAACGCCTCCACACTGGACTTCCCGTCAGCCCAGACGGCGCGGTCTTCTCGTGTACGTACTCACTAATGCTCCTCGATTCTCCGGCTACAAGTCACACAATGTCTGAGGTAAGCCTGATTGGAAGAAGACTTGCGGGCGTACCGTTCCAGAAAGAAGCTGAGGTATGACTCGGACAGGAACCTGAGATGGAGGTCGAAGAGCGTTATCGCGTCTTGCTGAGGTGGGTCAGACGTGGACTGACGACTAGAAGGCTGGCTCTCTTGTGACGAAGACATAGAGCTGGACCGGTCAAGCACGAAGAACTCGAGGACAGACTGTGGAGGGGATGGGGAGGGAGCACACTGCAGACGCGAAACTGGAACGGGAGAACGACCACGTGCACCATATATGGCACCCCAACTGGGTGACGCACCGATCGTCGACGCGCGCCCAGTGGTTCTACATAAGTTCTTGGGTTTCTGCAGACGCAATGTTGTAGGATCGCACGATGTTTGTCGTGAAAGATGAAGAATCTCAGAAATTGAAGTTTGCATCCAACAATGTCGCTCTCGACATCGTGATGTAATTCAATTAAACTCAGGTGTATGATTGTGTATCACCAAATAGCTGAAGTGGTAGACTGTGGTACACGGAATGTATTTTACAAGCTCATCGAGCTCTCTCCGTCGTAACCTCTTGCTTTGCGAAAAGGAAACTCCAGCACCTAGCGTCATCAAAAGTCGATCTCGCTCAATTCACGTGAATGGCAATTGCTCCGTAGTACATAGGTGCAAGTTGTCGATATAATTGCAATGCATAAGCACTTCGACATCAACATAAGTCCTACTAGTACCATTCGTAGCACACTACGACTTCTGTCGCAGTTGGTGACTCGAAGTTATACCACAAAGGTAGTTACTGCAGCGGCTCGGACCACATATGTTGCTCTACATACGTTAGATGCCCAGTGCTGTCACCGCAATCGATCAGACAGACATCCACGCTCACTGGGACTGAGTTGGCTACTGTAGCCGGGAACCGTCCAACGAACAACGGGATGACATCGCCTCGTTCGCACGGCCGCATCAAGACAGTAACCCGAAAGTTAAGCGCGAGGGACGGGTGTTTCTTGTGCAATGAGACAAGAGCGTCGTCCATGCGCTGCCAAGGAAGATGGTTACAAGAAGGTCGCGTGCTCAGGAGCGTAAAAGACAGTTGCAGACGGCGCAGGTAAGGGGCGTTGAGTGTGGTCAGAAATTCTGGCAAGTTGGTGTACTTGTCGACCTGCGTCGCGCCGAAGAGCCCGTCAGTACAACGCAGACCGAGGGCAAGGCTGGCCAGCTTGCGGTGTCTCGATATGTCTAGATCCCGAAGCCAAGCTACAAAGACTAGTGTCAGAGCCATACGAGCGACATATTGAGCAGCAGACTTACTGTCATCGTCGAACTTGACGTCGCATGACTCCAAGGAGCCTACTGAGACACGCACCGCCTCTAGCAGAACAGGCGCGCCGGCATCATACGGACCCACGCGGTAGTCGATGTCCCATTCGATCCTCCGGAGATGCGTCTCGAAGGGAGGCTTCAACAGCCTATCCACGAACAGCACCAGTATGCCGTCGGTCGTGTAATTTTCTACATACAAACCTTCGATACGAAGGCGATGTGCATCACCATCACTCTGAGCAAGCCTCTCCGGGACGTTGTTCAAGCTCACGTTCACCAGTCGGACACTGGACAGGGAAGGAAAGGCGACGAGCAGATGAAGTAGATCATTGGCTGATTCGAAGTGAACATTCCATAGTCGTAGGGCTTTGAGAGTCGGCGCTGGAAATAGGAAAGCAACCGCGTCGCTGAGGGAATGCGACGCGATACGTGAATACTCCATGATGTCCATCGCGCGAGGCCAATCGACGGCTTCGATAGATAGGGTCTCAAGATTCACGAGGAGGCGGATGATATGTTGCAATTCGGGAGGGGGAAGGCCGTTGGTAGTGAAGAGAACGCCCAGCAAGTTGAGCTCGCGGACATGGTCTGCGATTCCGGTGGTCGATGCTTGCAAAACCGCTAAGAATGCGGAGGAGTCAGGACGCCTCTCGATGCGGACCTTGCGGAAAAGGTGGCGTTGTGCGAAGAAAACCCATGCACGGCAAGTCAAGCTACACATCCGTAGGGTTCGCCGCTCGTCCTGGAGGTGTTCGAGTATGCGTTCGTGCAATTCTACCGGTAGCCCGGGAAGCATGCTATGCATAAGCAGGCGGGGTCAGAGGTTTGCACACCTGTGGTAACGCGGCATTGACCTACTTGGACGTATGAAACGGTGTCTTGTATACACTGCGTTTCGACTGGGTCACAGTGAGCCGAGTGAGGAAACGACGCGTGCGACAGTGCGACTCCCGATCCCTGCCCGATCTCAAGTCGGAGTTGCTCCCGAGGGCGGCAAGGCACATGATGAGATCGGGACAAAGGATCTGAGCAGTTCTCCGATAAGATCGGGCACACTGCATCCAAACTACCTGCCATCGAGGCCCAGGAGCCGGCTTCTCAGTACTGCAGCGTACTCTTGCACCCAATACTCCTTCGAATATATTTTAATTTGCGTAGGGAACCCCACCATCTCATTGCAGAAGACACCCGGCATCACAACCATAATGCCCGCGGATCTCAGAGCGGCGATAACGAACCGCGTGCAACTGCCAGGGTAATGATTTTCTCAATTGTCAAATCAGGTCCGCCGCTTGCCCGCCGCTGCCGCTGCCGTTGACTCGAAGCGCCCGTTCATGTACCCCACTCAGGGCCAGGCGCACACGCAAGGCCGTTCCATACCCTGAGCTTCAGTCCTCTCGTAGGCGGCAATGGAAAGCCAGAGATATCTGGCCAGCCTCTGGCAGTCGACTTGGGACTCGTCTCAGCTCTACCTGGAACAGGGATCGAGCTTTAGTAGGCCATTCACTTCGGCAAGCCTGAGTGTGCTGCAGATAGAGGATGCAAAGTACGTGGCATATTCGTCGTTGTCGAGACAAGTCTAATGTACAACGAGCGCAGAACGGTCTTCGCCAACACCCTCGTCTTCCCCGGATATGCGGCGACAGCCTCGCTGCTCGTATTGCTCCTCCAGCTAATCGCGCACTCGGAACCCGTGAAGAAGTTGTACAAGAGGCTTGCGATCTCGGAGAACGACTCAGCAGACGAGATAGAGGATGAAAACGTAGACGATGCTGTTGGGGAACAACAGCATTTGTCCGTTGTCTCACAACATATGGCTCAATACGGTGGACCGGTCATATTCGCTTACCGTGTTCTGCGTCTCCTGTGCACGCTTGCCCTCCTTGCCTTATCCATCCTCACCGCGGTCTTTACTTCTCGCCAAGTCTCCTCGCCTTTGAACTCCAAGGTCTTGCCGCACGTTGCACTCTGCTTGACATATGTGAGTGCCCCGAGCGAAAGTGCATATGTTCTAGCTGACGCGCACACCTTCAGGGCTACTCGTCGCTTCTCGGCATACTCTCTGTCGCAGTCAACGCGAGATCCGCTAAGCTCGCAACGCATCACTTGGCCCTAGTGCTGGCTTTCACATGGATCGTGTTTGTCTACCGCGACATTTGGCCTCTTGCGACCTACACTCTTCAGCCGATAGACGGAGCGGAAGGCGCACTCCTATGGGGAAAGTTTGCTCTACTCACTGTTGCGGGCGTAGTGGTGCCGCTGCTTGTCCCTCGGCAGTACACACCCGCTGACCCCAAGGATGCCTGGAAGCCGATCCCGGAGCAAACGGCGTCGCTGCTCTCGACGATGCTGTTCCTGTGGCTAGACCCGACCGTCTTCGAGGCGTACAAGGTCCCGCACCTGCCCATCGAGAAGCTCCCGCCGCTCGCCGACTACGACAGCGCGAAGCATCTCGTCAAGCGCAGCTTCAAGCGGCTCGACCCGTTCCAAGTGACGAAGCAGCGGCATATGTTCTTCGGGCTGATGGCCGTGTTTCGCACGGAGTACATTGTGCTTGCGATCACGCTGACCATCCAGGTGGTTACGTCCTTCGCGAGCCCGCTCGGGATCAGGAACCTCCTGCACTACCTCGAGACGGACGGCGAGGGCGCGGTCGTGCGTCCGTGGGTGTGGATCTCGTGGCTGTTCGTCGGCCCAATGGTTGGCTCGATCGCCCTCCAGGTTTACATCTTCACGACCACGCGTATGCTCGTGCGCACGACGAGTATCATCACGCAGCTCCTCTTCGAGCACTCGCTGCGTATCCGGATGAAGGCCGAGGTAGCCGACTCGCCCGCAAATAGCACTGTCACTACTGCTGTCGGCACCCCGGACAATGGATCTATCGCTGAGACGGAAGGCGTGGATTCGCTGGGCCCCACTGAAGGCGAGAACCACAGTCCGACGAGCAGCGAAGACGAGACGGTACGCGCGAGCACCATCAGCGTTGGTTCCACGTCGACCAACAACAAAGGCAAGAGCAAATCCAAGGTGCCCTCCCCGATCGGGGAGGGTAAGAAGGAGGAACCGAAGAAGAGCGAAGAAGCGACGGGCGGTAACCTCGTTGGGAAGATTAACAACTTGGTCACAACAGACTTGGACAACCTTATCAACGGACGCGACTTCTTGTTCATCGGTAAGCTGTTTGAAAAGAGCGGCAATTGAATGGCTTGACTGACCGCACGAAAGTTATTGAGATCCCCTTGCAGCTCGCTCTCTGCATATGGTTCTTGTATTCTATTCTCGGTTGGAGGTCAGTCACATCTCAAGGTCTGCGCCGGACATGAGTGTTGAGACATGCTCACATAGTGCATTTGCTGGTATGGCGACGATGGTGCTCCTGTTCCCGATCCCTGGCTACGTCGCCGGCAAGATCCAGAACGTCCAGATTGAAAAGATGAAGAAGACGGATCTCCGCGTGCAGAGTGTCACTGAATGTAAGCGTTCTATTCCTCGAAGGTTTGTTCCGAGCCTTTTAATCTCATGTATTAATTAGCTATGAACGTCATCCGCATGATCAAGCTGTTTGGATGGGAGCCTCGTGTCGTGCAGCAGCTCTCGGAGAAGCGTGAGGACGAGCTGTACTACCAGTGGAGGTATAGGATGTTGGGGCTCATCAATGCGAACCTTAAGTACGTCACCTTTCTGCACTCTCCTAGTGATCGCGAGGTGACCTTGCATATAGTTATGCCATTCCCTTGATTACGATGATAGCCACGTTCATCGCATACGTAAGTAAAGTACAGTCCCCCCCCCCGACAACCGCACTGATATATGATACTTGTAGACCTTGATCATGAAGAAAGAGCTGACAGCGTCGGCGGTGTTCTCAACTATGTCAGGTAAATCTGTGAGACTACTCTATGCGCGATTTTGCTCACGGGGACGTGCAGTCTTCGATATGCTCAGACAGACCTTGAGCGGCGTCTTCGCCTTGGTTCCTGCCATGATTCGAGGTAAGAACACCAATTGTACCTTCATATGCACGCTAACTCCGTTCAATAGCGAAAGTGTCTCTCGATCGTGTAGATGAGTTCCTGAAGAAGGTGCGTTCTCTAGTCCCGTCATAGCCTCCTCACCGTAGACGAAACCTGTGTCCTTTCTTCAGACCGAGCTGCTCGATGAGTTCTCTCCGGATTCGCATGAAGCCGAAGCCCTGATCCCTAAGACGCTCGTCACTCGCGACATCATCGGCATCCGCAATGCTTCGTTCACGTGGGCGAACGAGAATTATGGCCTATCAACACCGGTATCACCAGGCACACCTGGTAGATCGCGAAGGAATTTCATGCTGCGAATTGAAGACGAGTTACAGCTCAGACGTGGCCATTTCAACCTCATTGTTGGGCCTACTGGCTCAGGGAAGACTTCGTTCTTGATGGCTCTACTCGGTGAGTTCAAGATCGATGCATAAGATGTCAAAGAGACATTGACGTTTGTACAGGCGAGATGCACTACATCCCATCAGGACCCGACTCGTACTATCATCTGCCTCGTACCGGCGGTGTTGCGTATGCGGCGCAGGAGTCATGGGTACAGAACGAGACCATTAGAGTAAGCTCATCACAGAAGATGGTACACCGTGTTGACTATTTTCGCAGGATAACATTCTGTTTGGCGCCCCGTATGACAAGGAACGTTACAACAAGGGTAAGACACTCGGACTCACTTTCTGACGGTGGATTGACAACTAGGCAGTCATCGACCAATGCGGCTTGAAACGAGATCTTACGCTTTTCGATGCCGGAGACCAGACTGAAGTTGGCGAGAAGGGGCTGACACTGAGGTAAAGTTACTCGCTTAACGCGTTTGCCTCATTGCTAATTAGATTTGTTGTTCAGTGGTGGTCAGAAGGTAATGAGGTCTGTGATCAAACAATGTACGCGACTCATCCTTGTCTAGGCTCGCATTACACTCGCTCGCGCTGTGTATTCGTCTGCAGAGATTCTGCTGCTTGATGACGTCTTGGCCGCTCTCGACGTGCATACAGCCAAGTGGATCGTGGACAAATGCTTCAAAGGAGACCTCGTTCGTGGTCGGACTGTGCTGTTGGTGGTGAGTGTTGTCGTCTTCTACAACTACAGTCTGCCTAAAGACGCTCTCAGACGCATAATGTGGCAATGGCCAGCCCAATCGCCGACTTCGTCGTGTCCCTTGGTACGGATGGCCGAATTGCCAGTCAGGGTACGTTGTCGAAAGTGTTGGCTAAGGACAAGGAACTGTCGAAGGAAATCGAAGAGGAGAACAAGGAGATCGAGAAGGCTGAGCACACCGTCGACGATCAACAACCAAATGAGGAACCCAAGAAGTCGGACGGAAAACTCATCCTTTCCGAGGAAGTTTCTGTCGGGCATGTGAGCTGGCCAGCATGTGCGTTCCATCCTATCACTACCTACAGCAGCATCATTAACGGCGAGCAGTGAGAATGTTCTTCTCCAGTCTTGGCGGTGGGCATCAATTCACGTTCTGGCTACTTTGTGTCGGCACGCTCGTGTTGTCCCAGCTATGTGACACTGTCCAGATATGGTTCCTCGGTCACTGGGCCCAACAGTACGAGGAACATGATCCTTCCGAGGTCAATGTGCCATTGTTAGTGGTTTTGTCTGTTGCCTCATACGACCCAGTTCGCTAACATCGTGGGCTCAACAGCTACTTGACTGGCTATAGTGTCCTACTGCTTTGTGCGGCAACCCTCTACGGCATTGGTTACATCGTCTATGTCTACGGCGCACTGAGAGCCTCGCGCTCCATACATGTATCACTCATCCAGTCTGTCCTCGGTACGACTCTGAGGTAAGCGAGGGTCACTCACCCGAATCCCGTCTTTGACTTATAGATAATCCCTAGGTGGCTTGACATAACACCGACATCTCGAATTATCACACGGTGCACGCAAGATATAGCAGCAGGTACTGAATATTCTTCATCAAGCATAGGCTGTGTAGGCTTATGACGGTTGCAGTCGACGGACCTATCACTGACTACTTCCGGTCGGTCGTCGAACTGACCGTGGCAATGTTGTGCAAACTTGCAGCGGTTATCATCATGTCTCCCATCTTCCTCTTTCCCGGAGCGTTTGTTGCTATCCTCGGTGGATGGCTCGGGCAGGTCTACATGAAGGCACAGTTATCGGTGAAGCGCGAAATGAGCAATGCACGAGCTCCCGTGCTTGGGCAATTTGGTGCTGCTATCGCTGGTTTGAGTACGCGGCTTTTCATTTGTCATCCATTTCTGTTCTAATACGGCGTGTAGCTTCCATTCGGGCGTACGGAGCGCAGGAAGGGTTCAGGAAGGAGTCATACGCGCGTAGCGACCGATGGACTATTGCTGCCCGTACATTTTATAATCTCAATCGGTCTGTGGGTTTTTCCAGGATGCGCGTCATTTGACTAAACCAGTGTCAGGTGGATCTGCATTCGCATAGATGCTTTGGGTGCTCTGTTCTCCACAGGTCTTGCTGCCTACCTTGTGTACGGGAGCACCTTCAATGCGTCCAATACTGGTTTCTCACTGAACATGGCAGGTCGGTATCCTGTGTTTCCGGAGACACATATCATTATTGATCACCGTTGCAGTTGGATTCAGTGGTATGATATTGTGGTGGGTCCGTATCTTCAACGAATTCGAGGTGTCAGGTGAGCCTGCAGCATCAAGTCGTCATTTCTTTTCGCTGGAGCTTGTCCATGATCCACAGGCAACAGGTAACTCTTCATGACCTGTGCACGATTAATCTCTGAACTATTATCCAGTTTGGAGCGCATCGAACAATATGTACACATAGAGCAAGAACCAAAACCAACTGCTGACGGTGTTCCCCCTGCATACTGGCCAGCAAGTGGTGGACTGAAGGTGGACAGACTGTCCTCTCGCTATTCTTCGGTGAGCTAGATGACTTGTCAATAGATCAGTGTCTTACGGATTGCAGGATGGCCCTCGCGTCTTACACGAGCTATCTTTCGAAGTGAAGTCAGGCGAGCGTGTAGGCATCGGTAAGTGTTGCATCAACGTATGATGCGTGCAGTGCTCATGGTGTGTTGTAGTGGGTCGCACAGGTAGCGGCAAGGTTAGTGGGCTACGCTGGCCGAGAAACGCACACACTGACGCGCAGACATAGAGCTCACTGACACTCTCGCTATTGCGATGCATCCTCACGGAAGGCAAAGTCTACTACGATGGGCTTGCAACCGATGAGATCAATCTCGATGCGTTGCGTTCAAACATTACGATCATTCCTCAAGTGGTGTGTATGTCCTGGTCTCGCATGATCGGACGAAACTCACTTGTTGTGCTCGACTAGCCTGAGCTACTCAGTGGCACGCTCCGTCAAAACCTCGACCCCTTTGACCAGCATGATGACGCCGTCCTGAATGACGCCCTACGTGCCGCCGGGCTCTTCAACCTACAGAGTGAAATGGATGAAGGACGTATCACTCTTGACAGTCAGATTTCGAGTGGCGGGAGCAATTTATCAGTTGGTCAACGACAGATCCTTGCGTTGGCAAGAGCTATCGTACGTCAGAGCAAGCTGTTGATCCTTGATGAAGGTGCGTAGTTCCACTTCTGTTCTCGACGTTTCTTCACTCATTTACTCTATTGCAGCAACTTCTGCGATCGGTACGTCTCAATGCTCATGGGACTAGGACAGCGCACTGATGTCTGTTCTAGATTATGCGACGGATACTGTAATCCAAGAATCTCTACGGAGAGAATTGGATAAGGGTGTCACACTGCTCACGATTGCTCACCGTTTACAAACGATCATGGACGCAGACAAAATCGTATGTCTTCTTTGTATCAATATATGACCATCATATCTGACAACGTCTATGTAGATGGTCTTAGATGCCGGCCGTGTTGTGAGTCGACACGATGCTTACTACTATGCTATGTGAGTCTAACATGAGAATTTCAGGTTGAATTTGGCAGTCCTGGGGAATTGCTCAAGAAACCGAAGGGTCTGCTCAAGGCATTAGTAGATGAAAGCGGAGACAAGGAGGCTCTGTATGCCATGGCGGAAGGGACCGCTTCCGCGTCATGAAAAGAGGTCGTGATCTGGCTTTAGTGGGTGTCGGGAGCACTCATCATGGACATAGACGAACTGTATCTTTATTTCGCCGTAGCCGAAGGAGAGCCGCGGTTTCTCATTGAATTGTGTAAAGCAAGATGTATGATGTCCCACAGACGACTTCTTGAAGAGCTAGCGGCGCAATGATATAACAAAAACCATCGTCTTCACTGTGTCGTCGATCCGTGGGAGCTCAGAGGGTGACACTACAGGGTCTTATTGCGGCCCGGTGCCATGGACTCCCTTGTATCCGGGATGCTTGAGACAATGTGGCGGTCATCTGTCGCCCTCAGTCGTAACCGAACTCATCCCAGTACTCTCTGTCATCGTCAAGCTCCTCTGGTGGACTTGTGTTGACTCCCGTCATTTGGTTCGTCCATTGAAGCACCCTTGGATGCGCCATGACCCTGCGAGGTCGTTAGTTTACTGGCCAGCACGACAACGACAGAACGGCGTAAAAGACTGACTTAGTTGGCTCAAACCCATGCACTTCCAGGGTCTCCATGCTTGTCGCTCTGGAGAGTGCGACGTAGGCTACACATGATGTCAATTCAGCGAGCATCGAAGAATCAGTTCACGACGGACCTTGTCCCTTCTCGAAGATACGCCCGAGGTTGACGCGAACACGTTGTAGTGTTTGTCCCTGAGACTTGTGAATGCTCAATGCCCAAGCCAGAATGAGCGGAATCTGTCCCATGAACAGCCATGAATCACCCGTGCTCATCAATCAGACTGCACATTGCGGAGTCGTACCTGGTCACGCGTGGCCTCTATTCTGCCCTCCGCGTTGATGACCTCAAAGGACGCAGGGACGCAAAGCGTACGCCGCTTGCCCGGGAACTCGACGACCGGAAGCGGGTGCTTGATCTCGAGCACTTCTTCAGGTATCTTCTCGCGACTGCCGTCTGTGAGCTGCGTCCGGGCGATGTCCATGCCTCGGGCGCGGGCGTCCCCAGGAGTGCTAAACGCAACAACTCGCCCGACAGACCCGTTTACCAGCTCGCCTTGAATGAGATTCTGACAAGCTGATTATGCATTCACTCGATACGGATACCTGCGAGGCCAACTGACCTTGATCAACATAACCTGAGCACCGATCTAGAAGGGCCGTCATGATTCCCGTGGAGCTGAGACTATAACGAGGGAGTACCTTGAGTACAAGCTCCTTCGGCGCGACCAGCCGATCTAGCAGCGTTCTCGCCCTCTCTGAAGGGATCTCATTGCCTCTCTCGTCCCTTCCTGGTCTGTCAATGGCGAGATACGTGTGAGGATGTGGGTCAGGAAGCTGTGCGAGGCGCGCGCTATTGGCGTTGTCGACTTCTATTCGTGTCGGGAACCTCGCAGTCCAATGTCAATGATGTGATAGAACCCAACCGAGAACGGAACCGCTACTTACAGGTCTGTTGGATCGATACCGTCAGTGTATGTAACCTTGCGAGAGAGCTTCCTGAACTCGGTGACCGTCTGTGGAGTAAGGTGTCCGAATCGCATGGAATTCAACATGTCGACGAAGGCTACGGAGAAGCATCATTTCTCTGCGACCAAACTGGGGAAGAAAGTAAAATCTCGCTTACCCTGGTCTTTCTGTCGGAAGACGCGGTGGAGGACGACGGGCCGTCCGACGCAAGCATCCCATGAGTTGGCGTCGAAGGCAAACTTGGCTGATTGTTTATCCCTGTCGGGAACTGGTGGGAGCTGGCAAAAGTCACCGGACAGCACCAACTGATAAAAATTTAGCAGTTTACTATACTTGTCTCTGTGTCGACGAGCATACCTGTATCCCGCCAAAGGGACGAGAATTATTCCGCAATTCGCGGGCGATAAATTCCTGGGGCCATCGTTATGCACGTTGACATCGCCATGAATGCATGATACACACCAACTTGTCAAAGAGGTCGCCATCTATCATCGAGACTACATACTAGACTATGAGCGACGCAGAATTAGATTGGTAGGCATCTGTACTCACTCTCGTCAATGATGAGCGTTCTGACTTGTTTCCACCTTGAGACGACTCTGTTTTGACTCTGTTGCCCATCAGGCATAAACCGCTCCTTGTGCCTCAAGTATTTGTCTTGACCTAGGAGCTTTCCGAGTATCTGCTCCTGACTCTCCTTCCCAAGTCCTATACCGGCCCACGAATGTAACGTGCAACCGCCGATGTTGACTGACGCGATTCCTGTGGCGGCAGTAATGGCTAATGGGTTTGAGTGACGACCGCCGCAATGCTCGATAATCTCCCGCAAAAGAACAGACTTTCCTGTACCTATTTAGGATGTCATGTGAGACGTGCAATAACAGGTGGTGTACAGGTACTGGACGTACCGGCGGAACCGGTGAAGAACACATTCCGTCCGGACTTGACGAGATCAAGTACTGCTCGCTGCTCGGGTGATAGGACAATCTTAGGCTCAAGCGCGGTCTTGGAAACAGTAATCTCTAAGTCTGCTGTAGTTGACGCGGACGATTCATCCCGGGCCTCATTTATGTCAGCGACTGTAGCAGTCTTGCTGTTCGAGGCGAAACCATGGTCCGGAAAGAATTGTGGTGTGACCTTATTGATTTGGCCTTAAAACCGAGCATGAGCATAATGGAAACCTTTCCTAAGGGCTGAAGAGTAATCACCCTCACCCGTATCTTCCCGCGGGACGGGGACAGTACCAAGCCACGCCTGTGCCTGGGAGAGACTCTTGAAGCTCTTGTGGATTGCACCCGGATACCTGGAGACCTTTATAACCGAAATCATCAGACCAGACTTGCCATTGCCACGGAGACGTAAAGTTACATTCTCCTTCGTCTGTGCACATTGGGAATATTGAGCTATGCAAACCGGACAAGTTGAACGTACGTTTCCTTCTTACCTCTTCCCAGGACGTATAAATCTGAGGGCCTTGTCTACCTTTCTTCACGGCGTAGAACTTGGCTTGACTTTTCGCCATGGGTTAGCTTCGTCGAAGGAGTTTGAAGTCTCGAGGTCTGATGTCCGGTGGCATGTTGCCACAGCGTGCCACAACTCGCCTGAGGACACGCGAGAAGACGCGTCGCGCGCTGGTTTCACGTGATGGTGATCCAAGCCCCATCATTGCCTCATATGGCAATATCGTAATTGACTTGCAGGCCCTCCTCCGGTTCACTTCCAATCTTTGCGTATCTCGTAGCGGGAACTCATCGCTTTTGGCCGTAGAAGCCAGGGTCTGAAATATGAGAAAAAAACGAAACCTAGATGCAGTATGTACCGCCAGTGGCACCCGTTGCTTACGTCGTTCTCGAGAATTTGCGGCGAACGATGCTCGTGAATCCGAACATTTGAAGCCGTCTCAGTTCCAGCGCAAGTGCCAGAAATTAGAACGCAGATCTTGATAGTGAGAATATTGACGGGCCGTGATCAGGACCAAGACGAGTTGCTGGCGGCGCAAGTATTACGTGGTATCATTGTAGTCGTGACGAACAGCTGTCGGCTCAGGCTTCAAATCCTCAGTGATTGTACAATTGATCTACCACTGCGATCCGCGGGAATGTCATACAGCTCCGCGAAGCAATGGCTAGTAGGAAACGCCGGCAAGGACCCCCTGGGGGAGTTGCGGGCAGGGTAGCGTAACACGACGGATGGAACTTGTATGGCACGCCCAGTCCTAAATGTAACTGGGTACGGATTAGAATCGGGCACTCAGAAGAGTTCACTGGCCTGAATGCGGGTTTCAGTGCCAGAGGCGTCAGACTTTCAGACGGCGGCGCTGACGCGTGACGTCCAAGCATGGCGGGGCAGAGGGCACAGTGAATCAACTTGAATGTCGGCCGAGAAAACAGTATCAAATCGACAGCCGGGTCGCGGAGAAGCAAGGCATACCTAGCAGTGGGTGGCATGTGTTTTGTGCCGCATCCCCATACCGCATCCCCAAGTGTTCTGGTCGCCGGAGCCTATGCCTCAGCAAAAACGTATGAGACCGCATCTCAGCCGTCATGCGGCTCCGTACACTGTCATCTGGGCTCTGCTGAAGAACGTCATGCAAAATCATCCGGCGAGGTTGATGGCACTAGCAGAACACTTACGTCGAGACGGCCTCACGACCAAGTCGCGATATTCTGGATGAACTGTATCTGTAGACATGGTATACGGATGAACTTCACATGAATTTATCAATTCAATTCAATCGCCGCGTTAGCGTGTAATTCCAGTCATGGAGATTTGACCCACTGCCATGAGACTGTCATCAAAGGGCCACACACTCAGGCCGCACAGCCCGACTTGCGGAACGCCACTATCTGCGGTAGATTGATCTACTTCAATCCGATACTACTTAGCCCGTATGCATCTCCCCTGAATACTCACAGGCAATGATTGACAAAGGGCTTGAACCTGTTGACAATCGGTGACATTATTATCTGACATACAGCAGTGCCAGCAGTAAGAACACCCGGCCTAAGGCCGATAAGCTCTGCCAATTCATGGCCCGGATGTGCAAAATCATATCTGCGAGTAAGCTCATGAGCACTCATGATTCGGAGGATATGTTAAACTACGTGTACTTACATGGGATTAGCTTTGCTTGTCGACTTCGACCGCAACTTCGGAAGTAATTGCAGTGAATCACCCACGCATACAGAACTGAGCTACTCCGAATGCTTGTCCTCATTAATTGAACCACGCCCGAGTTTCGCCGATAAACTTCATTGCTGCGTGGTCCAAGCGTAGTCAGCAGCATGAGAGCCTCTGTGAGGGCGGGGACGAGAAAGGACGCTGTCCGCCGCGTTCAATGTTCCACGGTCAGTCTGAAGCAGGAAACGAAACACGTGTCAAGAGTCTGGGCGCCGTTTTCTAGTTCAGGACACGCGGCGCGGCGGGCTTCGCCACCCCGACAACTTCTCCCGCCACTACTACTACTTGACACCGATAACCAGAGTGGTATCAATGCTGCTCCAGCACACTATCAAAGCCCCCAGCAAGTCTATTGAGCGACGTACGCCTTTCATGTGAGTCACGGCAACATCATCGAACCCTATGTTGTTCGAGTACTGACGTCGACGCATGATGCGGACAGCGATGCACGAGGAGCACCACCAGAGCGCGCACTGGGCGCCATCTTTAAAGTGATTGGTCTGTTGCATGCCCGACATGCGCTGCTAGTACAGCATCGCCTGCCACCCCGGACTCGGACCGGTTCAATGTGCCTAGCCATGGCCGCACCAGTGGCGAAACTTGAAGCGCACAGCCAACTTACATATCGTTGCGCATCACAGCCTACGCCGAGAATCGACGCGTTTCAGCGCCTCTCACATGTCACCATTGGCTCTGTCACTCATCCCCTCGGATACTAAGTAGCCCGCCCATGCGGGTGGATCTGACCACAGTGATTACTGACCATCGCGGCGCTAACATGGGGAGGATACACCTAAGTACATAGGAATGCAGAGGCGCGTGAGCTGCTCCTCCGCCGCCTGTCGATCTCGACTTCATGTCCCTTCCTGCGGTCGACCTCAATTCTTTGGTGGCCACCCAATATTTATCGGGTGAGTTCTCTGTCGTTTGCTTTCCACCGCCGCAATTCATTGCGTTTCCTCATTTGACAATTCCTAGCGGTCGCGGTTACACTGACGCTCTATGAACGCCTACTTGTATTCGAGAAGGAGGTCGAGTTGATATGGCGACAGCCATGGTCAGCGCTGCCTATACTCGTCCTCCTTGATATGTACGGAAGGCAGGCCAGTATGCTGTTCATCGCATACGGTGCGTACATCTTCAATGCGCAGGTTGCAGTTCGACTCTTACGCTACTTGTCAGTGGTAAGCGGCATCTCGACCAACATCAGTGACTCTGTGAGCTGCGTCTCCCTTTGAATTTTGAGTGCAAATGCTGACTGATTCGGCATTCCAGTTGTTAGTAAATCTGGACCTGCTTGCCCCCCGTTCTGACTCGTCCCCCCAGATGTCAGGCCTTCAACCGATTTATCGCGACATACGGACTGTTGAGCACTGCTTCGATTCAATGTCAGTTCTACCCGCTATGTTCTCGCTCACAGTGTGTGCTGAACACCCTCAGTTGTATTGGTTCTTCGTATTTATGGTCTCTGGGACAACCGGCGCATCATCACTATAGCTCTAGTAGGCGGGTTTGTCGTATTTTACGGCATCACAGTGGCGTTTGCCGTCGTCTCTACAATTCAAACATCTGGTACCGCTATTTGTTGTGATTCTTCCGTCAGTCGAACTGACATCTATGCCTCGCAGCGACCGCACAATATAACGAGGTCTACCACGCGTGTGGAGTGCCGCATAGACCGCTGTATCTCATAGGCGCATATGCAGGAACGGTAAGCTTTCCTTTGCGCCTGGGACATGAAGAAGCGAAGCTGACGGTCATGATGCAGCTCGCGTATTATATTTATGTCATGATTCTCCTGGTCATCAACTCTTTGAACAGGCCTCGGAAACGCGATTTCGAGATCATCAAGAATCTATACCGCGATGGAGTGTGGACACTGCTGGTATGTGTGCGAGCGCTCTTATGACGAGAATGTCGCTTATGTGTCCTCGCCCAGGTCTTCACAGGTTCGTGTGTCGAGTGACACACCTGATGGCTGCTGTGCTGACGAGGGGTGGTGCAGTTCTCCAGCTAGCGCGGTTGATGCCTGCGATCTTTGGAGGGGTGCGTGTCCAGCCATTCGCTTGTAAAGACAGACCTAACGTCATCGTGGATCAGACGGCGCAGACATTGCTTACCCCTTTGTACGTCCCAGACATTTTCATGCATCATCACATCTCTCTGACGGGTGCTTAGGATTACGTGGGCGCTGGACGGGATTCTGAGCTTCCGACTCTATCTGACATTGAAACAAGTCGAAGTGGATGCTCGGAAAGGATGGAAGACTGTTACCGGCTCGCAGCAGGTGTTCGTCTTCGAAGAAGTGGAGATGGACTTGAAGTAATGACTTTGCAATGATTATTTAACGGTATGTTACACGTTTGTACGAGTTAATGGATGTACGTTACACTCCTCTTCAGCCCTAACTATGTACCTTCTGCCGGCGTCCAGGTCGTCACCGGTTCACTCACCATCGTCGTTGTAACATGTGCTCGATCCATCCAGACACCACAGCCCGCAGATGTGCAGTAACAAGGCGCTGAGGCAGACCTGCCGCCGGCGATGCATTTTGTTTTCGACCACTGCTCGGCAGCCATCGCTCGGATGCCTCGGTGATCAGGACAATACAGTACCACTGAACAGTTTTCTGCTCGTGACCACGATGCTGCGTTGAATGGAACCACCGGCGGAAACGAAGGATTAGTATGGGCGTCCCGGCCTCGGGGAAATACAACCAAGTGTTCACAGGCACCCGATAGCAACAACGCTGGTGGAGGTCATACCTCCGCGAGGAGACAATCTACCTTCCTGTCAAGTTGTTAACGCACTTAGATATGTAGAACCCCGTGCGTTGTGAGCGTACCAATTGTCTGGCCAATCTCGCATCGGCGTGTTATGATCACGATCGCGGTCACTGTGACATTTTCCTTGACGAATCTGGTAAGTATCAAGAACATCCCTCCGGTGGGAAGTGGCTAAGTGATGCGATGTCAGCGTTTTCTTCGCGCACTCCCTCATTGCTGCAGGGAAGGTGGTACGTATCAAGGTGGTAAGTATCAAGAAGGTGCGCCTTCGGTGGGTGGCCGCTGCTGTCATCGCAGCTTTGATCATCATGCATGTCCGAGTGGCGGACAATCAGCCGCCGAACCGAGCCTGTGTCTCTGTGTCTTGTTCTTGAGCGCTTGCTGTCATAGCTCTACCCGTGGATCAAGAACGCGCAATGCGGAATGATGTCTATTGTCTTTATAACAGATCCAGACTTAATTGCACTGGATAACGGGCACGTCGGGGTCACCGTATCAAACACGGCGAGCCGCCGAAACCCCTGCATTCTCATTCTGCTCTGTCCCTTTTCCTGTAGTCCGCCAGACTGCCTTGCAGGGCTCAAATACTGCCAGTGGATCGCTCAGGTTGAAGCTGCACTCTCTGAAAATCCCTCCTTTCTTCTTGGAGTGCCATGTCTTCGGATGTAGCGACGAACATACATGTGTCTTTAGATGACAGCCGCGCTTCGACAGAGTCATCCCGTATTGACCAACTCGACTCAGCGATGGCGCTGGCGGAAGAAAAAGCTGAGAGCCAGGTCGGGATTCCGCAGCCAGTATACGACATTCCAGATGGCGGGCTACAAGCCTGGGGGGCTATACTTGGCGGGTGCGTATTTGGAATCATCGAGCCTACACCAAGCTCACGTATCTGTGCAGTTGGCTCATTTCATTCTGCACCTTTGGCTATGCGAGTTCGTTCGGTATCTACCAGGACTACTATGTGCTTGCGGGAGCCTCAACATCGTCCAATATCAGCTGGATTGGTTCTTTGCAACTCTTCTTCCTGTTCTTCCTAGGCTTGCCTGCCGGCAGACTCTTCGACGCAGGCTACTTCCGCGCGCTGACCCTCGGCGGTAGCGTTCTCTACCTGTTCTGGTCAGTGACACATCGCATGCCGGCCGCACGACGATACTTAACGCCGCTCGCAGTCTATTTATGCTCTCCCTCGCGGATCCCACAAAGTACTACCAGATCATCTTGGCGCAAGGGATTGGGATGGGTATTGGTGGCGGGCTCATGCTTGTACCTGCCCTTTCCTTGCAAGGACACTACTGGAAGAGGCGGCGAGGAATGGCGTTGGGCCTCGTTCTGACAGGCTCGGGCTGTGGCGGCATCATCTATCCGATTATGCTAAACCATCTATTCAATGGCTCGACCGGCTTTCACTGGGGTGTGCGAGCATCCGCATTCCTGACACTGGGGCTCCTCGTGCTCGCTCAGTTCGTCATGCGCACTCGGCTACCCAGCGCAAAGGACCGTCCTCCACA